GGCCTAGTGGACAAAAAACATTTTAATTTAGAAGTTATATAAACCCAGTAGGCCCTAATGGAGAAAATATGTTATAAAATAGTAGTTAAGTATTCAAATTAGTCTCCATACATCACTGTCTGATATTTTGACAACCACACTGATCAGTTGGTACAGAAAGTTGAATATATTGTCGGCTGCTGGGCAATTATATAGGTGTCGCTGGTTCGAATCTTCTGATATTCATATATTCAAACACTCTCAGTTCTGTTAGTTTAGATGATTTCATCCCTTGAAAAAACATTTTATTTAGTAATGTTATTTGATTGTTATGAAACCATCAAAATTGATTCGGGTCAGCAAGTAATAGTTTGGACTGTGAATCACTATCCTTAGAGAATACAATGAAATGACTGTAAGCTGAACTAACCAAGTGACCCACTTGGTGTGTCTGTACTTAGAGATGCTTCACTAACCCCTTCACAATATCAATCTCAGACTCCTTGCTAAGAGATGACCAGGCCCCTATTGGGCTGAAATCCCCATTTTTGTTTCTTGTCCATTTTGGGAGGTTGATTTTAGCCTTGAATATAATGTAAATAGTCTATAGAAGTTCTAGAAATGTATGAAAATCACTTAATTCCTTTAAAAATCATTTTTTAACATTCAAATGTAGAAAATTCTGGACCCACATAGATTTGAGGGCTCAAATTTCAATGGTTAGCTGTGAACATACTGATTGGCTAAGCTTAAAAATTCCCGTTACTGAGAATAAAGTATGATTAGTCAAAAACAGATGGTGCATCTGTCCCTTTAAATGGACCAATCATACTTTATTCTCAGAAACAAATCAGATTAGTAAATCAGTAATAATGGTCACAGGTCACCGTCGTAATATGAGCCCTCAATTCCATGTGTGTTTGAAAGTTAAACATAGGACTCGTCTTTTCTAGGGACACTGATAAATATATTAAAGAAGAAATTCATAGTTTAAAGATATTTTTAAAGTAATTATGTGATTTTCGTACATTTAAAGTACTTCTGAAGACTATTTACATCTATTCAAGACTAAAATAAACCACCACAATGGTGCCTCTGTACCTTTAAAGTAACCCAATCTGATAATATTTGTGATTTATTTGTTTATTTTGAGATATATATAAATAAATACAAAAAAAAGGTAACTATACAATTTGAGTTGAATATAAAAAAATAAGACTTTCTGCTAGAGCACATGACACACTAGATAATGAAAATTTCCTTTTTGTTGTGGTAATTTTAAATTGTGCAAACTATATTGGCCTCTTTCATCCAGTCCCCTATGCACAGCTGTCACTGGGTGTCCAAGACTAATTATATATGCTGAATAATCTAAAATAAATAGATCAGTTTTAATCGCTTCTATTCTGCTTCAATTGAAGATATTGTAAAGAGGTTTTCTAAACTTTTTATGTGCATGGGGGCATCAATTTGCATCATTCAAATTTTTTGTCAGAAGATTGTAGTTTTTGCTAATTTGCTTCAACTAAGCTTTTAGTTGAGAACACCTCTTCAAAATCCCTTCAATAGTCCTACATTAAGATATAAATAGACTGGATACAGTGTACAGTGTGGGACTATTGAAACAGCAGAAAAAAAGTAGAAGTGGCTCCTTCCTTGTCTTCGTGCTTTTTCTAATTTTTTCTTTACAGATATCTCGCACTGGACAAAATAACTCAGATTTGGTGCTCTCGGACTTAAGAATCAAATAGACAAACTTAATAAAGTTCTGTTCTATAGTGAATATACAAAACTATACAAATAAATACTATACATTAATATACAAAAACTAAATATACAAAAACTAAATATACAAAACTTAATATACAAAACTACATATAAAAATAAGAAATATAACTGAAGTCCTACGGATCTGGAGAAAAATACAAAATGTGGCCAAGACGAAATACAGGTTGTTCATCTAATGTACATGGAACAGTAAGAATTGAGAAAGATTTGAGAATTTGCTATTTATTGATTATTTAGTACGGTAGCCCTATATTAGTTTGTTAACATGTCTTAATCTAAAATAATCATATGCATGCTAAATCAAAATGGCCCACCCCTTTTTTTACAGGCTTTTCCTCAAACAAATTTTGATTTTACAAAATCCTTACAATTTCTCTGATGTGGGTTTTTAAAGGGATTGTAAAGAGAATTTCTAAACTTGGGGACACTGATAACATCTGTTACACGATTTCAATTTTCAAGCAGAGAAATTTGAATGGTGCGAATTGATGCTATCAGTGTCCCTGATACACATTAAAATTTAGAAAACCTCTTTACATTTACTTTCATAAAGTGAGTTTTAAAATGACCAACTTATCAGGTAAAAGGAATGCTGAAATTATTTGAAGGTAAATAGTTTTTATAGGACACCTTGGTGCTATTAGGGTACTAGTATCATTTTTCACATAGCCACAATTAACAGTTTCTTAACAACAGAACAAAGCTTATCAAACTACTAAAACCTTGAAAATTTTTGGGGTCTACAAAATTTTCCATTTGCCTATTTGGCAATGAAGCGTAGGGTAACCAAGGATGTCATACAAATAAATAAAAATGTGTGCCATTGTAATTCAGTTCAATAAATTTGCACAGTAAACAATATATTCAAGATTATGAAATGCAAAGTTACTAAATTTAAAATATCACTAGAAATCTAGGAGACAATAACAGTAATGCAATTTAAAGGGATACTAGCTCTTAGAATGAACATAAATTTAGATTTTTGAATTTGGCCTATTAAGAGAAAATATTCATCAGTTGGACGTAACTGGTGTGTTAAATATACAACAGAATCCCTGTTTAATCCAATAAATCTAATTGAATTAGAAATTACTGAAAAATGCTTTGACTCTATCAGCTGGTAAATAATTAGTTGAGCGAGTCCCTTAAAATGTTGGTTTTTTTTTAGTAAAAATGAGAAGTGGTTCAATTTCACACTAAATGACCTGGAAGCTGTTCTACGTAAAAAGTTTCCATACTACAATAAACCTGTTGACTCAAAACCAATGATATATACGGGCGATTGTCTCTAATGCTCTAATAACTTTTCATTCATTCAATAAATTTGAGTTGGTATTAATAGGTAAATAAGGCTATTATGTCAGAAATCCTGTCAACAAAATACTTAAGACCAAACAGTACATTTTGGTCAAGGTTGAATTTTTTTTAAATCAGGACTGGGCGAAATTAAAATAGAATTGAAGAAAAAGAATTAATTAAGTGATGATGACATCACTATCTCAAAGGCTGCTTATAATATCTAATATTATAGATAGTAACTTAGTTTTCAGGGCATTGCAAGAACCACTGATGACTGACAGAAAATTGGAATGGTGAAAATCGATGCTATCAGTGTTTCCGAAACACATAAAAAGTTTAAAACCCTCCTAACAATCCCTTTAAAGGATTTTTCGTACATTTCTAGTACTTCTGAAGAATATCTACACATGTTCAAGACCCAATTGAAAATGGTGAACCTGTCACTATAAACTAAACATTTTCTCGTAACCAAATGACTCAAAGATCCAAAGCAAAATAAAGTAAGGGCTGAAGAGAATTCATTCATGAAAATAACGAGGCACTTTTGATTTATTTTGGACAAATATACTGAGGCATACTCTACAAGGCACATTGTTGATGGCTAAATTGAATGATAGCTTGCCAGGCAAGGTAATATATACGCCCAGTGGCAGCTTTGATTTTGAATAAAAATATTTGGCAGTAAAGTAACACCAGTATGAATATTCAACCTTCAGTCATACACTTCTTTTGAACTTTTGGGGTGATATCGAACAATATTAATAAGCTAGAAATTGAGCATGTTTTCAAGATCGAGTCAATAACTCATACTAAATATTTTTCAATTTTTCTGATTTTCAATAGGGTTCATCCTTGGATGATTACGAACTCTCACACTAAGTTTTGTCAAAATCCGTCAAGAATTGTGCCCTCTTACGAGCAATTATGGACGGACCGACATAGGTGATGACAATTTATGTTCCCCATTTCATGTGGGCGTATAAGAAGAGCTAAAATTAGATACTAGGGTAATAAATAAGAGAGCTATTATCATAACAAACTACACTAGGCTATAAAAATAAGTTGGTATCAAATTTCTACAACAATTTCAATAATTTCCTTTAGGTCACTGTCCAAAAAATGACCTTTTTCTACTTTTTCATGATTTTCAAACCGACCCTGACCTGATAGCCAAAACAAGTGCAGCAAAGTAGGACTTAAAGGCATTGTATGGTGGTTTCTCATTTTTTTTATGTGTATCTGGAACTCTGAAAGCATCAATTTGCACCAATCCAATTTTAAACAGACGTCTGCGGTTCCTGCAATTCCACTTAAACTAAGTATTTAATGACACCACTAATCGTGAAGGGCTTTATGTAATACAAGTATATTTAACAATTAGTGAAGTCATGAAACACTTATTTTTTGTGGAATTGCAGGAACCACAGACATCTGATTAAAAATTGGAATGGTGCAAATTGATGAGATGACAGCAGTGTCCAAACAGTTTGGATTGTTTAAAACTCATTACCCAAAACAAAGCTATTTTGATACAATTCAAGCATGTAACTATAGATGAAGGTGGTGTGGTTTAAACAACTATGTCTTTGGATCAATTGATACTGTTAGGAAATAATACCAACAATAAAATATATATATTATGATATCTATGATGTGTATTGATAAAATGAATGCTAAACTTATCTTGATATTTTCAGGTTATTTACAGCTCCCCCCACCCCCTCCCTCTCTCAACTCTCCCCTTTTCAAAATACATTGGAGAGTTTAGAAGACTCTCCTTTTCTATTGACGTTGGATAATTAACAAAAACAACAATATACAAATTGGTAGTCCTGTCTAACGTAATTAACTAAATAAATACAAGTTTGCCCTAAGTTATGGCAGAATTACATATCATGTGATATTTTTCTTTCTAGATGACTGTATTAGATTACTTATTTGTTTAGTTTTGCTGCAAATATCTTGGCGATACGTTTAGCTTCATCTGCAGTAGGTAGCTGCCTGGATTTGGTTTTTGCAGCCGTTACTTTGGTTTTTGAAGCTATTTTAGCCGCTAATTCAGAAGCTGCGTGAGCTTTATTTGCAGACCTTGATGTCAGCTGAAAAATAAATTAATTTAGTTAAATTTATGCGCATATATTTAGACACTTGAATTTGCAATTTTTTAGGTATAAATGTGCCAAATTACAAATATCTGAGTGCATAGGGACTAAGACCATTAACCAAATAAAATTATTAATCCTTCTTACCTTCTCTGTATCAGTTGCTTTCCCAACAGCTGATGTTGCAAGTTGTAGTGCCTTCATTGAGGCCTGCATTTCTCCAAAATCAGGGAAAAAATTCGGCATTGAAGCTTTTTCTGCAACGGTATCATCAAACATTGAAAAGGTCTCTTTATCATCTTGAGAAGATTTCGTTGCCGATTCTAGACCACTGTCAGTGGTACGATCACTGTGTACTTCCGTCTGGACGTACCCTTCTACTGTCCTGGATGTCGGAAAATCATGGCTGCCCAATTTCAAGCCCTCTCGGAACTGGAATGGCTGGGAATCATCAGACGACATGGAATAAATTAAGTGTCGGTTTTGACCTTGAGAGATATAGGTGTCAAGGTCATCTGTTCTACAGGTCACCACACCTTCATCATGTGACTGGTCATGTGACATCCTTGCATCATCATGTGACTGATCATGTGACATTCTTATACAATCACGTGACTGATCATGATCATGTGACATCTGTACATCATCATGAGATTGGTCATGTGACATTCTTGCATCATCATGTGACATCTGTACACTGTCATGTGACCGGGGTGTGCTTTCAGACTGGGGTCTCTCTTCCGTGTGCGAACAAGGGGTCAAAGAAGAGGATTCTGTTGTAATTCGATCTTCATTCCTTGCTGCTGCTGCTCCAGAATTCCGACTTTGAGCAGACGACTGTCTTGAAGCTTTGGAACTGCCAGAATCTGGAAGATGAGTTGTACCCGAATCAACAGATTCCAGTTCCACTCTGGACAACATATTCCTGGAATGATGATACTTTGGATTTTCAGTGGATTCCACCATGACTTGCTGATTAAAGACGAGTCGTTCTGTTGTTGACGTCAGGGTGTCGATCAATTCAACTCGCGATAGAAGCTGATTGGCTGCAGAGTCATGTGATTCTGTGGATTGATTCGTTGTGTGGAACTCACTTTCATGACGAATTTGAGTTGGCGTCTGACATTCAGGGTCATCGTCTGATAACCAACTATCCTTAAAAGCACTAGAATGAGGCTGTCTAGAATCTCGCCTGTCATCATCACCTCCCGGTAAAGTTTGTTGCGATTCATTTAAGTCTTGACCATGTATTTCTATCACAGATTTTGATTGATCGATTTCACTAGTATATCGACCAATGGAATTTAGTATTTGTTCATCAATATCATAGGTATCCTGTTCAGGCTGCTGCGGCCATGTTCTAGGTCCGTTACCTCTTTCTGAATAATCACGATTCTTAGCATAAAATCCAGAAAAATCGTTGATTGCCCTCGGAGTGATGACCTCTTGACCTTCATCATCCTCAAGGTCATCACCATCATCATCATCCAGTATATCACGATAACGGTGATAATTTTCAACTCTTTCATCTTCTGACTCCTCCCCTTCACTATTCCAAGCATTTTCATTGGTTCCTAAATGACCATTAACATCTTCTGATTTGCTCTGTGACCGTGCAGTTGGTGGATCAATAGGCATGAATTCAGATTCAGACGGAACATATGATCGAGGAACAAATCCAGTGCTGTTTTCGGCATCGAACTTCTGATTTTCATAGCTCAGTGCTTGCGTTACTGTCATAACTGGATGTGAATTCAACAAAGTTTGAATATTATTCCTAATTGAGTCACATGTAGTGATTTCGATCGTAGAATTTTCAACTGAATTTGAAACTGGCACATTGGAGGAGGTGATAATTGGCAACGATTGATAAGTTGGCACAGAGTTAGAAAAGTTAGAATCCTGGGAACGCGAATGATCACTTTTTGAATTGTCAATAGAAAAAGCACCTGAGTCCACGGCTGAATGCGTTGAGCGTCCGTTAGAATTTATCACAGTGTTTACGAGAACGTGACTATCAGCCGAAGACTCGGACATCAAGCCATTTGATTTTTCATCAGATCCATTCTGATAAGAAGAGGTTTGTGCAGTTAGGACTTGAGGCTCTGGATGACCAAGTCTATTCTTAAATGTTTCTGTAATTGAGTCCAGATCATCAAGTTGTTTCCTGCAAAAAATCATTAGAACATCCAGTAATAAATTTAAAAGAAAAAGAAAACAATTGACAAACCAACAGCATTCACAAATACATGAACAGTACGTATAACTTTGTTATGGCTGAAATCAGTTAAATTAGGTCATTGCCTAGCGTCTGAAAGCTGCGTCAAAGTTTTAGATTTCAAGGCACTGACCTGAGAGATGAGAAGAGGAAGGATTTTGAAGAAGAGTTATCCATCTTGAATGAGAAGTTGGGATTCCAGTGTTGAGTTGTCATGGTGACTGTTGGTTGCTGTGTTAACTGGGATTGGTTGCTAAGTGTATCTAGATGTATCTGTGAAGGGACGGAAGACGTATCTGGTATAGCCGTGCTATATATAGAAGTCCATGGAGTAAACAGAGGAATTGAAGGCACAGAGGAATTAATCTGAAAAATAAAATTTAAAAATGTCAATGGCAACTGGCGATGTTCTCATACAATTTTTCAGAAATTTTAAATTTCTCTGATTTACCAATCCATTGACAGGTTTTCACTCAACACTTTTTTCAAGTTACTTTTCTTCTTTAGTCAAAATCTTCATGCTAATAAAGAGCACGATCATCTTAACCCTTCCAACACACGCTGTCATTCTACTGGCCACATCAATATGTGATATAGATCCGAGAGTCTGGTGAAGCAACCATTCCAACTGATCTCACATAGCCGTCATTTGTTGTCAAGTTGTAGGCCTTGTGAGGTTTTTTTTAAAACTCAGTGCTTAAAGTGTTAGGTTAATTTTGTAACATAGCGCCCTTAAGAAGTAATAAGAAAAAAAAACTTTTACGAACCTGTTGAGAATCTGTATTTCGTTGAGGAGAAAGATTTGTTTGTGGAGTGATATTCACCTGTAAAACAAAAGAATTTCAATTTGTACCATTTCATCACTTTCCTCTGGTAATAAACCTGACAAAAATATTCTCAAAACAATCTTAGCGCTAGGATGTCCTAGGTTCTTATCCTAGCGCTAAGATCGTTTCGAGAATACGTGGCCAGGTACTTGATTACTGTGCTATATAAAATAACAAGTGCTCTCATACCTAGGCCAGTGCTTTTATTAGATTTTATCTCATTGCAAATTAACACTGTGGTCTGAAGCAATGTTTATAGTGGGAGTGGTCTCCCTTTAAACTTCAGGTTGAGCCTTAACAAAATAACACAGGCCTAATGATCTTCTAGTAGTAGTATAGTAATATTTTTTCGGCACACTACTGAACCATGTCCCAACCATCTCAATCAAGCACCCCTCGCTCCCTCCCACCCCCCTTCCCCCTCAACAATGATGAAAGCTAACTCACCTTCATCTGACCTTGACACTGGCCATTAAAATCTAATATATTATACCAGCCACAGATCTGTAGTAACCCTGACGACAAGGGAGATAAATCAACTGATACAAAACCTAATACACGATCACTGGACTTGTCTAGGGAAAAAAAAAACATTGGTTCATAGGCTAGTTCTGTAGTTCTTCAGACATGATATAGATTGTAATTTCACCACCCATTTGATTTGGGAGTTCAACTTCGCCCAAAATTTGCTGGTTTTCGAGAATTTTCACCATAATGAAAGCCAAATTTGCTAATAACTTGGTGAATTTACAAAGCTGAATAATTAATGAATTCTTAAAACATTAACAGATATTCTATGATGTTGGAATACCACAATACATTCTATGAAGAAAAACATAAAATTTACCTGGGCTTTTAGCAGCATCAGATGGCTTATGCCAAACTTTCAACACCAAATTCTGAAACGAAAATGATTTATCCTTATAATCTTGGACCTCCAAGTTAGCAGACATGCCTCCAACTTACTGAGCCACGGTGGTGCCTTCAAACTGGTGATAGGTCTATAAAGTTTGCAGTATTCTGCAGACATGACCTTTCTTTATTGTCCCATCTGAGACACTTAACACATTTTCCATGTCAGCCATTATCATCATGGCACCCTCAAACTATGGCGCCTACCAAATGTGGGTTATTAAAGAACAAGATTTCTGTGTCAGCCCTTTTGAATATAGCAGTTCCAAGCTTTTAAAGAAATACATACCTTATTGTCTTGGATGAGATAGGTATTAGGTATTCTGGTCTCCCGACTGTGGTCCCAGATTGGTGCCGTAGAACTCGGGAAGATATCAGTATGTATTGGTTTGCTCTTGTCACTGATCTGGTAGGATACATAGGAAGTTGGCGCCACCTCTTCTGATCTGAAAAACAGAGAATTAAATCCAAGTCATACTGGAAAACTTAGTCCTCAACAGAACAATACATTGGGCCTGTTTGATACTATCCTAGGAATCATGGTGTTGAAGATATAGAACAGTTCAACCGATAACTAAATTATCTTTACGTGATACTATGGTAATTTCATGGATCGTTTAAAACTCTCTCATAAGAATTGCAATGTTTCAGGTATCATATCCATCATCAATAACTTACCTATCTTTGTGTGATACAGTAGGCAAATGCATGGCCCGTTCGATGCTGACATGCACCATGAAACTGTTCTCGGTGTTTAACCCTGCTGTTCTATCGTGTTGTTTACTAGGACTGGTACCGGTACGTGATGTCAACTGATGGAAACTATCCTGAGAATCATAATCTTGTTCTGTATCTGATACTAGGAGGTCTATCTCTTCGTCTGATGAATCCCCATTCTAGATAAAAAATAACAAAATGGAGAAATTGAGGGACAAATACTGGGAATTTGCAGGTCTGCAATACCTCTGAGCCCAAAACCGGCAGATTTACCTTGGAACAAGAAAATTACTGCTTAAGTGCCACGCAGACACCCCTTTTCATTGTCTAGGTCTCTGAGTTGCAGGTAACCAAAATAGAAGAATAGAAAGATATTATGGTGTCTGCGTTATGCTAACTTGTTGATCAGGTCCTCGAAAGGGTGTATAGTACAATCTCTATGTACGGTGACAGATTTTTCCAAATTTACTAAAAGGTAAGAAGGGCTGTGCATTATATTCACTTTTTAGGTGCGCAGTATATTCATAATTATACAGTACCTGTGTATGATGAGGCTTTATACCAATCTGTAACTGTAAACAACTGCCTCTCATTTTATTACACCCTGGTTTTATTAAGGGATACACACCACTACAAATATAAAATTGTGGTAAGGAAACAACACCATACAGTGTGCAATATTGGAAAGTTACCCAAATTAGGACAAAGGTTTTACTGAACACATTTGAGACTTTTTACTGTTGTGTGATCCTTAGTACAAAGGTATTATAGAACACTTAGAATCTTTAACATGTACAGCCTGTGGCCAATAAATCCATAAAACTTGCATACATCTTATATAGAGATTCTATTCTTTAGTCATGGCAACTGGTAAGTCTAACTGATGAATAAATAAACTTATTAACCATTGGAACAAGTTTCAGATTCCTTTAAAGGGCTTGTGATGACTATGCACTAATTTTTCACACACAAAAGTACTAAGAAAGTTACCTGATTCTGTGCTGTGATCTATTGTGTCTAGACAGCTGCTCTAACTCAATAAACGCTGACCCTATCAACTTATCACGCTGTTTGGGTCGTTTCTCTCCACGATCTTTACGGGAGTATGTCACCCAGACTTGAACTTCCAGTCTTTCTTCTTGTAAATACCTTTAACCAAAAAATCGACTGACTACAGATGCTGTATAATTTTATAAAGCAATAAATCAGTCAAGGGCAGTAATTTAAGAAAGATTGCCAAATAATTTTTTTACAGAAAAAAAAAACCATTTCAATGCGCAGTCTAATGAAAATTTGACCAAATTGTCGTCTGTTCTTTCAGCATTATTTCTGGCGTCTTAAACATATGTCCAATTGCTGAAATCACAATCGCTATAGATGGGATTTTGTGACGAAAACAATAAGTGTATTCTGATGAGCATTAGACACTGAATGTACCTTTTATTCACGAGGCCTGTCTTAAATATACTAAATACCTACCATTGATACGTAGAAGATTTGGGTAAGATATACTGATGTTTATGATTCAAACTACACACAACGTAACTAGCATCATTGGTTTCCATGGTAACATTCTTAGATATTACAGCTCCTAAACATGTTAGACATACAATTACATTTTTTTTATTTACATGGACTTTTTTGTTGTCCATTTGAAGCATATATTGGGTTTGTCAAGGGCTGTAACTTAGGGAAAATTTGTCGCATCATTCCCAAATTTGAACTTGTCCAAGAACTTGTAGTTATAAACCTGCACACAAAATTACAAAAAAAACCCAAAAACAAATCGTTGCTCTAATTGCTTTTCATATTTCAGTATATCAAGGGCTGTAACTCAATAAACATTAGTCAATCGGACAGACGAATAAACAGAGGCAATGGTAATATAAAAATCAAACTTACGTTTATCGTAAAACTTATATCTAACGTAACACCTAGCGTTACGATCTAACACTGTCTGGCCTGTCACTATGGCGTTATTTAACGGGAAGCAAATATAATCTATACCAATCTTTATCTTACTATAGTCTTTATTACTTACACCTAAAATAAAACATCATTTTCATCAGAAAAAATAACCATAGGCTAACCATAGTTAAGCAACACAGCAAAGTTTGGTCCCTTTTTCAGAAATGGCAAATTCCATGATTCATCTGGAATATGTAGCAACTCGTGAATAGAGAACTGTATGTAATGTACAATCAGGGAAATTTAGACAGAGAACTTCTTTTGAATTGGTCTGAAAATGATCACATGAGTGCAGTGCGCAATGAGGGAATTCTAGCAACATTGTTGTTCGAATCTGAATTTTCAACTGTTTAACTAGGCCCTTAGCAACTGTATAAAGGGTCTCACTAATATGGCCCTTAAGGCTTCCACCATATATTCCAAAACAACAAAAATATAAACAGAAATCGTACAACACTCACCATCTAAGTCCCAATCTACAGTTTCTAGATTAGAATCTATCGGTGACCATCCCACACTTCTACCTGATGATATCACATGGTCACGATCTTCCGGGTTAGCAAATCGGACTGATAACTCTAACCCACCAACCACACGGTGTAGTCCCGTAAACTCACTACTCTCTGATTGGAGGAAATTATCTTCTGATTGATCAACTGACTGATTCCAGCCAATCGTTGGACGGATAATTGGTTGCCAACCATTTATACCTTCAAATAAGAAGATTTTTCATTTGATTTTTTATTGACTACTCTATACATCTTCATTTTCTACACAGTAACTTATATTCCTTGGAGTTTGGGTTATTTGACGTGTAACTCACACTCACTGTTAAAAGGGTTAATTAACTTTGAATAGAAAACATTACTCACCAGTTTTCTTGGTCAGTAAGGAATATAAAGAAAGAGTTACTGTTCCTAGTAGTGTATCTGAAGTACGATTGGACGTCGATGGCTTGTAATCATCTGATTGGTTGGATGGATTAGCAATACCTATAAAAGGAAGCATCATCGAATAAAGCTCAAATCATTTTTTGAAATCAAGTTTTATTTTAAGAGCCTTGGCCTCAAAGACAATATCAAGATTATCAGAGATAGAGTGTTTTGGAGCCTCATTTTCCAAAACTTAATTGAAATAAAATCCAGCTCTTAAGAAAATTAAACAGTAATTTGATTGGATGAGAAAACTTAATTTCAGTGATCGTCCAATAAAATCTTCTTTCTTTAAGTTTTCAAGAAGAAGACCCTGGGGCAATAATTTCTTGAATACTTACCCATAGACCCAGGAACTTGATGCCAGACTTCAAACACAGCCTCTGCCGATTCTAATATCTCAGCTAAACTTTGTGCGTCTGCCAAGGGTTGTGTGAAGAGAAGAGGACAGGGAAAATCTAAATAATGACTGAATTCTGGAGCAAATGTTCTGGCTACGGTCTTCGTCAGTCTTTCACCCTAAGAGATAAAAAAAACAGCACATATACTGTAAAATTGTCAATATAACGCACACCCTTTATTACCCTAGAGTAATTATGGGAAGATTTCTGTCACCATAAATGATATATATCTACAATTGCTAGTATTGTGCGCACTTCTTTAAATTTTAAAAAAATCTGGAACAGTTGCATATCAACAGAGACAAAATTTGCAGAGTTAAGAAGGAGTAAGCCTATTCTTGAATCCATTTTCAACTGTTGATAGATTTTTAACATGTACAACCTGTAGGAAACAGGGCCTCAGTTTCATTTCTATCTAAGAAACCAGACGCTCCTAGACTCTCAAACCTCCATCACCATCAGGGAAAGCAAGAAGTTATCAGTCTTTACCTGTTGTAAGAAGGAGAGTTTGATTCTAATATAAGTATTAACACCCACTTCACTGGGATATTCCATAGATTGATCAAACCTGGCCACGTGTTCTGCTGCCGTCTGAAAATAATATCAGTTTCATCTCAATATCATACAAATCAATAGGGTAATATGGCAGGATTATCATAAAAAAATAGCGGAGGTACAAGCACTTAAATGAAGATGTTAAATCAGATAAGAAATATAAGAAAATGGATATCTAGAATAGCATGTGTTAAAAGCAGGACTTAATATGTCAATCAAAATTCTTAAAGCTTTGCATCAATCCTAACTATTGGTTTATATAGAAATTACCAATTTTCAAAGAATAGTATATGATCTAAAGAGGATATTGAGTTGCCAAATCATGAGGAAAGAGGCATCAGGTGTTCTGGATCTTACCTTGAGACCGGCAGCTTTGATTACGCCAACTGATATACACACATTAGAAGTATTGATAGATCTTGATATTGGTCTATTGAGGTTTACATCATTCTAAAACAAATATTTATAATTCTTCATAACAATTAATTCAAGATCAATCTGTCTAATATAACTGGTACATTAAAGTTTTAGAGAATCTGTCTCCAGGGCTTTGTAAATCATAAATATAACTTTTGTTTATCTCATTTATTTGCCAGTTATATTCAACTTTGCTTTATAAATAATGGATACAACTAATGGTTTCATTAACAAGCCTAGTTCTTTAAAACTTGAAACTAGCTTTCACTTATGATTTGAAGAATTCACTTTAGGAAAATATTAAACGATATAAAATTAAAAGAGTGAATACCTTTAGAAGTTGTGTTTTATAATGTAAAGTGACGTCTAACATTCCAGAGTCCATACACTAAAAAAAAAAATATATAATAAGGTAGAGAAATTTGGAGATTTACATGTAATTCTGACCAGGATAAGTTATCAGAGTTTAGTGCCCAGGATTAAAAAATATTTTTCACAAGGATAACAACTTAGGTTCGCGAAGATTCCTACTATCAGCTGTTCCTTTGCCAAACCTCTTGTCATGTGATGTGACAACTGCAACACAATACAACATAAATACAATATACTGACCTTAGTTTTTAATTCAGGATCAGTATTGGTTGTCATGGTATTGTGTGATAAAGGAAGTTGGAATGTCTGTATGGATGGTTCTCCTCGTTTCTGCATAGTAACCATGGCACATAGTTTAGCTAATGGTAGAGTAGCCTAGAAACAAGATGAAATTAGAGCTTTATATCTACTTTTCTGCACCTTATTTCAGTCAATTTTATGAGAGATCATTGACTCATTGTGGGAAAATCTATCAGTCTACTATTCTTCAACGTCCAACTCTTTTATAACGGCCCTCTGACCAGCATCACTAGATGTTGCCTCTTTTCAAATTTCAGCTGTGGATAGTTTGTAAGCAAGAGATATGCGTAGTCAAAAAATAATTTACTTTAGCTATAACTTGATCTCGAACATTAGGATGATAATATCGACACCAAACTTCAAATGGTAGACCCCCACTTCCTCCACTAGAGTTGGCACAGGCTGTAAATAAAATTATGATGAATAAATGAAATGTTGTTTTATTTATTTGTTGTGTGAAGGAAACTTTGACAGTGAGGCAGCAGTTTAAACATTTATGACAACAAAAATGGTATTTTCCTAAACCCATCTCTCTGAAAGTAAAGATACTCTATTCCTCTACAACTTCAAAAAATTCAAGGCTCCTCTATCATCAATGAAAGTATAACAAAGTTACCTGTAAGTAGTTCCCGCTGCACGGGAACACCCTGATCTAGAGTGATTCGGTGTCTATTACCATCATTAAATACAGGATCCGGAATACATAAAGTAGTCCCAGTACGATAAGAACGTAAAGTTGGTGTTGCTAAAAATAGAAGCATCAATTAATAATCTGTAATCAGATCGTAAGATAAAACTGTAATTAATGATTGACCAATCAGATGACTAGAAATCTAAAATCATCTTAAGTTCGGATTTCAAGAATGAGCACTAAGTGTTTCAAGAAAAAAAGGCTCTTACCATGTTTGACTCCATCAGTTTCAAGTTGAGTAGGAAAATGATATTGAACAAAACAATCTGCTTCTCCCCAAATCATATTCTCAAACAATTTCAAATTCTTGATTCCTTCAATACTCAACTCAAAACAATGTTCCACTGAAATACAGTTCAATTTAAAATAAAAAAAAAAACAAAAAAAACCATGCAGAATATAGGCGAATCAATGTAGCAGCTAATGGACTTTTTCACATGAGGAAGTATATCATCAATAATAAGAGAGTAAGTATATAAATTATCTGACATTCTGAGCAGCTTTTGAAAAATCAAAATTAAGAGAATGAAAAGAATTCAAATTTGGCATGTTCATACTTCCAAGTCCAAGGCTTAATTTTAATTCAAATTTCACATTTATTTCAATCAAAACTTCATGACGAAAAAGTTTTATTAGAATGATATGCTGGTGTTTGATGAAGACTGTCGGTTAATATTTATTTTACAAAAGATACAACAGTGAACATGTTGTAAAATATACTTACCAGAGTTTGGTTGAAGATCTGTTTTATAAATTGCTTCTTTAGAAAACAAATCTTGTCTAAAAACATACACAAATCAAAATAAATAATTCAGATATTATCAAAATAATGCATGCTGAAATTACGCTGTTATCATGTAATAATGCTTATAATCAGAAAGTTTATACACAATAACAAAGTACTGTTGATTTATATAATTTGTGAAATATCAATTTTAGTTGGTTAAATATCTGAACTCTGACCTTTCTAAATGGTGCTGTGGACGTTCAGGTGCAGAATTCTCACCCTCGATTCTCTGACGTTGTAATACTGTTACCTGAAACAAACACAATGAAATGATACTACCACAGATAGTATTACAGAGACATCCTTAGTTAACATATCTAATTATCTTAACCTTTGATACTACCACAGATAGTATTACAGAGACATCCTTAGTTAACATATCTAATTATCTTAACCTTTGATACTACCACAGATAGTATTACAGAGACATCCTTAGTTAACATATCTAATTATCTTAACCTTAGATACTACCACAGATAGTATTACAGAGACATCCTTAGTTAACATATCTAATTATCTTAACCTTTTATACTACCACAGATAGTATTACAGAGACAGCCTTAGTTAACATATCTAATTATCTTAACCTTTGATACTACCACAGATAGTATTACAGAGACATCCTTAGTTAACATATCTAATTATCTTAACCTTTGATACTACCACAGATAGTATTACAGAGACATCCTTAGTTAACATATCTAATTATCTTAACCTTTGATACTACCACAGATAGTATTACAGAGACATCCTTAGTTAACATATCTAATTATCTTAACCTTTTATACTACCACAGATAGTATTACAGAGACATCCTTAGTTAACATATCTAATTATCTTAACCTTTAATACTACCACAGATAGTATTACAGAGACATCCTTAGTTAACATATCTAATTATCTTAACCTTTTATACTACCACAGATAGTATTACAGAGACATCCTTAGTTAACATATCTAATTGTCTTAACCTTTGATACTACCACAGATAGTATTACAGAGACATCCTTAGTTAACATATCTAATTATCTTAACCTTTTATACTACCACAGATAGTATTACAGAGACATCCTTAGTTAACATATCTAATTATCTTAACCTTTTATACTACCACAGATAGTATTACAGAGACATCCTTAGTTAACATATCTAATTATCTCAACCTTGTTTTACCATAAATCTTTACTTTGAGACCTAGGCCAGTGCTTTCATGAGACTATTTTCTCATCACCATCCAACACAAATCTCAAGAACATCTTTCGTTTTTAAAAATAATGAATCTTGTAGAAAAAACAGTCAGACGTTAGGCAGACTCTTCTCCAAAAGTTTCTCGTCAAACATTGTCTTTACAAGAACTTGATAATGTATTTTTACCTGCTCAGTACTTCCCATAGCTAATAAAACATGAATCTGACCAAATTGATAGCCAGTAAAAGGATCTAATATTGGTAGAAAATTATCAACGGCTACTACTGGAAACTGAAACAGTCAATAAAATCATCAACAATATAATCAACAAGATTATGGTAGATATAAAATTTGCAATCTATTCAAACTTGATCAGGCTATTGGACACACCATTGGACAGTAACGCCTATATCAATAAAGAACACCTTTTAGTCATTAATATAATATCTTTAGCATATGAATTCTATGATAGTAAAATTATATAAAATCTTTATTATAAATAAGCAAACAAACATAAAGAAACTATATTTACCTGTGATTTAATGAGTGCATTAGCTATTTTCCTCTCTCGAAACGACATAAAGAATTGATGTAAACTGAGTTTTATAATACCAATTAACTACAAAACATCATACAAAATACAAAATATTCCATGCTCCAAATTCAAACGCTTATAGAAATGGCATCATCTTTAAAAGGGTCACCAGGCACCACTTCTTTGTCTTCTTGACAAGAGCTCATTCCACATTTTGAACATTAGCTTTTCATATCTAAATGCCATCAAGCAGGGTAAAGACATGCTTGAATCATTAGACCTAGGCTTCTTAATGGTGACAAATGGGAGATAACTCTTTACATCTTATCAATACTACAGACTACAATAATTGAATTTTACAATACCTTATCATTTTCTGCTGTTGTTTTCTTATCCCACACTTCAATAATCATAAAATTGTTCCTCATTCTTTCTAACAAAGATGGAGTCATAAGAACAGGAACGATTTGTAAGAAATTATAATTAGGTTGACTCGATCCCCAGCAGACGTTAGACGATACAGCATCATTACACCAAAACATACGACACACTAGATAGGTATTTCTGGCCGTCATATCACGATTACCTGTGGGAGAAAAATAAAATAAAAGAATTATATGGTTTATCTCATATCTAGGCCTGTGAAATTGAAAAGGCCTGTTAAGGATGAAATTTGAGATTTTTCTTAAAGACACAAGACATTTATGAAGCATAATTTGTTAATAATACTTACCCAATTGTTGTTGTTGTTGTTGATGGATTAAGACTGGTCGTTTGTTTACCATGTGTAAAGGGGGAATACCCTGGATGGTTATATTACGCCCATCAGGTATAAATAGTAACATATTTAACGTTAATGCCTGTAAATATAGTAACAATATATCAGCTAGAAGCTTGGCAATATTGACCTATCAAAATGTTTAGTTTTAGTAGAATTGCAAGAAAAAAAGACATTCAAATGGTGCTTTCAGTGTCCCTTATACACATAAAAAGTTCTTTACATTCCCTTTAAAGCTAAAATATTCACGCTATCGAAGATGTAATTTGAATTCAATCAATTTACAAACCTCAACGTCATCAACAGTGATATTTGGTCTGCTCGTTGGAAGTTGATACATAGTAGATGATGGATTAGGATGACTTCTTAATTCTGATTGGTTAGGCACAATATCTTCTACTTGCTGATTGGTTGTTGAAGGCAGTTGATTGATGTAAGGCTGTTGATTGGTTGAAGGCAATATATTCTGTGAAATTTGATTGGACGGAGCTGTATTTGGTTGACTATTTTGAGCAATATGATTGGTTGAAGATGAAGGGTATGAATCAGAGATGGGATGTTGTTGGACAGACGGTTGAGATGTGACTGAAAGATGAAAAATTTTAAATATGGGAGCAGACAAAAAAATTTAAATTTCAAATGGATATGATAAGGCCCAGTCAGCCGTCGAAAATATTAAAAAAAATAGAATGAATGCACAATAATCATATCACATGTATCTTCAGATTGGCACCCCAACATTGTTATGTCCTACCTCAGAAAAATGAGTTTCTCACATACCAGAGTTTCCCACATCATTTTAGTGGTTTCGAATATTACTTCCTACTGAGAAACTTTTAACTTCCCATTTTTGCGAGTGGTGGCGAATACATTTCCCTTGATTGAAAGATCATTTTGACCTACCTATTTGAGTGTTTTTGATATGATTTTCAAGATCTGATATAATAGTATCAGAAACTATTGGGGGTGGGGCTGGAGTGGGTTGAGGTAGGGGTACAATTTTGGTTTTTCCAGATATCTCAGCTATCTTAGTCCTAGCCAGAGCAGTAGCAAAATCTTTGTGGTCTGATGCTAATTCCACAGATACCTGAAATAATATTGTCATAGAAAACTAAATTTTGATTGTATTGTTCTGCACAAATAAATCTGACGGAGGCAGGCAACATCATGCAGTGTGCAGTGAAGGAAATTTAGCCATGGCAGCAGCAATAGCCTACCCTTATTCAATATCCTACTTTTGGGGTATCTATAACATGCACAGTCCACTTTCGTTTTAGGTAGTTTAAGTGGTAACCAATACAATATTAGCTTAATATATTTAGTAGCTATTACAACTTATGCCACCTGAAAATAAAGTGGACTCGTCTTCTTTGATCAACTGTACCTTGAAAATTAAAATGTGACGTAAATTCCACAATAATAAAATAACAAAAAGTATGTCAGCATACCTGTAAGTTACCAAGAAGAGATCCGGAGCCTCGAGCCGACCCATTCACCACTGAACCAGATCTTCCTGTTTCTCTAATCTCTATACTACGATTTATAAACAAACCATCAGAACGAAGGATAGATTTCAACGGAAAACCACAACTTCCTATTGCTGTTGGCTGAAATAAATTACAAATGAAGTCAACTGACTGAATTTTTACTGAGTAATAGTGTCAAGCACAGAGCACACCATACTTCAAAACACCTGGTGGAACATTTCATTTGAGGAGTCAACCAGTATTCAATTATTGCTCTTGATTTTGCTTCGGATGAAATTTTTGCTTTATTAAATTGTTTTGCTTTTTAAAACTAAAATGATTTGGTTAAAAGCTTACTGTTTTCTGGCCAGGTTCTCGTGCGAAGATTTTAAATATTAGAGCTGATTTCCACCATTTATCTACGGATGTACCATCAAACATTATAGGAAATACTGAACGATGGTTGAATGATACCACTGAAAAAAAACACTCAAAAATAAAGAATTCATAGTATAGAAACAGTATCTCCACCTTGAGGGGTGTTAATTGTTTCGGCATCTTTCTGCCCCGGAGAAACAATCCAACAGGTTTTTGTTTCTCACAAAATGTTTAATATGTTTTATCATTAATGGGGTATTTTTCAACTCACAACGAAGTCTTTTAACACAAGTTCTTATGGGAAACAGGGCTCTGCAGGGTACCAAGAATGGCTCACACTAGCTTTCAGGCACGTGAATCTGAAACCTTTTTAATAGTCTTTATCAAAATGATGGTGAAATATTGTGAACACTTACCACCATTTTTTATATTTTTGGAGGCGACCCTCATGACTTCGGTTGCCATGGCATTAGGTGAATATTTATCTCTTGATGTGGCCACAACAGGAAACTGATATTCAATAAAGTACGTACTGAAAATAAAGAAGAGAAAAACAAACATGTTAGAAATAGTATTCAAAATCCTGCAAGTTTCAATTTTGAAAAGAGTTAAGGATAAAATAGAACACTTACTTGTGGCGCTTTGTTTTGGATGCTGGCCTTGGTGGTTTCCCTGATTTTAAAGATTTAGAATTCTTTTTACTGGAGATGGACAAATTCAAATCATTCAGATCTAAAGAGTCGATGGAAACTCTTGCAACATGAACGCGTCCCAATAACGTTAATCTCTCTACACTCAATCCATCTATAGATTTCTTACTGCTAGATGCAGGTGGTTCTGAAAAATACAATACCTAGATGCTAGTACGAAGTTGCTAAGTTACAGTAAAAGAGGCTGACAAGTTGGCGCCAAAGTTGGTGTACCTCTGGTACAAAAGCATCTCTGTTGTCTTCACAGATGATAATCAAACTCCCTTCTGACTGAAATATGCCACTGGACTAGCGTTCAACTCGCTAGCAACTTAATAATTTGACACAGCTGTAGATAACAGCTTAGAAGGCAACAAATTGTTGCAAAATCAACGCATTTCAAAAAGCATACCTTTTGCTGTGTCTTCTAGATCTGAATCCATCATGTCGAAGGAAACTCGAGATATTTCTGATCGAGGCGTAGACGCCATTTCATTTTCACTAAAGTCACTGACACTACTTCCACGACTGCGAGTTTTTGACACGCTACGTTTTTTACTACCCTTTCGTTTAACGTTCGTTGAAGTTCCTGATTTTGATGTAGATCTAGATTTACGCACTTTCTTCTTTTTCTCTGGTTCCAAAACTGGTATGTTCGATAACGTGGATATTGATGACCTTCTGGACGGTGGGCGCTAGAAATAAAACAATTATGGGATAGATCTTATGAATTTAATTAAAGTGTAAAAAAAAATCTTTAGACTGTGGGCTATTCCAATGAAATATGCTTAAATCCCCTAAGAAGCAAAATATATCAAATTTTACATACCATATTTCCAGCATCTTTCAATGATGAGGCAGAATTTGATCTTGACCTTGACCTTCCTGTAGAGTTTGACCTCGACCGTGACCTTGCCCCAGACCTTGACTTTGCTTCAGACCTTGACCTGCCTCCAGACCTTGACCTTGACCTGGCAGCTCTAACAGGTTCTTCGGGACTGAAATCACTCAAGGCACTTCCCTCACTATCCTAAAAACCAAAATTTAAGTTCATCAAATGATTGAAACAACAATTTTACCGTGAAACAACGGAAAGTTTGGTGATGTCCAATAAGTCATCTTTCTTCATTATTCAAAAGGAGTATAGATAATCCGAAATATCAATGCCAAGAGGTTGGGTCAAGGACCAGATGACTTACTGAATATTTATAGAATAACTCGTTAATGATGTCATCTTCCTGTAAAGGATCATGGGAATCACTGAGTATCTCCGGATCACTGGACAGACTGGAACCTGGACTTCGATTGGAATTCACCATTTCTAACATCTACAATACAAATATCATAAATAATACCGTTTCCCCAATATAAAACAAGAGGGCAAGAATTGCTAAGTTGACAAATTAAAATATCAAATTAACATCGTTAGCAAAGTGGACTCTCTCACCATGTTGACAAACAAAGTGGATTCACTCAAAGCAAAATGTTGATAATCCAGTATCAAAGTGGCATCAGGTGTTTCCAAATTAAGAGACTGCAATAGAGGAACACAACTTCATTCAGGAGCAGCATAGGATCAAAATATTTTCCGTAATGAAATCTTTTTACTCTTACCTGAAAATCTCTGCTGCGAACAGGAGAATGAAGAACAAGGTCAACAGCCTTGACCCCTGTATCAGTATTAGAAGAAGAGGATGGCACAATGTCTCTCTGCGATGTATAATCTTTGTATAGATTCCCTGTAGAGTGTCTGAAATTATACAGAAGTAGGTTATCTTTTCACATCTTAATAATTTCCTCTTGGAATTTTAAAATTAAACAAAACAAGTACTAACGATCCAAACCTCAAAACAAAACACAAAGTCAAAAACTACACAGTAGTGAAACATTGGTAGCAGATAATGAGGAGGTATATCCAACAGACTTTTGAAGTGATCTAAATGCTATGGACTTTATGGTAAATGTTGACATTTGAATGAATTTTAAGATCTGAACAACCAGCGTGTAATATCATATTTATATTTCTGCATTTGAAAATTTGAGGCAAATCATATTTTTCACACATTGCGTTTTGGGAGAGAATATCTATGCCTAGTGTTGAACTTAAATATAATTGTGTCAAATCTTTTACCTACCTAAATGATGTATCGTGTATATTATTCAGGTTATCAGGTTGTGATGTAGATTTGGTTGGTGGTAGAGTAGAGACTATCATAGCATCACGTAATTTATTACCACGATTTAATAACACAGATAATACATCGGAACCTTCAGCACTTCTTCGTACATCTACAAATACAGTCATAAAACTTTCTGTTTAATTGAAATTTTAGAATGGCGTTTCCCTAAAAAGTTATAAGGCCACACAGCAATAAAGTTCATGGCACATATTTGTAGAATTAGGTTGAGAAAGGAAATAACTAGCTTTGACAGACAAGGATAACAATTCAGGGTCAGGAGGATCCTGTCTACCACATGGTTCTTGGCTAAACTCTTTACATACAGACCTGCTGGCAGAGTTAAATAAAAGTGAAATTCTCCTTACCTCTGACAGAATTAAAACCAGAATCAACACTGTGTACGAGATGTTTAGTAGGTGGGGAGAATTTGTCTCTAGTCGTCACGACTTCACCATTTTCAGTTATAGATACAGTGCTGCCATTGGTCACTGGTGCAATGTCCTTCACCTTGACATCAGGCAGGTCATAGTTCAAAGTCTGACGAAGGTCATCAGCATATCTCAATGATATTCCATTTTCAACTCTTTGGGAGTCATCATTCTATGAAAGATACATAATATAAATAATTGGGATTTCAACAATGTCTGAGTCGATCACGTGCCTGGTATTTAAAATTTAGAAGGCTTAATGCCTAGAGAAAGCCAATGCCATGGACTCCTCATTTCTCATGAAGTGGGAAAGACTCTTCCAAAAAGACCTTGCCAAGAAAAGTAACTTATGTACACACCATTAAGAAACACTAATGCTTTCCATGGCTGAAAATTCAAAAAATTTGATAAGCTTATTGAATTTTTCAATATTTACATGTGACCACCCAATAAAAGAAAAAGAGACTCTTACCAAATGTGAAGCCGGTGAAACAAACAGATCATCATCTGGTTTGGGCGGGAGATGAGAATGAGGCTCTGGTAAAACACGGTGAGGTAAAGCTGATTCTTGGGTAACATGCATTTCCATGGAAATATCTGTAGTTGGTATTGATCCCATACTATCATACGAAGCTGGAAGTAGAATTTGTTACATATGAGGTATAGGATTGTTATTAAAATTGGCAAAAACATATCAATTCTTTTGAAAAAAAATTTTGACATGATTTTGCCCGAGACATGAGTATTACTGATTGGGCTAATGAAGACAGCTTTTGTCAATCAAGATGCGTAAATAAATGTAATGTAACTTACCCATTAAAGGTTCTATAACAATTGAAACTTTCAATTCGGCAATCTGCTGATCTTCAGGGTTAAAAACTGGAATCAAACTGTTAAAAAAAGAAATTAAAAATTTTGAGTGTTTAAATTGTCAAGGTGTCTGCTTTTTGTCTATTTTGTGAGATTTTCCTCCATATGTTGCAAGGCCTACGTTGAAAATCACACATTTGAACAGTAGAGTTACCCAAATTAAATAAGGGGAAAAGAGAATTTGAATAATGAAAAAACATTTTGATTGAACAGAGCCAAAAGTTAGCCGATTGACTTGGGCCTTGGCAATGAGTCGAATATTTTCAAAAATTTCTTACCCACTAATTGGTTTCATATTAGACAATGAACTAATCTCTGTTATTTCTGCTGTACCAACTGCTATGGCCATTGGACCAGACAATACTTCTAGAGTTAAACAACCCATATCATTTAAATAAGAAGTAAACTGTTTTAATCCTGAACGTATTGGATATCTAGCTGTCGTACAGAAAGTTGTCCTCCCTTGTTGTAATACATCTACTGGCCTAGAATAAATAATTCACAGTCATGACATGGTTATAAATGAAATAATCTGAAAAAATCAAAGATTCTGCTGAAAAAATTTCAATTTTTTTTTTCATTTGTTAAAAATCAGAAAAGTTACATAATCATGGACTGTGACTATACTGGTCAAATGGTTTTTGTTTCAAAGTAACAGGTCACACATTTGCAATAAACATTGTCTTAGGGTTAATCAATTTGACGCTTGACCCAAGAAAAAAGAAGCACTGGCTATGGCATCAGAATCAGATAAAATCATGTAAAAACCTGTCCGTAATTTATTTTCAACATACTTGAATGTAGATCCTTCTCCATCTTCTCCCCACCATTTTGTCCTGACTAAAGTTAAAACAGGGGGGTTAGGAATATCTGTACTCCAAATAATTTCTTCTACAGCTACCTTACAGAAACATCGTAGCTGTCCATCAACTTGAGGTGGCAAACTCGTGAACACTTTTACATCTTCTATCATTTGAGCACCAAATTTATCTGCAGAAATAGAAAGTTTTGAATTTAAAGAGTAATATCTAAGCCATGAAGGGTCAATTTACAGCTTTAGAATCATAGAAGTACCATAGTTGTACAACATTACTGAATAAATTAGCGCCACACTTTACTACACTACAGTTATTCAGTAAGGCATAATAAAGTCAGCTTTATTGGTAGGCTCATAGTCTTACTTGACAGTATTAGATCATCTCTTAAAACTTCATCAAGACTTTAAGACCACAAGGACAACGAAACAACAATGAAGCAGAGCATGTTCATACCAATTTAAATCCAGGTACATGCATTTCAACAACACAATATAGGGAAACTAAGTCCCAATCTTGGACTTGGTCAATATCATTATGACGAGCCTGTACTGAAGTTAACACTTTAACAGTGGGTGTTGAAAGATCTATTCATAGTAAAACCCATTAAACTATATGTCTATTCAGCATTAGGCCTATTACCACTGAGTAATGTAAGAATGTAGGTTAACAGCTATATCCTACTATTGGTACCCCACCCCACTCCTTTTAATCTTTAAAAATTCTTTAAATATTCTTCAGCACAGGGTAGCAACATTAATTTGGCTTGAAATTTGGGATAAGATAGCAGTTTGTTCTCAAAAATTATGATATAAAAGAGTTGGCTAGTATGTGGAGACCAAAAATTAAATCTTTAACAGAGTTGACACTTCGCCAAATAGCCATTGTAAAAATGCCGCTTGACATTGTTGACATGCACAAACACGGTTTTTGACAGTTTAAATTCAGATCAGGGTACATACCTCGAGTTTTAGACGATTTCTCGCCATTTCCTTTTTTCTTGGGCATGGTTATAACAAGTCCTACATTTTCACACTTTTTCCATTGTCAAATAATCCTTGTATTTCTCACAATTCAAGAAAAACTTCGTGTTACTATCCAAACATTCGTCTAAACTTGTCCGCCATTTTCTATGGTCTCGGGCAACAGTGGACTGAATTTTTGTGAGAATAATTTTTGATTTTAGACAACAATGACAGAAATGGTGAAATCTTATAAATCAAAAATCATTTTTGAAGTTTGTTTTCAAAAATTAATTTTTATTTAACATTATAAGTTTATGTCGGAAGCGATTAATAGATCATGTGACAGGAACAAGATGTCTGCTTTTGAGAAGGATTTAATGAAAAAAAGATTTGGATTGCCTTCTAAGCCTCCTATTGGCCTTGGATTGGGGTAATTTTTCTGCAGACTTGTTGCTCAGATTATAAGGCCTATTTGTAATTTAAGTTCCACGGCATAAGTCACATAAATCCTTTATAATTCATGTCATGGAATAAAAATTTGAGCAGTATTTGTTTGTTTACATTTTTCAAAAATCTGTTTTCTGCTTTACCCTTTAAACATGACTGTCTCTGTCAGTAAGTCAAAAGAATTCAAAAATATTTCTACAGACTATACAATGCAAAACCTGGATTTGAAGTAGTAAACCATCAACATAAGTTTAAATCACTGGTTTAAATGAATGATTGCTTTGTCGCTTTGAAACTCAATAGATGTTGTGGGCCGGCCGATGTTGTGTTACTCTTTTGGCTGTATGTTCTTTATCTTCATCCCCCTTTGACCCCTTTGGCTTAATCTAAATGATTCTTTGACCATCAATTTCAGTAATTCTGGTAGAAGAGCCCAGATCAAGAAGAGAGATTATACTCCGGTGTATTGGGATAAATATTTGGAATCCAAACATGATATAAAAACTAAGGACAACAATGTATCCTTTCTGAATTGAAAAGAATTTCTTTTGAAGACAACAAACACATTGAAAGCTACAAATCTTTCAAAAATCCTATTTAAACTTTCTTTTCATAATCTTTCAGAACAAAACAGCAATTTTTTATCTTTTAAAAAACAATTCTTCGTTTCAAACCTGGGCATATTCATTCTTTCTTGATTAATTGCCTTTGTTCCTTAACTCCATTAAGACATTTCGTGTATATGAATGTGGTGAAACAGGGCCAGTGTTAGTCTTTCTTCATGGAGGGGGATTCTCTGGACTGTCATGGGCTTTATTAGCTGTAAGTTGAACCTTTTATAATAGTAATAATAATATTGTCTCTATTTTATTGGGTCTGAATAACAGCAAAGTGGCATAACATTTTTCATATTTAGATTCATGCAATATTAACAAAGTTATCTTTCCTCATTAATGTTGACCCGATTTTAATAGTGCAATTTTGTTATTTTATTTTAAGACCACTGTAAACAGATTTGGCCAAGTTCCATCTTGTAAACAGAAACTTATAGATCTTATAAATGTTATTACTATCCTTGTAAACTAAGGAGAAATCCTGTATTTCTATTTTGTTAAAATGATATTTTGATATTTTTAGAACATGGTGTCTCATCTAGTAACTTGTCGTTGTGCGGCCATTGATTTACGTGGCCATGGTGACAGTGTGACATCAGACGACAAAGATCTTAGTGCTGAAACAATGTCAAGGTTAGAAGTGACTAATTTTTTTAATGTTTAATTTATCATTATTGCCTTTAATGTTGATAATTTGAAGGACTTTTAGTTTAGCCATGCTCTAATACTCAACTTCAAGGCATGACAGCAAGGGCAAGAAACTCTATCTAACTAGAAGGGAAGTAACTCTTGTTAAGAAGGGACTAATCAAGACCACAATATGACACTATAAGCTTGAAAAGCACATTATCAAACAAAAAATTCTTAACTCGTAAGATATTACCAGTTTATATTTTGTTACAGTGATGTTGGTGAAGTTATTAAAAGTTTATATGGTGAAGATCCTCCTCCCATTATTCTCATTGGTCACAGGTACCCTAGTTTTAATACATTTAGTTCTCTGATAAATTGCTTTATATCAGTTTTCATGATCATTTTGAGATAAAACTGATGTGAAAAATAGATAGCCCTTAAAGATATAGTTCCATAAACGAACAATAATTTTAAATATATCATTAATAAAGTTTTAACTTGTTGATGATGATTTTTATAAAAAGGAACCATCTTGGTTTAAATAATAAGCAAAAATATCTTATGAATGGTACAGTAATGAATGGTGTGTTAGGTGAAATGCAAGAAAGGCTTTTGAGCCTAATATCTTGCCTTAATAAAGCGATTATTATTATTATTATTATCCTATACTGGCATTATTGAAAAACATGAAAATTATATAATCACAGTGGGAACAAATGTTGGAAGAATGTAAATATAATGTATAATTGCAAGTATAATGCGCACAATGTAAAACTATAATTTACATGACCTCTGTTTGATATATATTACAGTATGGGAGGAGCTATAGCTGTCCATGTAGCAGAGAAACAGTTGATACCATCTCTAATAGGACTGTGTGTTATTGATGTTGTGGAAGGTTAGCTTAAGATATACTCTAGTGATAACAAACTTCTCTTATCTGACAACCATAGGCATAGCCCCCCATCACTCCTCCCTCCCTCACCTTTCAAAATTTTCGTGTAAGCAAGTTTGCCCCACCAACAGGCCTAGGGCCTGACCATTATGCTTCAAAAAATGGCTTATTATATATAAAATGATATTTAAATGTGTTGATAATAACCATATTATATGTGATGTTATGTTATGTGAAGTATATTTCTCTCCACTGCTTTGATGATTTTTTCAGGAACAGCTATGGATGCTCTAGCCAGTATGCAGAGTTTTCTACGAGGACGTCCCAAAATATTTAAATCTTTAGACAGTGTTATAGAATGGGCGTAAGTTTAAGTTTTAACTTTAGGTAGTTTCATAGATTAAACTTCAAATTGGAAAATGTGTAGAATTACATTTTATTTATTGTTTTAGTTCTTATATCTAATAATTATGATTTATTTCTGTAAGCTTACCTCTAATCTATCATAATTTTAAGTTTGGACTAGTCACAATATCTCATATTTTCACCTGGAATGTTTTTCTAAGGTTATGTATTCCTAATGATAAAGTAAGATTTAATTTTTTTTATTTAGTGTAAGAAGTGGTCAGATTAGAAATGTAGAATCAGCTAAAGTCTCCATGGTTGGACAGGTCAAAAGGTGAGATGATTAGTTTCGAACTTTATATAGAGGAAAGATGCTGGGTCAACCTTGTAATAGCCTATCATCTTCTTGCAAACTTGTGCTTTCAAACTTCCCTCATTGTGCTCTGCATAGCATTGCCAACCTAATTCACCCTACCACAAGCAGAAATATAGGACAGATATATTGTAGAATTATTTGGAAGCCTTGACAAAAAGCCTCATTGCTTACTTCCCTTTCAGAACTGATAATGACGAGACAGCTTCAGCAGAATTAGAACACAATCATGATATAGAGGCAGCCAGAGTGTCACATACTACTGATACCATACTAGAAGAGGAGGTCGATTCTGCTGGCAACAAAGGCAATAACTCTTCACCATCTTCATCATTTAAAACACCAACTTCACCAGAAGTAAGTCATAATCAATTCAGAGCATGTTCATTCTCAGACTTGTCGGCATGTTTTGGAGAGCCTACATGGCCAATATTGGATTTTGGATCCATGGAGATTCCAGATGGCTAATATTGATTATTTGGTATTCGGATTTGTCCTACATCCCTTTTAGAGAGTCCACATAAAAAATATTTTAGGGTCTATTTATGTTTAATCTGGTATGTTTGATTATATGAATTACCATTATGGTTTGTTCCTGGTGTTAAAATTATTCTATTGTCTATTTTCAGAAAACAGATGGACAGTATACATGGAGGATTGATCTATCAGAAACAGATTGTTATTGGAAAGGTACATATTAATTGTCTTTATCTTGAGGGGGGTACAACTTTCAAAGATTGGCTGGTAATTGAGCACCTAGTCTAATTATTTCGCAGTAAGTCTCATGGAAGATGAAGTTAAGGTATTTTTCTGTTTCAGGCTGGTTTGAAGGTTTATCTAATAGATTTCTATCTTGTGACGTTCCCAAGTTGTTATTACTGGCTGGGGTTGATAGGTTAGATAAGGATCTGACTATAGGACAGATGCAAGGTATGGTAGTTTTATCAATCAGCTATGTGAACTCTACAAATTAAATGTTATTGTCTATATGAAGTTAATGAAAGGGATGTTGAATTGATTGACAGAATCCATTAGATATTTGGAAGTGTGAGCTTGCCTTGCCATGCAGGTGATAAGATTCTTGTATTGTTGTTATTTGTGATAACCCTGATTCTTACTGTCGTTAAATAAACTTTCTGGTTGTTTGAAGATGATTCATGATTAAACTTGAATTCTTTGAAATGAATAAATAGGAAAGCATTATATAAGCATTTAAATTTGGTTTCTTTTTTTTTTTTTGCAGGAAAATTCCAGATGCAAGTATTGCCACAATGTGGACATGCTGTACATGAAGATGTTCCAGATAGGGTACGTACTTTATTTTCTCTCTGTGTAGAAAAATATACAAAACAAAACATCTGTCCTATTGATTTAATGTAACATCCTCATCATTCTGTTGTTTTTTTCGTCTTAAAACAAATTTATTTGACATTTTCTATTCAAAAGGAAAATATTGGTATTTTTTTAATCCTATTTTAGGTTGCCGAAATTCTCGCGACATTTATGGTCCGTCACAAAGTAGCTCAAGCAACAGCCAATTTTGAACCGTAAGATTTTTTTATTTCATTTTTTGAATTTTCTATGTTGGTTATAAGTACATCAAGATTTATGTCTTTGTGTACCTTATGAAGTTGCTTATAAATCCCATACAATGTGAAATAAGAGGAACTTGTCATGAGAGTGACATGAACTCAAGTTTTGAAGACTTCAGGAAAACCTTTCTGATAGAAGTGACAGAAAACAGAATACTGTCTACTATAGCAGGTCCACATTATAAATGACACGTTAACTTAAATTTCAATTCAAAACGAAGATGGTCAGCTACACCATTTGCTGCCTAAAATGAACATCTCTTTGGATTTTTTGAATGAACCTTTGTCCAATGAATTACTCTGCATTGCTTTTGTACATTCCAGGTCGTTTCCAGCTTGTTGAAACAGGCAGCGCTGACAGCAAGAAAGCGTCTCTAGTAGTGCTTCAAGTTTGCAAATTTGAAAGTTGGCTAATGTATATGTGTAAGAGTGCTTGTAGATGTTAAGGTCAGGCTATCACTAGCTCAGTGGGCTAAGATTATGTATATATATTATGGCCTATATCACATGTACACTTACGGTGCTGTTTTATTAATGAAGCAATATCAAGTTCACTCAACGATGTGCCATTTTTATGATCTCATTTTGTAGCTAAAATTTGAGGCTAAATGTTAAAATTCTATTATGCACGTTAACAAAAATATTTTGAACTGTCGATTTGAATAATTCTGAAAATACTTTGGAAATGTCGAATATATCGTAAATTATATTAATAATTTTGTGTTGTGATTGAACATTAAAAATTTACTGCAAGTTTTGAATTCCAATGGAACAGGTAATACGAAGAACTTAAAAATCCTTGATGCTTTACAAGCGCATGCCAAATAGAACAATGCTATTTGTATATTTTTAATATTAACTTCAACATAGGATGTGAAATGATCACACTATAGTATTTTGAATGTGACATATCCAGTTCCAGATAAAATGGGTAGAGACGGAACTTATTATTAATATGCTAATTGAGTAAGAATAAAGAATTATATTTCAGTCTGTATAAAATTTATTTATTTATAAACTCTGAATGTACACATTAAAGAAATATAAACATTTAATGCATATCTTCTTTATGTTCTGTTTTTTTTTCGATTACAATGATAAGTTTTTAACTATCATTTTTTCCCAGTGTACTCGGCTTACACTATATTGGTAGTACATATTACATAGTCTTTGTTGTTATCAAACCCTTTTCTATGACCGTCTCTTTTCTGTGCACTGATTATTGACTGGGATGAAGGCACGATATCTTTCATATTGTCCTTGATTGGAACCCAGTATTCAATCCTGTAAGAAATTCCTTCAGAGTATGCAACATAGGAACACCTTATCCCTCTCCATGATATGGTATTCTCCACTTGCAATAAACAGAGCTACGTGCCCCTTGTAGAGTTATCTTTCCTTGACCATGGGTACATCTTCGCCTACTTTCGTGTTCACCCGACCATGATGGGGAAAGACTACTATACCATAGCCCAATGTTTATTTGGTATTTCGTTTTATTATAAACTCGGCATGACTTTCTGAGAGTCCGTATGATGTGTTTTTGGTATTGAGGTTCAACAACTCGACATGCCTTCCGAAGATTCCACATTATATTTCTTTATCTATAACTGACAATGTGAAGAAGATCTTGGAAAGGGTATAACATCTCTAATATTAGATACACCTAATAGAAACTGTAGATATCTCTCAAAGCCTAGACCATATCCACCATGAGGATTTGTACCATATCTTCTTAGATCCAGATACCTATAAATTAAATTTAAATTTAAAATTCTAAAAAAATCTCAATTGAGCACATATCTATTTAACTGGCTGAGAAGTTTAAGCCACATTTTCACATGTGTAATATGAATTTATAAAAAATGTTTAATGAGCATACCATTGATATTCCTCAGATAGTTTTAGTGACTTCAGTTTCTCGTCCATGAACTTTAACCTTTCCTCTCTCAAACTTCCACCAATCAGCTCTCCTACTTCTGGTACTAATAAATCCACTGCTGCCACCTATTGGAGAAAAGCGTAGTATTGTATTCCATTGAAATATTAAGTGGACCAACAAAACCAAAGTTGTTATCCTTGAAATAAGAATGTTTATTTTTCTTTCTTTAGAGTAGAAATAAAATATTGTTTTACTTACTGTCTTGCCGTCTTCATTAGCTCTGGCATAGAATGGTTTTAACGTTGCTGGATAATCTGTGATAAAGACTGGACAATCAAGCTTCTTAGTTATAAATTTTTCATGTTCTTTTGATAAATCATCTCCCCACTGAAAAATAAATTAAAAATCTGTCACGGGTTCTGTAAAGCTCATAGTTTGGTATTCTTCTTCAGCATTATCAGATGCAAACATCTGGAACAAGAGATGGTGGATAAGAACAGCATACAATTAGTTGACGGTATAACAGAAATGCGTACTAGTTACCATGACAAAAACTCATGACCACATATATGGTACTGACTCTTTATTTTTCGGTCATGAGTTGGTATATTTTCTCGGTCTAATTCATGAAAAAGTTACTCAAAATCTAAAAGTTTCACCTTGATATCAACTTTAAATTTCTGTCGATTTTTCTGCAGTAAATCTACTGCCTCTGTATACCTCATTCTTTCAAATTTACTGTTTAACACTTTATCTATCAGAGTCTGAGAAAAGAGACATTTCATGAGAACAAACCAAATCTGAAACCACTGTCTCAAATCTCAAGGTTCGTGAACCCTCTTAATGTAGTATGGGATTTATGATTTCATATACTCAATACCATATAACAAAACCAGTATTCACTTCATTTAACTAACGAGAACTGAATCATTTTAATTCCCAACAGAGGGATAGTAATAATATGCACACAGGACCTCAGTATTAGGTCCTTGTTTCCTTTCTCATGTCTCTATTCTATCTGACATGACTGAAGTAGTCTTATATTTAACCTTCTAGTATCAGACTTAAATAACAGGGATAAAGTAATGGTATGCACACAGGACCTCAGTATTAGGTCCCTGTTTGTTTTTCCATGTCTCTCTATTCTATTTGACATGACTGAGATAGCCCCTAGCATTCCACTTAAAATAACAGCTTACCTTATGTTGATTAGGTGCTATATATTCATAGAAATATTCTACATCACTGTGACTTGTAGTTAAAATACTACTTGTTATTGTCTTTATCATATCTTCCATAACCTAATAATAGAATACAAAAGTGATGTCTGTTGTAAATCATTTACAAATCAATTTATAGGATAAAAGAGCATTATAGTGATGTCTGTTGTAAATCATTTGCAAATCAGAATAATAGCAAACAATAGTGATGTCTGTTATAAGGCTTTATACAAATACAGATATACCTTTCAAAAATCAATGATGTAAATGATTCACAATCAAGATACAAACATTATAGTGATGTCTGTTGTAAATCATTTACAAATCAATTTATAGGATAAAAGAGCATTATAGTGATGTCTGTTGTAAATCATTTGCAAATCAGAATAATAGCAAACAATAGTGATGTCTGTTATAAGGCTTTATACAAATACAGATATACCTTTCAAAAATCAATGATGTAAATGATTCACAATCAAGATACAAACATTATAGTGATGTCTGTTGTAAATCATTTACAAATCAAGGAGCATTAAAACATTATAGTGATGTCTGTTGTAAATCTTTTACAAATCAAGGTATAAGAATTAAAACATTATAGTGATGTCTGTTGTAAATCTTTTATAAGCACCAGGATTAACTGACCTCCATCAACTGATCTAAACCATCAAGAAAACATAACTCTGCTTCAATCATATAAAATTCTGCTAAATGATGTCTCCCTTTAGAGTTTTCTGCTCGAAATGTTGGACCAAAATTATATGCTTTGTTCAATCCCCTAGAATTGACAAACATAGACAAATTATACTTCAATTTGCTGTCAAAGCTTAAATCATGCTTCCTGATGTCTGAAATAACAGAAAGATAATTACCCTGTGATAATTTCTAAATGAAGTTGTCCTGAGACTGTCAAAAATGTCGGACATCTAAAAAATTCTTCTTTTTCTGATTTCTTCATAGGCTTAAATGGAAAAAAAATGTCGGCTATTTTATCACATGATTGGCTTTTAGAATCAAAATACATAACATTATAATCACCATTTGATATGATCCAAACTAATTGACATTGGTCGTTGACCTATGACATTGTATGTGCCAGTTTTTTTTAAACTTATCTCAGGTTGATTTAAGTATAATCTGATTGGACAATAACTAAAATCTATTTCAAAATTCAATTTTATCAACCAATCAGATCAATGCATGTCTTGTTGGTTTCTAACCATTAAAAAGATTTCATTGAAGTTAACCAATCAATTGATAAGCATACACAACTAAGGAATTTTGTTCCTTAGTTTCATCATGTAGTTGAATAGTAAAATAGTTGATACCTGTATTTGAAAGACTTCTCCTGCTCCTTCACAATCATTGGTTGTCAATATAGGTGTATGAACAAAACAATATCCCTTGTCCTACAAATTCAAACTAATAAAATAACCAGAGTTTTTAATCAGATTTTTACAGGGAAACAACCAGCTGGTCCATCTTCAAACCTCTTGACAATGGTTTTATAGGGATAACAACTCTCAAGGTTCTCAAGGATCCTGTCTACCAGCTGCTTCTTCTTCAAACCCCTTGGCAATGATCTTTCCTGGATTATCCATTCCCACTACAGCTTGGTTGACTGGAATGACCGGTGAGGAAAGACGTTTCTCAAATCATCAGGCTTTGAACACTGACCAAGATAAGAGGCCAGGACCACTAGGTGTTCAACGATACATAGTAAATGATGTCATATAAAGATTCCAACACTCTAACTGTCTGTGCTACAGCCCGAATCAATCAATAACAATATATTTAATATAATATTAGAATAGTGAGAATGAAGAAGATATCACAAACTGACCTGATAGTACTGATGTACCGCCATTGAAGCTGTATTTCTCACCCTCAATAAACTACTGTGTGTTTTAGTTTTGGGGCGAAGATGTAAATGATTTCTATCATAGTCTAAAGTATGGTGAGTCCTCTGTTGAAACGGGAAGATCTGAAAGAGAGTTAGTATTCACAGGTAATCATATACAGGGCACATAATTACTGGATCCATTATTAAGCGATGCTACCATCTTATGGTATACATTTATGGCATTCATGGGTTTTTGACACAAAGTTATACTGGTCTGCCATTCCATCTTAAGCTTCGCATGGAAGAAATGGGTTCTATTGTTATCTTGGCACTGATTGGACAAAATTCGAGTCATAAACTACACTCATTGAAGCTAAATAGTCTCGCTAAATCCTGCAGTCAATATTTTGACTATTAGATTTAGGCCTTGCCTGTTGTTAATGTAGCAATAATGGAACAAATCAAAGGTCAAGTTTAGCACTGTTCAAAGTGTGAATAATGTATTGTGCTTTGTTTGACAAAATTTCACAACAGTGGTAGGCCTACTCATTTCTATAATAAAAATTAAGACAAGTCAAATGAAACAGAAATTGTGAAAATCTTTACCAACTTTTACATCACATTCTCCAATCACATCAATAGTTTCAGCCACCAATTCCAGTTTCTGATTCTGACCTATACTCTCTACAATCTGACCTTTGACCTTTACACAACAACCGTAAGTCAGGTGACTGAAATAATCAATTAATAAAAATTATGGAGTATATCATGAGTCTGACAATTGTAAATGTAGGAAACCCATTTATGAGATTCTTTTCTGCCATAGTAAATTGACTTTTGTTTAGCCCACGGCAGAAGTAGAGAATGGGCATGTTTCGCATGCTAATATAACATAATTCCGAACTAGAATATGATAGCCAATCACAGGTATGATAATAGCTATTACCTGCAGCTGGTAGTCTTATCAATAACTATCTGTAATGGCTCTAAACTCGTCCCATCACAAACATGGAGAAAAACCACATCAGTTGATTTTCTTATTGACTTCACCCATCCCTGCAAAATATAACACATGATTTGCTTTTAAATCCATCTTCTTTAAATGGAATGAGCAATAGCGGCAAATGTTTCGGACTAGGATTACCTCTATGAAATTCAGTGTGCCTGTCAATATTTCATGGAAGGAAACGGTGTATATTGTTATGTACCTGAATCAAAGTGTCTTTTTCTTTCTGTTCTATTCCTGCTTTCAAAATGTCTTTGACTGAGGCTTTGTAAGTTGAGTATTGGGAATATGACAGGCCACATCTTAACTTCAAAACCTGTCTCAGATGTGGGAAAGTTTTACAGCAAAGATTGCCGAATATTTTCATGTGCGCTGACATTTTGTTTCTGCGGAGCTTAAATGTATATTTAGCACTGATTTTGCCTGTTATAAACTATTCAAAAACATTTTTCAAACAAGTATGCAATGCAGAAAGTAATTAAACAATTTTTCGAATTATTCGTAGGAAAAATGAATTTTTGATCAAATTTTTAAAATCCAAAAAATACTTTTTGTCCAATCAGCGAAGAGAATTTTCAACGTTTACGGTAAAAGTCATGTGAGTAAACTTTTAGCAGACAAACTTCGCTGCGATTGTTTTGGTGTCAAATCGAAATGGGATGCTGTTTTAGTGAAGAAGAAGAGCCAGATTATGGGGTTTGTGATTATTTTCTTAAGTAGCAACCAGGTTTTCATCTTGCCAATGCATTGATTTGGAACGAAAGGTAAAACACAAGTGTAATACCCTTGCCAATGATGAAAAAATGGAGGGGGAGGACCAAGAGTTTTGACATTCCTGCACCAAGGCCTAGCTGGTCATACTCAAACTACATTCCTCAGTTATGTCAAATAGTCGTCAAACTAACCCTATGCTCTAGCAAACGGAACAAAAAGGGATTTGTCATTAGACTGAAAGCTTTATGCTTTAATGTTATAGACCTAGTGTGATGTTGCCCTTGTTTTGATGATAAACTTCAATTTTTAAACACTTCAAATGTTATGGTTAAATGATGATAGGCCTACCTGTAATTTATACTAACTATTGTGTCTTGAGCACATGGTAGGCTACAATCAAACATTGTAGCCTAGCCTACGTTTAATGGATTGTATTATAAAGAGAGTTTTATATTTTTATTGTGTATCTGTGACACTGATATCATATTACAACATTCCAATTGTCAGTCTGACGTCTGTGTTTCCTGCAATTCAAAAATCATTAATCGCAAAATATACATTATTACATAAGGCCCTTGGCGATTAGTGACGTCATCAAACACTTAGTTTTAAATCAATATTTCATAGACTAATGACATGTCGTATCTAAGGAACGTTGTGTGACAATAGGCTAGGTTGTATATTTTATAAAAGATTCAATTTCAGAAATATAGAGCCTATAGATACCTTTGACATTTTTTCAGGTAACTATCAAACCTTGCTTGACGGAAAAAGTTCATTCTTATTAGTTTATTTGGATTTTGACTGACACATTATGCCGCACATATACAGTTACTTGCCAAAAACAGACATTTGAGCTGGTCTGTCAGTCATGTCTGGAAAATACAGCCAAATTAACAGCCCTGCCCTTTATGATTGCTTTATTTTTCTTAGCATATCTACTAAATCAAACAAAGCTTCTACAAGGCTTGTCTAGATTGGTATGACAGCAATGATAATATTATATCATCAATATTTATACTGTAAGTATGTGTTATATTTCAGCCAGTGAATCCCAATGAAAGAACCCCACTTATTAATCCTCCCAGTAATAATCAACAGACCAGTAATCAGTGAGTATACAACTTTAAGATCTCTTCATATGATAATTCTTTGTCTTTGTAAGTCAATACAGGATATAAGATTAGTCACTGGATGAAACAATGATTTTTGTTTTTGAGTGATTGCAGTAGTATTTGAAAAGCAGAGTGGGGGGGGGGAGGGGTGGGGGAGTGCCGTAAAAAAAAAATTGGATAAAAATATTAGGCTCACTACCATTAAAATAGTGGTGGATATTGCACGTCAAGCAGGCCAAGCTTACTTTGATGGTACTTCTCCTTGGAGGAGTCCACTACTATACAACTTTTATTCCCAATTTTGCCATTATTTGAATGAGATTTTTGATTGATTTGATTCTTGTTTGTACAGACTTTTATTACTCTGATATCAGTTACTCTGGGTTTATCATTGCTGACTCTCTCGATTTTTCTAATCTCATTCTGTTTCAGTGAACGAACAAACTCAACTAACCAATCTCAACAGAAAGGTGATGAACAGTCAGCTCTCACTCGAATATTACATAGGAATGCACGGTAAGTTGCAGCTTGATATCCCAAATTAAGAATTAGGTATTGGATTCAACAAATAGATATGTAGTAGAAATACTCTTCTTTCTAAGTTTCTAGGGTATATTAGTAATGGTTTGAAGGGATGTTTCGGGAACAGTGATAACATCAATTTGCATCATTGCAATTTTCAATCAGAAGTCTGTGGTTCTTGCAATTCCACTAAAATTAAGTGTATAACTGAGTTATTTTGAATCTGCATGGTATATAACTATTGCTTCACAATAACAATTTTAGTATGATTATGTGTCATAAGTGTCTGGAAAGCCAAAACCCTGGTTTACTAAAGAAGCACTGGCCGTGGAATTAGAAATTTTCTTACCTTGAGAAAATTTATTTAAACACACCTTATCTCCTTGAAGACGACAATCAAACTCGTTACCAACTGAACTATTCCACTGTCTGGTACGACATTCCAACTCTCTACTGATTTAAGCTATTGCACTGTCCCAGCAGATGACAGTGATTACCAACTGAGCTATTCCACTGACCATTTGATTATTTTTGTTGTAGAGAGGTGATAGATGTTACAGCTGATTCTCAAACATTACAGCAGAGTGAATACCACGACAGACAGAGGCAGTATAGGTAAGGTCACTCTCTCAGCAAGGGTTAACAAAAATAGAGTTTAATTAGAGTTACGTTTCGAAATAAATAGCACACAATATATACTTCTGAGGACATGATATTTGGTTTCCAACCAGCAAAAGATTTCACTTTGTACCTTGTATAGAAACCATAAGTTACAGACCAGCAGATCATGATTCCAATGGGGAAAACTTTCAAAATCAATCGACATAAAGCCATTTTTTTAGTCAGATATTTGAGTGCTTATGTTTGAGTGACTTATGTCTCTGTCCTGACAAAATTTCCCTTATAGCACACTGCATGGTCATGTTGGGTTCTTTTTTCAGTAATCGGTTAAATATGGTGATAGCTGATTCAGGGCGTCAACCCAATTATAACAAACCCTTACCCCAAGGCGTGACGTCGGCTCATACTGTTTTATCAGCCCCCCCAGTCTCAGCTGCTGATGTTCAACTAGTAAGTATGAATAATTTTTTTTAATTTTGCCTTCCTGTTTAAAAAGAAGTGTTTGATGTCATTACTAATAGCCATATATACTTTATCATATTAGGCCCTTCGTGATTAGTGACTTCAGCAAACACCTCGTTTTAGTGGAATTGCAGGAACCAAGCTGTCAGTGCCTCTGATACTGCTCATAGATTTAGAGAACCTCTTTAATCCCTTTAAAACTGTATGTTATTATAATATCTCAGCAAAATAACAAGTATTTACTGGTATATTTTTCAGATAACTAATGCTACAGACAAGGCGTCAAAATTTATAAAAGATATAAAAGTCCAGCATAAAGAAGATTTAGTGGCCTCCTTCGGGGTGCCGTAAAAATACAAGAGGATAATTAGCCATTACATTATGTATATTATATCACCCTTATCTTTCATTGGTTTATTTTAAAATATTTCACTCTTTTGTTGAATCACCTTAAAATTCATTCATATTTTAGAAATATATAGAATTGGTTTAGGATATGTTTTGCCCATAGTTGATCGTCTTCACTTGTAGCTTTTTTTGTGCACTTTGCAGGAATGAACTCCTTTAGAATTTTTGAAAATTAGATTTAGAGAGATAGGATTTAACCTTGAAAATTTATTAACTTCCTCTATTGGTGGAAATTTCCGTTTAAAGTATGAAATTTTCCCTCCAAATATCACTTTAAATTTGAAACTCCTGTGTGTGGTGATGTTGAAAATTTTCTTCTAAGTTATTTCAGTTAATAGTTGAAAATTTTCCTTATTGAAGATCCTTCCTCAAACTAAGTAGAAACTTGTGATGAGAAGTAACTAAGATGTATATATTATATGGAATATATGATGTGTATTATAAGATATTTTTACTATAAGGGTATAACTGATTATTCTAAATTATACAAAGTGGAGCTCTGTTATATACCTATATTTTACTTACTCTGTTAACTCATTCTGATTAATTGGGTATTTGCAGTGGGGGTACAGCTAGAAAAATGGTTTGCACCCCCAATTGTACCCCCACTTTATTTTCAACAAGTTATGAATATGATTTTTATACTTCTGTGCCCCAAAATATTTGTCAGAATGCAACAGATCAATTCAATTTTTCAAAGATTTTCTTGGGGAATTATCTCAGACGCTCAGAGTGGTTTGAGACTACGACTCCGCCACAGGGTTGCTTCATTTTGAATCAGTTGAGTCAGTCTGCCGTCTATTTTACCCTAAGTCTCAGAAGACTGGCACTATCACTGTATCTGATTGACCAATTGAAAGCAGACACCAAGCTGACATGCAGGAGCACTGGCCACGGCATCACATTTTTCGGTATTTTTGGTGAGCTGTGAGCTCTTTGAGTCCATTTTCGATACAAAGACGAAGCTGAATTTAAGCTTGTTTTTATGGTTGGATATCTAGTGAAGTAAAGGTATATAATGGAACTTGACTGGGAATCTATGAATGATATTATGTTGAATGAATGGATATTTATAAAGCATAAAAACCTTTCTTTAGTTCAATTAGTTTTCTTTTCATAAACTCTTACTTGTAGTTTCTTTTTTTATTGAAAAAATATCTTGTTTTCTTCTTTCTAGTTGAAAAAATTTGTTATAGAAAACTTTGAAATACTCTTACTACATATTGAGTGAAAATTTGTTTAGTGTCCTTCACGCCAGTTGCATATGGATGCCAATAACACACATGAATTCATGGCCACTTTCATTATTTGCAACTATACGCAACTGGTAATTGGAATGGTGTCAGGGCACCTTTAGTTTACTTGATAGAAAATTATGATTAAACTTAAAATTTTTCCTCTTTTTGGTGAACTTCTTTGCAATTTAATATGCAAAGCAGAAAAAGACACATTTCTAAATGAATTAACTGATTTGTTTAATCAAATTTGTTTTTGAAGATGACTTGAAGATAAATGAAAAAGTTAAAAAGATGTGAAATGGACCCCCAGTTAGCCTGCTGGATAATATTATATTTTGGTATTGTACAGAAATTGTTTAATTCTACACAGAATTATTTATATTATAGACAGATATTAAATATCTTCTAATATTGTCTGGTCTTATTTAATACCTGGCTTCCCCTGTCAGTGATGCGGGTCCTGGTTTCCCCTGCCAGTGATGCGGGTCCTGGTTTCCCCTGCCAGTGATGCGGGTCCTGGTTTCCCCTGCCAGTGATGTGGGTCCTGGTTTCCCCATATCAGTGATGCTGGCCCTTGTTCCCCCTGTCAGTGATGCAGGTCCTGGTTTCCCCAGTCAGTGATGCAGGTCCTGGTTTCCCCTGTCAGTGTGGCGGGTCCTGGTTTCCTCAGTCAGTGATGCAGGTCCTGGTTTTCCCATGTCAGTGATGAGATTCCTGGTGTCCCCATGACAGTGATGCGAGTCATTGTGTCCTCTTGTCAGTGATGAGAGTCCTGGTGTCATAATGTCAGTAATGCGAGTCCTGGTGTCATAATGGTGTAATCTTCAACACCACCTTAAAGCCCAAAAGAGAACGGAAGCCGTTTGACTCTGAAGAGGAAACGGCTTTGATGAGCTGATTTACAAAGGAGAAAAATAATATCAAATTGTCATTTAATATATCATCATGCAATAGACGTCAAAATATCTCAAATAATTCAAAACACGTCAATCAAATATGTCAAAACCTTTCCAGCGGATAGTCAAAACCTGTCAATCAAATATTTCAAAACCGGTCGATCAAATATTTCAAAACATGTCAATCAAATAATTCAAAATATATCAATCGAAAAATAGCATCTGTCTAATTAATCATAACATGTCTGTCAAAATATTATGTCCTCAATCATAAAGACTAATTATCCAAGACTACACATAACGGTGAATTCCGTCTTGATATCTGTGTCTACGTGACGTAGAAACCGGGAGTTATGGACGCTTAAATCGTTCTGCATGATTTGAGACCGTTTAATATCACTGATATTCACTCATATTGAAACTGTATACCGTTAGATTGAAACTTTACTCAGGGATTATGGTGATTTACTGTGATTTTTAGCTAAATTAAAGGTAATTAGCTTATTATGATTAAAAATAGATACATGAAGTTTGACTAAGTTGCCCTGTAAGTTGACTACTGTATAATATAGTAATTAAAGTATAGACGATATATTAAGTATTTGTTAGGTGCCCAAAATTGCCAACAAGTAAAAATGCCTATCTACTGTCTGTTATGAGATCCCTGATATAAAAATGTTGCCAAAAATGTCTTTATATATCAGCATCTATTTTTGAAAGGTGTATCAAAAAATTAGGCCATAAAAACTTTGTTATACTTTGTTCGACTGTATACTGTGAATATGTTTGATAATAGACTAAACCTGATCTATATTGTCACTATACAATAGTACATGTTCTTTATTCATATATATATATATATGAATAGACATTGTATGGGTCACTAGGCAAAACAGAACAAATTCTAAAAGAATGGTGAAGGGGATGGGGAGTGTGTGTTTTTGGCCATAGGTTTTCGCCCTCTGAATAGTATATTTTGAACTGGGGCCATGCAACCCCTACCATATAAAAAATATACCATATAGAAAATTGTGTCTCTTACAGATTAATATGAAAAAAACGTTCAGTGGTAGACATCTTGAATTAAACTAAGTCTGAGAAAAAGTCTTTACAAGTGGTTGAAGCCCTGCCCAGTCACAATGCCTACCGCCATACTTCAACAGACAACTGGCACCAGTTCGCGGGGATTGCAGCAACCTCGACCTGGATCTAACGAAATCAAATCCATGAGAAAATCAAAGGTAGGCTCATGTTTTGTATTTTCTTATTTTGTATCCAAAGACTAAAGCATCTATTTACAATATTCTGGTTTTCTAGTCTTTGTATGTGTATCAGGGACACTTATAGCTTCTATTAACACCATTCTGATATTCTAGTCTTTGTATGTGTATCAGAGACACTTATAGCTTCTATTTACACCATTCTGATTTCTAGTCTTTGTATGTGTATCAGGGACCACTTATAACTTATTTCTAAAATAGGGGTGGCCCTGCTTTGGTTCCCCCAGTTTCAAATTTCATTTCATGAAGATCTTAAATACATTGTGCTTTTGGCCCCCTTGGCAATTGTGTTCCTCCACCAAATGATATTTAGAAAGCCACTACCTATTGTACCTGATACACTATTATAATGTCTATCTCCATGTCATGACCTGACTAAGAGTTAATAAATAGTTAATGTTGTATTGCCTCGTAAAATCTGAGATATCAATAGAGAAATATTATGTAAAGATCGATTACAAATTGATTATAAATACTGTATTTATTCTGCATGTTAAAGGGTAATTTAAAATCAATCTGTTCTAATGACTGGATAATAGAGACTTTAAGAGATTATGAATAGCGGTTTATTGTTTCTACCCATGATTCATGTACCCACTGACCTTCCTGGACATGACTTGCAAAAGCTGAATTCTAACGCTGATAAAAACATCCTTCAGAGGGCCTTTAACTACTTGTCTTATAAGTGACAAAGCCCCTTTAAATCAGTCACTCACTCTCCCTGTAGGACATGTCTGGCAAATAGAGCCAAATAAATCTCCTGAATTCTGCTCAAAAATATTCCTTTTCTAATATCTCTTTAATTAAGACTTTGACCAGTGCTTTAAGTAGGATTTTTTAGGAATTTCTTCACTCTTAATACTACTCCTCTTATAAGTGACAATGCTCCTTTAAATCAGTCAGCCTATGCAGTATTAGCAGACAATGAGTGTATTTGTCAAGACAATATTGATATTATGATAAGCCTGTTTAAATCTCTATATCTATTATACACAGGGCAATAACACAGGGCCATATTTAAATATTATCTAATACTTAACAGTTTCTAGCTGATAAAATATGCCTTTGAACACCCAGTATAAATTATGATTATAGATAGGGAATATCAATATTGGCCCTCTTCAATCTCATATTGGACCACTTGCACAAAATCACATTTTTTTTAAAAACATTTAATTAAGAGGAATGGGAAGGCAGGGCAGAAGAGCTAGAAGTGGCTTCATATCCTTACTTTTTAAAATTTTCAAAATTCTCCCGTTATTTCAATCCTCATTTTAAAATAAAATTTATCCTGCCCACTTGGTAGGGAAGGGAGCTCAATGTTAATTAAAAAATGTATGGTGCAATTAATGGCATTCATTTAGTCATAGAAATGATTATTTCAGCTGATGAAGAACCCAGCATTCAAGTCTATGTACCATGATATTGAGAAACATCAACAAGACGTCAAATTAGCTCATTTAACTGGTAAACCAAAAGACTTAATGTAAGTTCTATATCTTTGATTCCTGACTTAATTATTTTCTGAAATATTTTAGAAGCTTAATTCTTTCAGTAACTAGATCTAATATTGAACCTGGAAATGAATAGCACTTTTTAAAGGGACAGGTTTGCCATCCGTTTGACCTGTCCTAGTCCTTAGTCTCAGAAACATATTTTATTTTAGCTTAGCTAATCAGTAATAGTGTTCACAGCTCACCGTCGAAATTTGTGCCTTCAAATCCATGTATGTTCAGAATTATTCGCGTTTGAAACTGAAGTTGAGAAACACCTATGCCTAAAAAATCTTTCTGATGATTTATAAGTAAGTTCGCTCATTTTTCAAATATTTCAGAGAAAGTACAGAAAAGGATGCTAAATTCTACAATATTTTATCTAAGATGCTGTGTGAAGTCATTCAACAGTAAGTTTTTTTACAAGAGATATTGGAGGGGGTTGGGGGAGTATGTGAAGGGGAGGGGGTGTTGGAGACCTTAAACCATAATCCAAGATGTATTCATATCCCATTATAGGCCCAGGTGTATAAGCAAAGATTCCTGTTTCACAAACTTTTAAATAATTTCAAGAAATGCAATATTCTGATTGGTTAATAAAATTTAAAATCGTTCATGATGATTGACCAATCAAATGACAGGAACACTAAGATATGGTTGAGTTTTTGTGAAACAAGGCCCAGTTTTTTATTTGGTTTTGGAGTATCTGCTCAAAAAGCCACTCTCAGACAGGCCCGTAGCTAGTCCAGTCTAGCTTATATTTCTTAGGAGTATGCCCCCCTTTTTAGCTATGGGCCTGATCTAAGGTGTTCACCTAGCTAGTTATATTAATAAAATATTGTTATCACCAGGAGAAGTGACTCGGAACAGAAAGGTGTGCTACAGAAAGTCTATCTATGGTATAAATCTAACAGACATGTGTTATATACTGGTCCAGTAAGTACCCTTCTTCAACTTAAGGGCCCTATTCTCGAGAACATATAATCCAAATTTTAAGAAATGCGTCATGTTAACTGAAATAAGAATTTATTTGAGTTATTGACCAATCAGATGACTGTACAACTAGAATAACTGATTATGAAATGTGGCTCAGAGGATGCAATGTGTGTACTATATGTTTTCTGGAGTCCCACATTGTACACTGCATGGGGTTGCAAATCTTTATTTAATTTACAGTATTTTTTATGTTTTTCAGAGATTTGGTAAAGAGTATAAGAAGAAAGAGGCAGAGGCTGCATTAAAACAATCTCGGTCGCCACGGAGACAACAATCTGACAACAGACGGAAATCTTACGATATTGTATCCCAGCATTCCAACACTGTGTCTCATTCTACCAGTATATCACAACGATTCAGATCTCCACCACATTATGACGAGGTAAGTACAAGAAGGTTAATAAAAAATCAGCATTTAAGCTCATAGATCTACAAAGGGTAGAGATTTTCTAAAACTTTTATGTGTATTGGGGACACTGATAGCATCAATTCCAATTAAACTAAGTCTTTTAGGACCAAAGATATTATTAACAGGTCTTGTGATAGTGACTACATTAAACACTCAAAGGAATTGCAGGAACCACAGATATCAGACTTGTTCCAATTGATGCTATCAGTGTCCCCGGTGTACATAAAAATTTAGCAAACATCTCTATACGATACTGTCAATATTCAACAACGATATACAATTAAAGGGATTGTAAAAAGGTATTCTAAATTTTACAATCCCTTTAATTTGAGTCTGATATAAATTATTGATATTAGTGGAAAGAGATTTATAAAGTAATAAATGATATTTTTCAAACTATCGTGATTACTGATTGATTTTATTGATTTAGTTGTGAAATTGTTTATTGTTGAAGTTGTGATATGAATATTAAGATATTGATTAGGTTTGTTTTGAAAGATTAATATAATCGAGACACGACAGAGAGTGAAACAAATCCTGTTAGATCTTAGAAACAATTCTCTTGACACAATAATACCATCAAACCAATACATAAATCTTAATCTCAATGTCAAGTAAAAAATGACTTTAAAAGAAATACCATGAACTTTTGGTTTTGGAGGTCTTGGTGTGTCCATATCATGGGTAATTTTCATTCACCATTTTGGCATTGCCTATGTTTTGTTACCAGTTGGTATATTGGACAGTTGGTATATGGTTTTATAGGAGAAACTCATTTACAAGTAGGGACTGAGAATTTCAGCATTGTAATACATCAATTTGATAGAAAATTACCTACTTCTGGAGAGATTTACAAGATAAACAAATAATTCAGAAATGCAAAGTGATTGTTTCAGGGAGTTAATGAAAAGGGATCTAATCTACCATGGACAAGAACATTACTCAGATTTTTATTCCTTTTGTAAGCAGTCACAAAACGTTTAGTATATAGATGTTAGGAAATTGGTCAGTTGGGTGTCATATTTAAACTATGGTTATAATTATATCATATTGTATTACTGATTTATAGACAACAAGGTAATAATCTTAAACCAAGCCCTAGAGATTATGTAATAATAATTATAATAAATTTATGACAGGTACTTGTTGGTTTTTATATAAATATAGATTAATATTTCTTTATATGATAGGTTTAAACAAGTTCTTAATCTAGTACCTATTAGTTCACAAAGATTTATTTTGCTATGTTGAATATAATAATATTAATTGCTTCAATGTAGATCAGATTATCATCTGAAGACCTTAGATAGTTTTGTAATTTTGTAAGGTATGAGAAGGAGGCACTAAGGATTAGAGGAATTCTTTAGTCTTCATAGTATCAATACCAATTTGAACAATTTTACCTGAAATTATCTCAAAGCTCTCATTAACAAAACATCAGGTTTTCAGTTCTCAAAAACTTGTACGATCTATTTTTGTTGCTAATTGATATCGCAAACTAGGTAGTTGTTGATAGGTGACAAGTTAACGTCCACTTACAACTAACTGATATCACAGACTAGGTAGTTGTTGATAGGAGACAAGTTAATGTTTGCTTCCATCTAACTGATATCACAGACTAGGTAGTTGTTGATAGGAGACAAGTTAATGTTTGCTTCCAGCTAACTGATATCACAGACTAGGTAGTTGTTGATAGGAGACAAGTTAATGTTTACTTCCAGCTAACTGATATCACAGACTAGGTGGTTGTTGATAGGAGACAAGTTAATGTTTGCTTCCAGCTAACTGATATCACAGACTAGGTGGTTGTTGATAGGAGACAAGTTAATGTTTGCTTCCAGCTAACTGATATCACAGACTAGGTAGTTGTTGATAGGAGACAAGTTAATGTTTGCTTCCAGCTAACTGATATCACAGACTAGGTGGTTGTTGATAGGAGACAAGTTAATGTTTGCTTCCAGCTAACTGATATCACAGACTAGGTGGTTGTTGATAGGAGACAAGTTAATGTTTGCTTCCAGCTAACTGATATCACAGACTAGGTAGTTGTTGGTAGTTGGATTGTGGGCTGAGTTGAACAGTTGGCCAAATTTATAGCAATGAAATCATAGCTGTCATAAACATTGTATTACTCTAATCTGTTAATCTGTTAATCCAATAATCCAGCTTAATCTATATATTATATAGTATTTAATATTATATATTGTTATAATACAGTGATATTGGTGTAGGATCTCAATGTTAGTTGTCTTTCATTTATACTGTGTCTTGTTCCCAAAACTTGGAATAATGTAAATTGTTGAAACATTGTTTATTAGAAAATTCAACAGGAGTGGTATAATACTGTAAAAGTTTATGAAAATGGAAAAGAGTTGAAGCTAACGTTGAAAGGTTATGTACAATAAAACCAAGGATTAGTATACCATATACACTGATGATGACAATGTAAATTGTAGAAACATTGTGTACAATAAAACTCAGGATTAGTATCCATTAAGCTGATGATGGCAATGTAAATTGTTGAAACTTTGTTTACAGTCACCCAGGAGTATATCTTAAAGTTACGAGCAAATTATTTGCATCCATTGAACAGGAATACAAAGTGATGATTCGATTCTCATTTTCAAATTTGTTTTGAATTTGATTTTACAGGAAGAACAGTATGCTGAAAGTTGTGACGATTTCTCGGTGAATAGCGTAAACAGTGCCATTGACCTTGACCTGACAACGGAGGTGGATTATGATGAAGTATTAAATCGTGAGAGTGAGTGTGGAGAAAGTGTAGAGGAACAGGAAGTCATGATGATTGATATTACTCAAGAACAACCTGTACGTCCCAGACGGACTGGAACTGCCTATTCTTCACCCCTATATTTTAAAGGACGAAAGATACAGGTAAGCCTCTTATCAATTCATAAATTATTCTATACCATTACCATAGTCCTAGGTGGTCAAATTTCTTTAATTTTCAGGAAGTGAGCTCTGAATAACTCCAATCGTCTGTGAAACCCTCAGATTTTCCCGCCGCTGCCAGAAGATGAGTTTACTTTCTGCTGTCATAAATGGTCATTTCGTAAAATTCAAAACATATCCTATAATTTTGTTTATTTTAATTATTCAGCAACCCGTTAGTCGAGGTCCACAAAAAATGGTTCACTCCATAGCCAGTCTGGTTAACCCACACTTAAATACACCGAGAATGGGAGATAACTCTAGTGTAGCTGATGGAAGTGTCTCGACAGTAGTGTTTCGACCGACGACTGCTCCCAACTCCAGAGCTGATATGCTACAATCGTGGCAGATGTTTAACAAAGAAAGAACATACGGTCAAGATATTATAGGTAAAAAATAAGTGACCTTATCACTTTAATGATCTTTTGCAAGGTGCTTGGTTGAGGGACTCGTGGTCCTTTTTTGAAATTGTAAATAGGTAACTAAATGTGTATTTGGGAGACTGATAGCACTAGTTTGCAACATTCTGATTTTCAGTCAGACGTCTGTGGTTCTTGCAATTCCAATAAAACTAAGCGTTGTAACCTCACTATCTCAAAGATATTATTATTTCAGATTGAATTATAAATATTTAAACAATTATATCTCTTTGTCTTTATAAGTAAATAAATTTGTATTTTTCAATATTTTCAGGTAAAATGAATTTTGTTGGACGTAGCGGAACTGGGCTAGATGTAAGATATAATGCTCATGAACTGGGTGAAATGCCTGAACGGAAAACTAAACAGGTCCTTAAAGAGGCATTTAAAGAGGGTAGGAAACAAACTGGTAAGATATGTTCTTTGTTACTGACTTTGCTCAGGCAAACCAAAAAGCCTAGAGAACACATTTCTAAGGCGCTAAAATCCCATCAAAAAGAAACCTGATGAACACACTACAAATTAATGAATTACTGCTGAACTGAAGAGGTCAATTGTCAGGGTTTAATTCTCACATGCCAGAGCCCAGCCCCCATAGTCCCCACCCTGGGGTTCCGATTCCTGCAAGTGTAGGCCTATTAACTTGAACTCTTGAATTTTAGAGAAAACAAAGGGAGGTAAGGAGAATGTGCTAACCAGTCAAACTCTAGAAGAATTTTATGAAACAGCTGATAAATTCTACCCAGTCAAAGTTCCCAAATTACATATTGATATACCACGATCTGGACAATCTAGACTCAGGACACCTGTCACTCCTCTTGGTAGAAACTTTATCCAGTCTGAAAAGTAAGTGCACGAGCAATTTCACATTATAAATTGAGCCGTCCAGTCGTCGGATGGGTCAATAAATTAAAGCTCATTAAAGATATCTTAATGCCACCGACCATGGAAAATTTCCCTCATTGAACACTGCATGATTTTCTATTATCCAAACGCCATTCAATTTCTTGGAGAAGATTTTAGCCTACTTATTTTCAGTTAATTTTGAATATCCAAGATAGCTTAAGCAGAGATAAGTGCTTTTGTGAGGCATTCCATTTTGTATGCTTTACTGAGCTACTGTATTTTTCAGTAGATCACCAAGTCCAGTCCACACCAAACCTGACCTAAAACTGGACACTGTGGTCAATATGATAGACAATGTTACAGATGAGATGGAATTCTATAAAGAAAAGGTAAGCACCTTTGAGCATTTTGACTGAGACTAAAGACAATAAGCTCGCTTTAAAGCTACCTCTACAGATGGAATCAGAGTAAGCTAGTGCTACAGTTCCGGCAAAATGTTCCTCATTGCTCACTGCATAGCATTGCCCATCAGTGTAGAAAATTCTGTAGGCTACAGACAGCTAGACAAATGTGGTAATGAAGAAAGAACAGGCTTTTGCCCTGTCCTGTCATTTAAAAAGAAACTTGTGTTTTCTAAGTCATGTAATTTGTTTCAGTTAATACAGCCACCAGCGTTGGGATTTCGACGTCCAGCCGTTAGTGATGTTCCAGTGACACCTACACCAGTTATGACCCCTGCTAACTTTAGAACATCCAGTGTGTCAGAGAGATTCAATACTCCAATGTAAGTTTCATGGGCTGTACTCAGTTTGAGCATTAGAATCTTGACATCATTTACTTTGCTTATATGAAAGATGGTTATGGGTTATTATCTCGATCAGTGTGTGAAAGTTATCTTTCCTCATTATTCCAGTTGACCCAGCTGTAAATAGGTATGGATAATCCAGGAAAGATCATTGCCAAGAGGTTTGGACAAGGACCAGCTTGTAGACAGGATCCTCATGAACCTAAGTTGTTATCCTTGTAAAACAATTACATGTACCAAGAGATTTGGCCATGGACCAGCTGGTAGACAGAATCTTTGAGAACCTAAGTTAATGTTTCTTGTTTTCTCACTCATTTTAAAAAAAACAAAAAAGAGCCTTGATAATTTATATTTTTTTTGTCTTTTCAGACAACCACCTAGTTCACTGATAGCAGAGAACACTTTTGCATCAAATATTTCAACGTCGACACCAGTTCCCCAAACTCCCCTACCAGGAATAGATTGGAGAGGAAGAATAACACCAGAACCAAATAGATACAGGTAATTTACTGTCCTTTCTTCCCCAAACTCCCCTACCTAGCATTGAGTAGAATTGAATGTAATTATATGAGAATTCTTTATGCAGGGAGAGTTTTTGTGGGGAAAAAGAAATACAATCCTACGAGTCAATTTGACAAATTTGCTGAATACATGTCAAAGGTCTCAGAGTCATCAAAGGCAAAAAGGTCTTGGAGTTGTATCAAAGGTCAAAAAGCCCGATAGTCAGAAAGTTTTAGGCTGATTTGGAAAAGTGCTTAGGGATGCTTCATCTTCTATTCTGCAGATCAAAACAGAAATTTGGTAATCATACGTATGTTAAAAAGAGTGAGAGACCCTCATTAAGATCAGCTGGTGGTGTTACAGCAGGACATCGACCTAAAACAGCTCCTGGTCCAATGAAGAGCAAATGGAAAACAGAACAGGTAAAAATCGCTGAGAATTTCTTACAAGAGGTTGTTGTACAGGTCAAGTCTCCCAAAGCAGGCTGCAGAGGCTCAGCAATTGCTTGCTACCCCGATAGTCCACCCAGAGCCTCCATTGCTCTGATACACTTGGTTGCACATTTTGTATTTGCTGGCCAATCCTGAGACAAAGTAGCATAGAGGATGAACGTAATTTGCTTTGCAAGGGAATCCCACTGTTGAGCATTTTATCTGCACTCTCTTTAAACTGATTCATAGAATTTAGTGTTTTTTTAGGAGACTGACCCAAATGAACGAGTATCAGCCCAAGCTTCAAGTCACATGACCACTAGTGTTAACCAATCAGATTTAGACAATATGATGGTCATTCAGCATTTAATCGGGGATTCCGCTTCTCAGTGAGTTAGTTTTCTTAGTATCATGGCTTGGCTTCAAGGTTGGCTGGTTGGTAGATGACAAGTTAACGTTCGCTTCCAGCAGGTGCTGATATCACTAATGTTGTTGGTAGTCGTAGTAGTTGGTAGTTGGATTCAAGCTCTGCTTTAGGAATTGTAGCAAGGCATGGTTAGGGCCTACTCCATTTCCTCCATTTCTATCACTAGCAAGGCAGGGCATTCCCAATTGTTCTTTAACACCTGATACCAATTGTCATATCAACACATCATCTCCACAACCACTTAGGAGAGTCCACATAGCTAAGTTACAACAAAGCTTATATGATTATTATTGGGTTTGTTAATTCAGCATCTCTTGTAGAGAGCCCCAATACCAAATAATATTTGATTAGTATTTAGTGTTTGTCAACATCTCTTCAGAAATTCCACATAACTCAGCATCCTTTTGGAGAGTCCACATTGCTAGTAATTTATATTTTGTATTTTACAGAGGAGGATCTTTGTATGAATTTGATATGGTAAGTTGGATTTTTGAAATTTGGCTATTTAAATATTTTCTTTATCAGAAGTAAAGAGCTAAATTTCAGCAATTTTCAGAATTCGAAAATCGGATGTTTTTATTTGATTGCAAGAGAACTGCATGTCAAAATTGAGGTTGAAAATGTGACTTTTTATTTCCATGCAGGAGTTTTGGCGCCGAATGAGGAGAATGAACCAATCAGCAGGCAGCCATTCAACCAATCAACAACTAGAATATCTCTCACTTTTGGCTGCTCAACAACAGGGTAGGTAACTTTTCTCCTTTCCAATAAGTTTGGATCACAGAATTGTTGAAAGTAGCTCACAGCACCAGGCATTTAAGAACTTAATGATAAGATATATAGGTGTCAAATCTGGGCTAGTCTCACTTATTTGGTTGGCAGCATAGTCAGTAGCGTTGACCAGTAACCAGTATCACCTTTTAAAATGAACTTCTTACGGAAGGATAGTTTGTAATTTATCAAGAATAATTCATAAAAAGTTTTGAATATTTCAGGGGAGGCTACAAACAGATCAGTGAGTGCTCCAGTAGGCCATCATCAAGTTAGGTAAGGTTTAAATTACTAAAATGACAGACAGTCTAATAATGGCTGCCATTAAATACAATGATATGATACAGAGCACTAGAGGAACTTTCATAGAAAACTGTTGCGGAAAATCCTAAGCTAGGGAGGTAGGAGCATGGATATGGCTAAGTTATGCTTCTAATTTTTTTTAGATTTGACAGTTTTAAAGCTGAATTTTCTTTGCTTTTCAGTAAAGATATATTCAAGATGGAGAACCTGCCAGAGAAGATGTGCTGTTCACCTGCTGGAATCTCCTCAATAGGAGAGTACAATACAGGGGAGATAAATGAGGTGGAAGAAGAATTGAAGGCATTACACGATGATCAAAGCCAAACTGGAGAACAGGTGAGAACAATAACCTTCTGTAAATGGATTTTGATTTTGGATTAATGATTGTGACTGAGATATAGAGATTTTATTTTTTTGTATTTTCCAGAAAGAAGAAGCTGAAGTAGTATACAATATGGCCATTTCTGCCATTCCATCAGAAGGTCAAGGCCCCTTACCAGCTAATCGTAGAGACCACCCACTACAAACCTTGACGATATCAGACGCTTGGCAATATTCCATGCAGGGTGGGACCAAGCAGACACCAATTTCAAGAGCTCATTCTGCTCATAGTGCTAATAAAAGTGTCAAGGGAGGTAACTCTGAAAAGATACTGAAACAAAGAGCGAGTAACTCTAAACAAGCATTAAGAACAGAAACATATAGCCTGGAATATCTGCCAGATGGAGTCTTACCAAAAGTAGAACGTTCTGCAGGCCGTATGCCTGGAAATGTAGATCCTGTCATTCAGTTGATGCAGATGGCTCAAAGACAGAAAGCCTCCCTTCATAGAACCCAGCCTGTAAGAACTCCACCATCTATTCCGAGTCCGTATGGTACATTTGGAGCTCGCTCTCCGCGATCTGGACATAAACAGTATCAAAAGGAGCTGGAAGAGCATGCCAGGAAGACCCACAGTCCGAGAAGATTCATGCAGCATGGTACGTTGGTGTTATTTCAAATTATAATCAGGGGCAAGTCTGTGGTGATGGGGAGAAATAACACTGGTCTGGCTCTGACCACACCAGTTAAAAACTGTTCTTCTTTTTATAATAAGGATGTTTTATTTCAGTGCATGATCTTCGCCAGGGGTTACAGACAGCCCCAGCTGGTACCATGACGATAGAGGAAGAGGGGTTGATGGGAACTCTACAAGTTCAACCAATGACAGCTGCTGGAGGTAGGTTGGATGAGTTGGAATTTAACAAAATTTTGTTACGTGTAAAATTGGGTGTCTTGTGAAGATGAGAATCATTGATTCTTATAAAATATTAACATTTTTAAGATTACCTTTACTCCATATTAAAGCCACAATCTGCTGTTCCATATTCTCATTTCCCCACCCCCCAGAGACCCGTTTCTGGATTTGACAGACAAGTTACGTTTGGTTCAGAACTTACAGATGGTATGGATGAAATAAGGGTCACTCCGGATCATTCCTTACGACAGAAGTTACAAGGTGACCCAGTTGAAAAGGTCAAAGTGCAGAGTTCAAGATCCGTGGAGTCACCACCCAAATCTATCGCTAACATTGGACGACCTATTGCTCAAGTTGCTCAGATACCAGACCCTGTAAGTATTTCTCCAAACAATGCCAATTTTCTAAAAATGATTTATCAGTCAAAACACCCCAGTGCTTAAACACAGCTCTTAGCCCAGCTGTTTTCTCCGAAAATCTAACAAGTATGCTCATAGCTACATGCCATCTTCACAATGTCAAGCTATTACGAACTGCATCTTATACCTTGACTGGAATAGTCACTGTTCTTGTATCATGGAAGTTTATAAATACAATGTGTAGATGGGCTCCATGCATTCACAATGCCAGTTTCCTGTCGTCATAACAAAATGTCATCTGTATAGGTTAAATCTAATTTATTTCTCTCCAGGATGATGTCATGAAAGCAACAATGTTACAGAAACAGATGTCGGCTGCTGTGGATATACAAAGGTAATATAAGTTACCCACAGACCTACTGACGCTAGAATTTCTAATGTAAATGACCTGCTTTATTCTGAATATTTGGGCAAAAGACATTTCATTGTCTTCATTTTGGAATAGCTTTGAAAAATTTTTTAAAAGCAATTTCCACTTGCTTGAAAAACATCCAGATGGAAGGGAGATAACACAGTCTGTGTTATCAAACAGAATCTGCCCACAACAGAGTTTGATAAATCCCTTTAGCTTGATAGGCCTATAATTTTTAAACTGCCTGTTTCAGAATATTTCGAGGGTACGTTGCTAGGGAGAATTATAAACTATTGTTAAAAGATTACAGAGAAGGAGTGGAAGATTCTAGAAAAGCTGCTCTTCAAATTCAGAGGTAAGAAAGCACTGCATATGTAATTCGTCTCTAAAACAAGAGAGCTCTTCATAAGAAATGCATTTTCTAGGAAGATATTATCAATCACAAAAAAAGAAAAGAATTTCAGTTGCAAACAATACTATGGCATGATATTCTAGCAAATAAACCATGTTTACCTTTCTGATACACCTGATTTCACATTTTTTCACAATGATAATTATTTTGCAGACATTACCGAGGCCACCTGTCTAGGAAGGCCGCCATTTATAACAGACATCCTAATACAGAGACCCTAGAGTGGGCTAGACAGTATAGACAGATATTGATAGACAATGAACACAAACGACAACAAAAGAGAGAGGAACTAGCTGAAAAGTAGGTTTTTTTGTATAATTTTTTCAGTATCTTGCTCAAAAAATCAGAATTGATAGGGACAATCAGTCCGTGTATTCTGGAAAGGATCTTAGTGCTAGGATGTCCTATGGTCTTAACTTCCAACACTTGGATATCCTAGCGCTAAGATCTTTTCAAGAATATGTGGCCAGCTCCAGTGGAATCTAAGTGGTGGCACTGAGTAGGGGCCACAGAATTGTCTAAGGGGGCTCACAGCAGCAGGGATTTAAGAACTGAATGAAAAGAATTTGAGATTGGGGCATCAAAGCTTCAGTTCTGGGGTGGGAGGAGGGGTGGCATATAGCTCTTATGTTCAAGAGGCCATGATGTGAGCATTTTGATGCTCCAATCAAACATGATTGGTAAGTACAACTAAATAACCATCCCTGATTCAGGATACTACTGTATATTTCAGAAATGTAAAGAATTATGTTAGTGCTGTCAATAAACTAGAAGTTGTTGGTCCACATGTTGATATCTATCAGTGAGTATCGCCTTCTTTTATCTTGGAGGGGACATTGCCGGGACATGGAGTAGAGGTGGTTCATAGAGCTAGAGTGGGGACTGGTGAAATACAAGTGTATGATGCCATGCATGTTACAGTGCACTTTGCTAATAATGTCTATTTTTTATGTAGGTTTGTCAACTTGACATCTCTGTCAGAAAGTCCACATAGCTAATGATGTTCAACTTGACATCTCTGTCAGAAAGTCCACATAGCTAATGATGTTCAACTTGACATCTCTGTCAGAAAGTCCACATAGCTAATGATGTTCAACTTGACATCTCTGTCAGAAAGTCCACATAGCTAATGATGTTCAACTTGACATCTCTGTCAGAAAGTCCACATAGCTAATGATGTTCAACTTGACATCTCTGTCAGAGAGTCCACATAGTTAATGATGTTCAACTTGACATCTCTGTCAGAGAGTCCACATAGTTAATGATGTTCAACTTGACATCTCTGTCAGAGAGTCCACATAGTTAATATTGTGTCTTGGTATATGTTGATTATCTGTATTTATGTTATAGAGTGTATCATCCAATGCATCTTGGGACATCAAGAGCTGAGTTGAATCAGGCGGCCGTCGTGATACAGAAATTAGTACGAGGCTGGGTGGTCCGACGTAAACTGGAAAAGTTAAAGAGAAAGGTACATTGTTACAAAATTAGGCTTTTTCTTATACTCGTAACAAAATTAAAGAAGTAGAATTGGGAATAGGCTTTTGACTATAAAAATCCTCTCTCAATCATGGCTGGGGTTTGGCCAGAAGTTAAGTTAGAGACTTATTACGACATAGAAGAAAGGGGTCACAACTGAGTCATTTCTAGGTATCAATAAGTGGGAGGACCAGGCAAGGGCCACAGAAATATCAAGGGGGCTCCTAGGGATATTTTTTAGGATTAGAAATTTGAGAGTGGGTTGTAGGGAGCATGCAATGCGGGGCAAGCCTCACCTTAATAGAGATCATGCTCCCCCTCCACTCCTCATACCATCAGGGGTCACTATTGAAGGGGCCTGCGTAACAGGGACATTTTAACCATTCCATTCAACATCTGAAATTCCAAGATCTTTTATTTTCCTGTACAGAGTTTCATTATGAAATTTTGTCTCCCTAGGCTGTATGTTATGGCTCTGTATTTCCCACCATGGTGAAAGAGTACAAAAATATGTTAATCCGTGTCCAGAAATTTCATGGAATAGAGAAATTCAAAACTCCATTTTGTATCGCAGAAATGAATGTGTACCTGGACAACAGAAGGCGTAAGTTATATATAGACCAATCAGATTTCACTGGCTATGGTTCTGTTTCACAAAAAGTTTTACGATCAATTTTTTGTGAAAGGAGACTAGAGTTTGTTTTTTAATATCCTAATTATTTTAAATACATACAGAATGAAGAACACTATTCAACTCAACATAAAATCAGTTTTTAAGAAAGAAAATTAAAGCTTGTATTTTACTATCTAACTTCACCTAAATGCTTGATTAACATCACTCTCAAACTCATTTCAGGATATGAAGGTGTATTTGAAAGAAGATCATTCGGTGGGGAGATTGAGGCAGGGGATGTAGAACAATATTTTAAAGAATGTGATCTGTTTCCATCTCAAGTTGAGATAGAGGAGGCTAGAGAAATGGTCTGTAGAAAACCAGGTATGTTGGGCTAATGCTCTTACAAATTTAGCGAAGTACATTATAGCTATACAACATATACTGTATAATTGCGAATATAATGCGCACCACTTCTTGGTGGTTCCCAACCTTTTTCAGCCTTCACACCCCTGAAGCAATCACCTGGACCTTTTACAACCTGAAAAGTTTGTTTCATCCACATTTTCAGCATGTCATGTGAGGTGCTCTCTCAACTCAAAATAAATTCTTCTCCTACACCAGTTGGTCACACCCCTGACACTCTAGACTCACACCCCTGACACCCTAGTCCCACACCCCAGGGGGTGAAAACATCCCAGGAACCTGAGGGCTCTAGAGAAAGTCTGGAAAAATCTGTCAACATTAATGATATATACTGTATAATTGTGAATATAATGCACACCTCTTCTTATCCTCGAGTAAATCTGGAAAAATCCTTTACTGGAATTCTTTTATTAAATAGAATAGTTTAATTCATTGAATGAATTTACTAAATGACCAAGAACATGAGATGCATAACAATTTCATCAGATCATGGATGGCAAGTGGATTCACATGCAGAAAAAACACAAAACATAAAATCAAGATTTGCATTTTACTCAGATAGTGAACTTCAGTACTTGTGTACTTGTCTAACATCAATATGGACACAGGCTGAAATAAATCAAATAACACAGCATGAAACTCTGAGTAACAGCATGTTTTGGGTTCCATTTTGATATTTCAAAGTTATAATTGATATAAATTTGATACTTTTCAGGTGAAGTTTTGAACAGTGAGAAAGGAATCAGTAAGAAAGAGATCTTAGATATGTTGTATTATATATATGTTCCTAAGGCAACCGGACTGGCGCTGAACCGTAAATCAACTTGGATGAACCCCATAATAGATGGAGTGGAAGCAAAAAAATTGATAGGTACAAATTGAATATTGAAAATTTTCTTCCCAAAACCCAGCTTCAGGTCCCTGCAAAAATGTAACCTGGTTTGTCTTTTATCTTATCTTTTATCAGTGTGAATTGGAAGGTTTTGCCCAGCCATTGAAATCAGGAATTTGAGTAGTGCAATTTCTTTTTCAATGATGATGTAGGATATGTGATCTAGTACGATCTAGCCTATTTTCTTTTGCATAGCTATGTAAAAAGGCACAAAAAAATAGAATGTAAAACTTGATGTTTTCGGCATTGCAGGTAGTCACCTTGTAGAAGATGCCCCTCTTCAGAAATGTGCCGACTTGGTTATTGAAGCTCGTAGGGAGGAGAGACAGAGAGAAATGGAAAGAAAGAAAATGAAGGAAAATGAAACAAATGAATAGCATCATAATCTGTATAATGTCTGAATATATGAGGCTTATTTCCCGCCTCCTAACTACGGTTTTTGTTGGTACTGTTAGGGCTATAGGTATCCCAGTACCCCCTGGTTCCCCTAGGGCTGCATATACCTCTGACACGACAAGTACGTCTAGCTGGGATGTTTGTTGGTATCTCTAGGGCTACAAGTACATCTAGCTAAGATGCTAGTTGGTAGACCTAGGACAACAAAGTACGCCACGGCCAGCTAGCATGTTTGTTGGTACCACTATAGCCTATAAATACAAATCACGTTCCTCGGGCGTGATATACGGATGTGATAGTATCCATTATCATCCATATATCACGTCCAAACGGGCAGAGACAGATTTGTCGGACTAGTACCACTAGGGCTACACAAACCCCTTAGCTGACATGGGCGTTTGGTGTCCCCATGGGTAAAAGCACCCGGAAATAGGAACTAGTTCAAGCCTACTAGTGCTTCTGTGATAACTTTTCTTTTTTCTACTACATGTATTTATTATTTTTTGTGTAAAATTGTATTTTTTAAGAGTTTTAAAGCTTTGATTTATCTTGCCAAATAACGTTTGCCAGACTGTATCATATTTGATATACGACATATCACCTTATTACATATCGGTTTATATAGATTTTGTTAATTAAATTAAGCTTATATATAAAATTATTTCTTAAAAAAAATGTATTCATTCAGAAACTGAATCGTCATTTATACCACGCCCCTTTATCCAAATAGCTGTGGGCGTCGAATTTGACCAATCAAAACGACCTTTTTCATACCAAAGGTGTGGCCCATAATAGCACAATATTTTTGAGCGTTGCATCGTGCTGTAGGCTATAAATCAACCAATCAAAGAAATCATCAGATTCGCGCACATGTTAATGTTTACAAAACAAACCAAACGACTGAAAAAGCAAATTGATTGGTTGGTTTAAAAATCACGTGTTATCATGAATATTTATTAGCCCACTTCAGCCCGTAAAAGAAGGTTTACCTAGTAAAGAGAGAATATGTAAAAGGTTCGGACTTGCTGAACATTTCCACTGAAAATCTAATTCCAATCCCACTAATGTTGAACTAGACATTTTATTTCAATGTCTACGACACCTCATTGTTGCTTATTTCCGACAGTTTTGAGTAAAACGTCAGTAGTGTGTATTACGTCATCGCATTATGTCGTAACAACAAGAACAGTACGAAAGGGTTTCTTGTCACTATTCTAGTTTTAGAGTTCGGACAAGGCCGAATACATTTGTAAAAACACAAAAAGTAAGTTTTTTGTAGACTTATATTCCAAATCTAATCTCTCACGGCACCCCTTTCTTAAGAGAAATTTGATTCTAGACGGCTTACAGTTCACCTACAATATGCTACAAACGTTGCTACTCTATGTTGATGAAGTACAAAATAAAGGCCAAAGGGGGAAACTCTTTTCGCTTTTCGTGGAATTGAGCCATTAACCCGAAGGTCTGTCTTGTCGGCATTGGTTACTTTATGAACAAGTGTAGGCTATATCATAAGATGTTAGATTCGGACTAATAGTATGTTATCGTGGGTCTACCAGCAAAATGCGGAGTATGATCCCAGCTACAGACTATCCCCACCCTGCAAGGTGGAAGTCCAGTGAACTGGAGAAATAATCGCTCAACACTGATTAAAGCTATGTTGTTTATGCATAGGCCGCATAGGAGTAAAATGAAAGCGTTGAAAGCAATATGGGTTGGTTGGTAAATGACAAGTTAACGTCCGCTTCCATCTAACTGATATCACAGACTAGGTAGTTGTTGGTAGATAACAAGGTAACGTCCGCTTCCATCTAACTGATATCACAGACTAAGTAGTTGTTGGTAAATGACAAGTTAACGTCCGCTTCCATCCAACTGATATCACAGACTAGGTAGTTGTAGGTAAACGACAAGTTAACGTCCGCTTCCAGCTAACTGATATCACAGACTAGGTAGTTGTTGAAAGATGACAAGTTAACGTCCGCTTCCATCTAACTGTTATCACAGACTAGGTAGTTGTTGGTAGATGACAAGTTAACGTCCGCTTTCATCTAACTGATATCACAGACTAGGTAGTTGTTGGTAGATGACAAGTTAACGTCCGCTTTCATCTAACTGATATCACAGACTAGGTAGTTGTTGGTAGATGACAAGTTAACGTCCGCTTTCATCTAACTGTTATCACAGACTAGGTAGTTGTTGGTAGATGACAAGTTAACGTCCGCTTTCATCTAACTGATATCACAGACTAGGTAGTTGTTGATAGGAGACAAGTTAACGTCCGCTTCCATCTAACTGATATCACAGACTAGGTAGTTGTTGGTAGAGACAAGTTAACGTCCGCTTTCATCTAACTGTTATCACAGACTAGGTAGTTGTTGGTAGATGACAAGTTAACGTCCGCTTCCATCTAACTGTTATCACAGACTAGGTAGTTGTTGGTAGATGACAAGTTAATGGCCGCTTCCATCTAACTGTTATCGCAGAGGTAGTTGTTGAAAATGACAAGTTAACGTCCGCTTCCAGCTAACTGTTATCACAGAGGTAGTTGTTGGAAGATGACACGTTTGGTTACAGCGGATGTTGATATCGTTGTTGGAAGTTGTAGTAGATGGTAGTTGGATATGGGTTGGGGTTGTTGTATAAATAGTTAACGGGACTCGGACTATAGAGAATAAATAAAAGTTTTGGGTGTACCAGTATTGATATAAATTATGTCCAGTAGATATGAATGTATGTTTATCAATATACTCAAGTTATTTATGAACTGATTAGGGGTTATCGCTGGTATTTGGAAGTTCAAGTAGCCCGGGTCACTACATTGTAATAATATACATGGATTAAATCAAGTCAATTTGTAAGTTTTTTGTTTGTTTAAATATTTGAAATTAATAATCGTATTATGTTTGTTTATTTAAAATGCTATACGCTATATATTTTACCATTTATGGTTCAAGAAAAACTTTTCTTCGAGTTACAATTGATATGTTACAATATTGTTACATTGTTAAGGTTAAAAATATAAAATGATCTCGCCGTTGTCATTGGCTATAAATTTGTATTTGATATAATGTAAATTGGTTTAGTCTTCAAAAAACAAACTAGTTTGGAGTTATATCTTATCTGAATAGGGATTACAATTTCAATAATTATTTAATTCTAATCTTATTAAAATCCAGATTTAGGTGTTCTATTTCCTATTTTTTTCAGAGGGTGGTTATATCTCAAATACTAGCCTGATCTGGCCCTTCTCGTTACTTTGACGTGATACACGGATGGGATATCGGAACATTATGGAGCGGCTACTTAACTGCTAGAATTCGTAAATTTGATTAAATTGCTCTTGGCACGATTCTGATTGTTCCCAAACGTTCGTGGTCATTCTCAGTTTAGGTGTCAGTGTCAAGGTTTGTGTCCACTTGTTATAAGCTCCAAGATTCTAGGTTTCTTGTAAATGTCTTTGCGTTTATCAACAGCTCCGTTTTAGAACACATATTTATCTGAAACACTTGTCGCATCTTAATCACTACAATTTTGGGTTTTTATTTTTGACAAACTTATTAATTCGAAGCGGTGATTAAAATGTTAGATTGAAAATTAGGGTTCTATAAGTGTTAGGCCTTATAAATGTCAATCCTCTTTTCGTTAACCCTTTCGAAGGTGAAGGTATATCCAGGTAGCGGTGTGCTCATATCATGTACCCCGTCATGTTCAAGTCAATATTCCATTTGCCAATGATGGATCGGTTCGTACTTATCTCGGATCTCGGTCATCCAATTGCCGAACCTATTTAAAGATTTGTCTCTGTCAAATGGAGAAATATTATGATTTGTATGTTTTTGTGGGCGTCTATTTGAATCTTTATGGGCTTCTGACTTTTTACAATAACACAGACTTCATGTATGTATTAAAAACGAAACGACCATATACAAATATAACAACTTAGATTCACGAGGATCCTTTCTACCAACAGTACTGATCCTTGGTCAAACCTCTTGGCATTGATATTTCTTGAATCATCCGTTGAAGTCTCCAAATGACAAATCACCAAATCCACGCCAATGTATTTGAAGAAGGTTTCATTTTAAATCCCAAGAAGAGCACCTTTAACCATGAAACCTGTCTAATTAGTGTGAGAATGAATTATTTATTAATTGACTTTTATTTGCTTTTCATGGCATTAATACGTCATTCTCATTAGTCATTGTGTCATCTCGTGTGGCCTTCTCAGCTGATAGAGATACAGCATGCTGATTATTCACCTAAAGGGGCCCTCACACTATAGCCATTACCAGTCGCGGTCATAAGTTTCGAACGCAACTCTCATGCAAATGAGTTGTGAGTTGCGTTCGAAACTCGTGACCATTATCATTATTTGCAAATTTTGTGAGGGCCCCTTAAGGGATATAGCCTTCAAGTAATTTTAATGAAAAAGATAAACAGTTCTATATTAATTCTCGTAAAGGGTTTGAGTCGTCTATGTATTTATGTTACTGACTGATACCAATTTCAGCTACCCGTAATACTTATCAAAAATATAATTCGACGTCAGTATCACAATTAATATAGTGCAGTGGCGTACCCCTTTTTTAAAAATAGTATATAGTATAATATAATAAATATGAGTGCATGCCCTTTTTACAACAGTGTACAATACATTAAGGGTGGGACAGTACAGTGCATGCCCTTCTTACAATAGGGTAAATAATTTAACGCCTTGCTTTATGAATGACAATGTTTTCTTTTTTGTGGTACAACAAAGAGAAAAGAATCGAATTGAACCTCCTATGAAACAAACTTTAAAACAAACGCAATTTACAATCCGAAAATATAACCAAAGTTTACATTCAGTTGCACCCGCTGTTTACCCATATCCCCTTTGCCATTATAATAATGTTTGTCGAACGACGAATAGTTGTCGCAACATTACGCCTACTCTTAAAGCGTAAACAAACGTTTTGAGTTCGATAAGATAGTATAAACTACACCCTATTCGATTTTCAATATCCCTTTTTATAATGAAGTGTAAAGGTACTTGTTATGTTTATTATTTTAGACTTAGTTTATGATTTCTCTATCGTCTACCTGAATAGACTATATTATACCTATATAACTGTTGTAAATGCATTAATAGTCTTCTCAACTTAGGTCTTCCCGCCTCGGTGAGTTATTAGATATTAGTATTATGACTTATCTTGTCTTTCCAAGACTTCTGAATTTCCTACCTTTCGGCTTATTTCTGACTTATTTCTGACTTATCTCGACTTCTTTCTGTTACATATGCTGCCAATGACTTCTTCTACGCCTATTTCATTTTGGCCTTCTCTGAATTTCTCTTCTGATTTGCCCTGACTTCTTATTGGCTTCTTCTTCTGACTTATCTCGACTTCTTCTTAGCTTCTTTCTCTGACTTATTCTGACTTCTTCTTAGCTTCTTTCTCTGCCTTATCCTGACTTCTTCTTAGCTTCTTTCTCTGACTTCTTCTTGGCTTCTTTCTCTGACTTATTCTGACTTCTTCTTGGATTCTTTCTCTGATTTATCCTGACTTCTTCTTGGCTTCTTCTGACTTATCCTGATTTTATTTTGACTTCGTCTTCTGACTTTCCAAGACTTCTTTTATTTCTTTTATCTGATGTTCAATGAGTTCTTCGTCTCATGACTTCTTTCTCTAACTTATCCTGACTTTCGATGAATTTCATGTGACGTATATAAGTTATTCTTCTGACTTCCAATGACTTGTTCCTTTGACTTTATTTTCATGGGATTGTTCCAATCAATTTTCAAGTCTAAAGTTCAAGTTATCATGTTATTGTTTGACACCTACTTGTAAGGATGGGTCAGTGATCACCGGATCATGTTAAATTATTATTTAACAATAGAAAGTTATTGACCCCCACTGATTATCGTGTAATATTGGATAATTTTCAAACTCAGATTTAATAGAGTGATTCCACGGTTGGTGTAAAATACCAAAATATTGTCTTTCAGGATCTTTATGAAATGAAATGGAGTTTAATGCATTTTTTACTACATCTGTTCATCTATGTCTATATCAAGATATCAAGTTTGTCTGTTACCTTGACTGTAATAGCCACTAATTTTGTCTCACGAAATATGGCAATTCGATTGGATTGTACGTCAGCGATTACAGCTAATCACAGCCATTGACAGACTGTAAAAACTGTAGATTTATCTTAGGATTTCGAAAATAAGAGACCAACTTTAAGATTCTAGTAAATGCGGCCATATAGGCATATCCAACCAATGTAAAACTAATCATGAAAGATAAGGAAAGGCCAGTAGTTATAGAATGATATAGTCTAGCCTAATCCGAGGTTATTGGTTATTTTACCTTTTAATAATTCATTATCCGTGTAATCTTCTTATACCTGACACCCACAGAGCAGAGGTTCGTCAGTTCAGGCGCCAGTACGACGAACAATTCTTTACCTTAAATTTAATATGTATCACAAAAACCTTATCTAGAATTAATCGTTATCCAAATTTGATAAGCTTATTCATTAGAGACATCTTTAAACGGGAACAGGATGAATGAATGAACGAATAATAACAGTGATTAAAAAATCCACTAATGAACGAATGAACGAACGAATGAATGGATGACAGTGAACAAAAACCCCAAAAGAATGAACGAATGAATGGGTGAATAAACGAATGAATGAAGGACAGTGAACAATAAAGAGATGAATGAATGAAAACAAGTCAATATCAAAGTGTCTTGGGAATGCTATTCAACAGACGTTATATAAATTATTCAGTTTTTAATTAAAACCACCGGCCGGTCTGTACCTGCTGGTCTTTTTAATACATAGAATAGTTTTACGCCCTCCTTTTGATGCTATATATTGGGCTAATGAAGGGAACGTCATGCAGTGTGCAATGAGATAAAGATAATCTGAAACTCCATCTATTCTAACTTGTCGAGAGTTAACCGTGCAAAATTTAGCTCACGAGTGGTGGCATTTCTGTGAAGAAGAGTAAGGGGTTATCCCCACCCCCGTAGAAACCCTTCACCCCACGAGTAGGCCTACTCAGTTTTGCAATGACGATCCTCTGATCTGTATCACTGACAAAGTTGATCAACTTAAATTATAAATTCCATAATATATACTTCTAGATCAATTTTTGGCAATTTTTAACAGACTATAATACAGATTACCGATGTATTTAATCGAGGTTAGCGACGAAATTTTAAAGATAGTTTATAACAGGAGCAAGGTACGAGTTTCCGAAGAAAGATCCGAGGATATATTCTTTACCTCTCTATATCTCTCTTTTTTACATTTCAGAAAACTTGATAGAAGATGATTGATAATGTCGGTTCCATTCTGAAAGGCACGCGACAAGATATCGTCTGCTGTAGGATTGACTAACAGCCAATCATATCAAGGTATTTCACCAAGCAGCCAATCACAGAGAAGATTTATCAGGATCTAAACAACAGCTATTGTGTATTCTTCGGACTGGAAATTAAATATAAACCGGTGCCAGCATAATGTCGCCCATTACAGAAGGAAATGTGAATGCGAATGCCTTCACCGGAAGTCACCATGGATCAGATCCGGGTATACGAAATCGTGGCGACGGAAGATTGTCGTTTGTTAATAGTGACAAAAGACCGTTATCACGAGCAGGAAGCATGGAATCGAACGCGCCTGGAACTCAATTAAAGGAAAATTCAAATCTGGGAAGCATTCGGAACGGTGTATTCCATTCATTAGTAGACATGAGTAACCTAAGCAAACATAAAATGGAATTTTTCCACAAGGAGGAATGTTTATATTCACACGAAATGTTTCTTAAAGCTGGGAAAATTTACGATTCTTTAAAACACGAAGAAACAGATGTTAAAAAAACAGAGCACACCGAGGATAACGAGGAAGTTGGTTTCAACAGTCTAGCTCAATTAGATTTTGAAAATGAAAATGAAAAACGTTTAACGTTTGAATTGGCCTTTTCTACTTTAAAATGTAAGTACATTGTAATTTTTTACGCTTTTTTTTAATTCATCAACGATTCTATTTGCGACAATTCCTTTTATATTTGTCGTTTGATATTGTAGATGAACTGAATTTTCATTTTGGGAAGTGATACATTATAAGCTGACAGTGGAAATAATGTTTTACCTGCCGGTTAACAAATTTAGCGTTTAAGCGCCTGCCTCTGCCCCACCCCCTGCCAACTTTAAAATTTCTAATCAGGGAACGACGTGCCTGTGCCTCCCCCCTCCCCTTAGCAATTCTGACCCCAACACGAGCCTCTCACCTTTGATTCATAAAAACGCCACTGTGAACCATGAACCAGGAAATATCCGGGATCCCCAAAAATATTCAATTTTCAGTTGATAACTTGCTGTGTTTGTTCACGACTTGACTTTCTGACACGAGGAATTCAAACCATTGTTTTATTGGGTTAATCGAATACTAAATAAACAGTGGAACTACACAAGATTCTGTTTGTCTATAATTTACAACTAAACAAAACAGTAATTTATAGTAAATGTATTGAGGCTCATATTACAATTCCAGTTGATAAAGTCGTTATTTTTTTATCATTTGAAAGGGGCAGTCTGATTTTTAAAAATTAGGTTGGTAAAGTTAAGTGACAAAATTAATAAAAACTGTATATACAAAAATCTAGAGAAATATGTCTTGTACTATACTCTATCTAAAAGTTTTAACTAAAAGTATCTTGTTTGATTTAGAACGTTTTAACTAGTTAAAAAGTTTACTCAAACCTTTTAAAGTGGCTTTGTTTTTGGATGGTGATGGAAAACCAAGTGAATGACAAATTGTAGAGAAATTATTCCTCTACATTATTATTCTGAAGGTTTCACCTTAAATTCGAATCGTTATAATCCAAACCATTTTTTAATTAACCCTTTTAAAACGAATTCAGGTCGATCAAGTGTAAATACACTTAGAATTTTTTTTTATAACATTTTGAATGATAATCAGTTTGCAAACTGTCTCTCAAGAACGTACACTTGTTAACCGAGTTGAACCGGGTCAGTACGACATTCCCGTTCAATTCTTTCTATTATAAATGATCATGTTACTGTGGTCAACCAACAATAGTCTTGTATATTCAATATATTCTCAAATGCTTGAACTGTCCATGAAGTAATTCTCTATTTACGACTAATCCGGTCGAAATTACTATGACTTAGTCAATTAAGTCAATGAGTGGTAGTTTATTTTGGCGTGATTGGCGATTTTCTGTTGTGCTCATCGTCGCTTGAATCATACCCCTTATCGATAACTAGATGGGACCATGTTTCCCCTTGCCAAATAGTGTGGAATTTTTACTAATCAAAACGACGTTTTTCGTACGAATATATTATTAATTTGTGTCTTGCGTATGTCCTTATTACAAAACAACCCGTTAAATGACTTGATAGAACCTTATTGATTGGTTGTTTTAAAAATCATGTGACATCATAATTTTTTAAAGGAATTTAGTGGCCTTATTGAAGCAAACAGAACTTTCTGTTGCTGATATCTGATATCTTCATACATAGCTTATATTATTTTGTGGTAACAAAACCTTTCAATGTCTTATCGTCACATAATATGACAATACGGGTCGTATAATTTTTGATATGTTCTTCAAGTTTACGCCCAAGCAAATTTGCTATTTCAAAATGTCAATAAAAGTTTTTATCGGCATGTTTACATGTCGTCGACTATTTAAGTGCTCGTTTACAGTGGTCAAACAAAATAGTCATTGACTATAGATATACTGGTCGTTACTAATGATGTCAACTTTGACCTTGACCAGGGCATTGTAATTAAAACAGATCAGAAAGGTTTCCAACAGAGAATGTCGGATACCATAGAATTTCTTGTACTGAACGCGCCAATTGCAACGCGCACTATTCTGACTATCTTACATAATGTAATAACATAATATTTAAGGAATTGATTGTATATATTTGTAAGTACTGTGCATTATTGATTACAATTTAAGTCAACTTTGATCTAGGTGAGATAATTACAACTGAAATAGAAGGAGAATACAATACATATACTGTATAACGCCTAGTGTAATACGCACACAAACGCAGTTATGACTGACGTGTAACTATTTGTATTACAGACCAGTCCTTATTTGAAGATATTGTTTACGAAACGTCGTTTTATAATCATTACCCAGAAGTAAGTACTACTGTATATCCTTTATAAACATTACATAAAATCATGCAATACAGAAGTGTGTTTGCTTATGAAAGCTCCATTATGGACAGTGATGAATCTATATGGCATGGAAAATTGCCGGTCATTACATCTTTTGATATCAGAGTAAAAACCAACGAATTGCTAAATAACGCTGTGCTAGCTGAACGCAAGGCTATTGGAATGACACGATCCATTCTTCAAAAAAAAAAAACCATATCCTAACGATCCGAACGGCAAAACGAAACCCGAAATCAGGGGGACATTGTTGACGACTAAACGGCGAACGTCATCTCCCGTGCTCTTGGAAGGGACCTGGGAGTTTTTTTTGAGCCCTGAAACTGCCCATGAAGACCGCTAGCTAACCTCGACGAGAGATCAGTGGTGTTTCGAACAAAAGCTTCAGCGTCTGCATTCATTTTATGCTTATAGCTACAAGAAGATGAAGGCATCGTCATGGTGGTGTTATACGACTATCAAAACCGTCGGTTCCAGTACCGCGTACCGTTTCCAGACGAGGAACTCAACGAAATAGTCACTAAGGTAGAAACAGCTATAAACGATATGAAAACAAAATTAGCTGCAGCAATAGCTCGACATAGAATCAAAGCTAGTGCCAGATCTTTAGAGTTCCTCCTGCCAGAAAGTGTCCGACACAGCGACGAGGCGAAGAGCAAGATGCCGGCGTATTTCTGGATTAACCAGTTACGGACAAGGTGAGTTTATTGAAATGAAATTTTCGTTTTTTACAGTGATTTTATCATGTGGATGAATAGGACTAGTTTAATAATACATCTTTCTTGTATAAAGCAAGCGAAAAGATGACCGGAAAGCCAGAAAAAATCAATATTTGAATAAAATGCAATGTGTTGCCCTATACTTGATGTATTACGATACAAAAGACACGAAATAGATAGGTTTAATTCTGTAGTTTTTAAAATGCACGTTCATTGACCTATATTGTAAGTTTATTACAGTACAGGACATGCAATGGATCTGTTGAATCCTGTAATTTTTAAATGCACGTGCATTGACCTATATTAGAATAAGCTGTTTTGAAGACACAGTGGTGCTGTTGAATTCTGTAGTAATACACGTGCCATGATATATATTCAATTTATCGCAAAGCAGAAGATTGATCTGTTGGATTCTATAGACTTAAGAATGCACGTGCGCTATCCTATATTCAATTACTCCAATACAGAATTCTGTAGGTTTAAATTACACGTGCGTTGACCTATATTGTAATTTATTATAGTACAGAAGACGTGATGGATCTGTTACGAGTGGAAGGGTTTAAGATCGTGAATTCTGTACGGGAACTGGGTGATGATGGAGACAAGTTTTATTGTTTTGATCACCATTGTCCAGATCTACTGGTCGTGGCCTCACATCAAGTTAAATCTCTACAGGAATCTGATATTGTTAATGATGGTCTAATAGTCAGACAGGTAGGCAACAGTATAGCATAATTTTCACTGCGTTTTCCCCACCCACTCTCTCGAAAGAGCAGACCCTCAATGTACATGTATAACATAATATACTAGCATTACAGTTTATATGCCCACATCCCTATACAAACGTCAAACGTTCGCGAGTCCGTTCAATCCAAGACATTTTTAGAATGACTCGTCAAAGTCACAAAATACACTTAAAAATTAAGAACTAGGGAGGGGAAGAAGCATTCCCGCGCCTATACCTACAAGTGATCCATCGACCCCCTCTATTAAATATTTAGACCGGACGACTGAATCCCCTCAGTTGGAAACATTACGTACAAGCTATTCCCGACAAAAACTTGACATTACACAATATCTTGTTCGTCGCTAATCTTCATTGATTGTATCTTTGATATGGGATTTAGGCCAATTCTGACATTTCTTAATACACTTTCATTTCATCTTGAAGACAAGATATAGGTTTTTATAGATCGATGTATTAATGTGACAATTTAAAAAACTTTCATCTCGGTTCTTTTATTGTAGAAAAACTTGTTTAAAAAAAACTATCGAAAATTGCCATTTGATTTGAAAAAAGTTTTCTGTAAATACAGGAACCACAGAGTGGAAAATCACATGAATACAATGATAAAATTATTACAAAATATCTTTTTCGTTTGACTTCTGGTTGCAAAATCAGGTATCGAGCTGTTTCGCCTGGTTCCATCCATCTGGATTGTGCATTACGCCGTCTTGGTTTTTTTTTCACTTGAGAAATATGACAGGCTGCGAGTTGTTTGTAAGTGATATTATCTCAGTTACCATGGAGTTATCACGATATATATCATAATTAATTTCATATCCATAGAATCTGAACACAATAGTTAATCTTAAATCACATTAACTCCATTTAACTTCCATGACGTTTGCCTTGTTTCGGATCTAACCGATCTGTCATGGTTATAGCGCGACTAAGCGAGGCGCGGGGTCGGTTTTAGCGTCGGTTGTGGGTACGGTATGATGTATTGTTGGATTGCCGATACAGTAGAGAATCGAAGAGACAAGGCGTTGGTAGTGTACAGAGTGGGGTTATCGATACAGTTGAAATTTCGAGAAGCGAAGAGACGAGGCACGGGGTTGGGGGTTGTGTACCGTGCTGGGTAATCGATACACTAGAAACTAGCAAAAGCGAAGAGACGAGGCGGGGGGTAGGGGGTTGTGTAAAATGCTGGGTTATCGATACAGTAGAAAATTGAAGTACAGAGGCGAGGCGCGGCGTAGGGGGTATTGCGTAGTGTACCCTACATGATTATTGATGCAGACAAGAAGAGCTAAGGTGACGAAAGTGTCCCTTTACGAAAGCCCCATACCCCCTCGCTCTCTCCCTTAAGGACTGCAAGATTTGTAACTAATGAACCCCTATGTTTTAGACACCTTGAAAGAAGATATCAAAATGTATTGAAACTCTCCAAAACTTAAATCAGTAATTAATTTCACCTGACCGAATTTTATTTACCAATCAATCAAAACTGTCCAATATTAGCGTTTTATGATAAAAAGAATCAAATGGCAATATCGATCAGCAGGAATCTGTTCACCTAGCTTATTATTTCTTTTGTTTACTCGCTTTTTTATCTGGTAATATTCTATAATCTAAAATCTCAAGTACGATATCCTTATCTATAGCAAAGGTTTTCGAGTTTTCACAACCTTACCCTTGCTATAACCAGAGCCGTCATGTGTTGATGATATATTTAATTGACATATTTTGATTTTTGATGGACATGTTATGAATTATTTGACAGATCTGTAATTTTTGATTGATATGTTTTGACCAATTTGATTGGCATGTTTTAACTTATATGGAGGCAAGGTTTTGACATATTTCATTGACGTGTTTTGAATTATTTGAGATATTTTGACGTCTATTGTATTACAATCTATTAGATTACAATTCTTTTTCTTTTTGTACAGCCCATCGCACATGATGGGCTTTAGTCCGCAAAATAATATTTTTTGTTTCATGAAAATCAAACTTGTCGTGTGCGTTGAATAAAAACATTTATACGAAACATTTTCCGCCCTCAACCAATCAACATGTAATATCTCGTCACGTGAAATAAAATAATATTTGAACTTTGTGGTCACGTGAGACAAAAATCGTGTGAAAACATGGCATACACAATGTTCATTGTATGCAGTTAATGAAAACTTGAAAACATTAAAACGTTTTTCGTTTGCAACGAACAAATATCCGTCGCATCTTAAAACTAGGAGCAAACAACCGATTAACCGTTGAAAACAAAAAAATTCTTATGTTCACGTTTCATTAGCATTGATATTTACTACCCATCTTTATATGAAGATGCTTTTATATTTCCAGGATAAGTCAAGCTGTTTGGCGCCACATACAGTTAAATATCTACTAAACGAAGATGATGACGTCATTCACGTTAACGCGGGATTTGGTTTGACTTCTGGTCACATAGCCAGCTTATTGAAACCTTCCAAAAGTCACATCTTTGCTTTTGGCGCCACCGGTGATGCAGATGTGTACAGAATTCACAAAAACCTTGGCCGATTGGGCGTCGGGAAATGTATCCTTTTGTTAAATGAAATATCTGAAACGTAACAAATAGATCTACGTATGCAGATGGTTATGCACAAATACTTTATAAAGTATACCGGATACTTCTGCCATTGTAAGACCTTTACCGTCTACTCAAAACGGTCTACTGTGAAAGTTTTGCTGGCGCTCTGAAACAGCTATACAGAAACTGCCGAGATTGGTAAAAATTGAAGAGGTTCGGGCGCGTCCAGCATTTCCAACCCAAATATACTACTAAAATTCTTTAACAATTTGAAGGTGTGAGAGTAATATCGGAACCATTTTTAAACATAGAGCCAGACGATAGCCGGTATAAATCAGTTCGTATTGTCCTAGTCACAGCGGACTGTACCAAATCAGCAGTCACTAACCCTGTAGAGTTTGTGGTCAGCGAGGGAGAAGGTAAGTTACTAAGTTTATATTTTAGAATCAAAAACATTCGGACACTGACATTTCCAGACTCTCAGATTACCACTTTCAAACTATGCTTGTAGATTTTAGACTTTTTCAGACACTGGGATTTTCTTTACTCTTGCTATCACGACATCCATACGCAGACTTTGATCGGCCTAGGCTTTCAGAATTTGAAAGTCCATTTTCGGTAAAATTTCTGATATCTTCATGCTATTACCAATCTATTTAGGATTTACGGAGCATCCATCATGGCTGATTAGAGGCACAGAACATTGAGATATACACATTGTCAGTTCTCTGTGGTCAGAATGTATTTGTTTATGTTTCTATTGTAGATATGACGATATTAAAGGATCTATCAGTGGGTGATAAAGATGCTATGAAAATAAACCAACTAAATAATGAACATTCTAGGATTCTAAAACACGCCATGAGATGTGAGTCCTTATTAGAATTTATCTCCTGTTCAGTGATTTCTATTATTAAAACGAACTTTATCGTCACTTATTGATATATTTTCACGATTTCTTTCGTCTTATACCTTGAGTGCAATAGCCAATGTCAGCGAATACAACCAATCAGATCCAACAAGCGGTACTATCAGAATAAAAAGATCCGAGGCACCTAATATAGTGTTTATTAACACTTTCGCAAGTGGCAGCTCAGTTGCCACCCGTCCATGTGTAAAGTTACACTTTCGTTTTAACAGTGTATTGTATATCTTAAAGAAACTATTGTTATCGAAAGGATGGGGATGTTTATAAATCCAAACCTCTCGTATTATTACAGTTTCGAAAGTACAGGCGGTAGTGTATATGACCAGGTCGGTCCATGAAGCCGAGAACGAGATGGTGGTGGAAAAAACAGTAGAGTATGTGAACTCGATACAACAGAAAAAGATGCCATTCCGTCTGGTGCCACCGGTTCTAGCTTTCAGTGCAGATGAGATTGAAAACAATCGTGGAATCTGCGGGAAGTATATGAAATTTAAACCATCCAATACAATGAATGGTTGTTTTGTGGCCGTCATCACAAGAGAGGTTAGTTATTTAAAATTAAATCCTACTTTCTGTACTTTTGAGATAATGAAGGCATCATCTCAACGTATACCACGAAAGGTGACAAATACCTGGAAGTCTAAACATGATTTATTTCATTGTTCAGTCATATCTTTTTTCTATTTCTAGCCAGAAGATTTGAAAGATTCCGCGAAGGATGCTATAGCACGTGCCAATGCTAAAGGACTTTTGGGCGCGAAATCAAAGAAAGGTCACGATTCGGATAACCATCATGGACACCATATCAAATCTAAAAAATCTCGGAAAAAACTTCGAGCTAGTGCTAGCGCTGGATTTAAACCTAATATGACAATCAGTTCAAATCGGATGCAGATGTATCAGAAATCGTCAGGATTGAAGCAAGTCATATCGGCTGCACGGAAACGGGACCAGGACGACAAAACTAAGCATCTGAGTCTACCCAGAGTAAGTTCAATGCCCGTTGCCAGAATGCCTGAACACATCCGCATCGTCAAACATCCTGCACCTTTCAAATGATACGCATGACGTCACTACGTCACATGTACTTCACGTCATGACTCCATTTTTTGAATACGCACGTGCAATTGACGTTTTTTGTAAAATGCTTGTGTATATGCAAGTCCTGCATCACGTAAACTTTATTTTACAGCTTTGGTGTAGAAAATGGATATAAAAAAAGCAAAATGAAAAGTCTCACACTAATAAACTGTTCCTAGATTATTTTGCTCATCCGGTGACTTAAACAGTTGAAGCATCAACAGTCCACTTCATTTTTAGGTAGTGTAAGTAGTAATGAACACTATATAGGTCTGGCTTGTAATGTTTCATTTACTATTTATTCTACCTCAAAAATGAAGTGGACCGCTCCTACAATTTGGCATCGTTCTCCAAGGTGCATAAATATCCATGTAAAGAAAGTGGGTTAAAGGTATTTTTGCACGTCCATTGGCATTTCCAGACTTAAAAGTAGAGTCCATTATGTTCCAGAGGTAGAATAAGTGACACATGATCTTAACAAGCCAGAGTAATATTTTGTTTATTTCTGTGGACGGTCTTTGTTACGTGGTTATGACTAAAATGCAGTCAAATGTAGTGCGACATTGAGCATTATTATGGTTTGTTACATTTCATACATGACGTCAATATTATGGAGGATTATTTTTACTAATAAATATCTGTTTCGTTACAAATTTGAATTATTGCTGAATTCTCGGTGGATTATAGGCAGCTTGTGGACTATAATGCTGTCGATCCAGAAAATGTGTGTTTCGACAACAAACCAGTAATTTGGGGATTGCATGACACAGTTCTCGCAGATACACACCCTCCCCCCCACCTCTATAAAATGGATACCTACACCAAAAATGTAAGCTGTTACGACAAGGTTAAAAAATTTGCCACTTTCACCACCTTTGTACCTTTAGAAAATCACACACAAAGCACTTCATAGCAAACAAAATAATCGTGTCCAGGTATTAAGAAAATTGTTTGTAGCATGCATGTAATATATTTTTACAAGAAGTTTCTAATAAAGAGGTAGGTATTATATCTATTATATTAAGGTAACGGTGAGCTTAAATACTAAGGACCGTAGCCACAGATGGGGCAAGGGGCAATACTCGCCCAAGGTACCTTTCTAGATGACAGAATTGTATTTTTTTTTTCTGAAAACCGGACCCAGAATTCTAAATTAATGCGGTATTTAAATTTCTTTTTTGCAGTTCCTTAAAAATGCTAAGAACTCGAAAGCATCAAAACCGTCACCAATACCGTCAGCTGGAATTGCAAGATCACCGTCGCCTAGGTTACCAAGATCTCCAGTGTCATCTCCAAGGTTACCAAGTACCCCGGCACCATCTCCTAGGTTACCGAGTTCAAGGGCATCATCAGCTACGAGATTACGTTCTACAAAATCAGAAACTTTGTCGTTGCCGTCTGCAAACTTAGGCGGCGGCAATTCTCTACAAGTGTCGTCTGAAAGTCAACTACTTACGCCCCCTAGGGAGGTCCGACAACGAAGATTATCACGAGAAGATGTGACTCTGGATGGGAAAGACGTACATTCAAATGAAAGTTGATGATGGTTCTTTTGATGTACAGTGTATTTTAGTAAAATTAAGGTGCTTTGTTAAGATAAAGATATAATTGTTCAAGGGCGGTAACTCTAATTTCCATCAAGATATGCATAGTGGATGCATGGACACATTTTTAAGTGGTCTGAACTAAAAAAATCAGAATAAAAATAGTTAAATCCAAATTTTTGTCATTATTTACATAAGAGACGAATTGCCTCTAAGCCCCCCTTGACAATTCTGAGGCCCGTAGTGCCACTGAACTTCAATTTCACCATGGAAACAACATTTAAAAAATAAAAAGTTTATTTACAAAGGTCAACAATAATGTACAAATAACAAATTTTATAACCTTATTACAGTTTAACATGGTTTCTACATGGTTTAGAATAATTTAAAACACGTCTTTATTGAGAGTATACTTGGTAAAACTCTGGTGGCATATTCTCGAAACGATCTTAGAGCTAGGATGTCCTAGGTTCTAATCATCAAACACTGATTCTAGGATATCCTAGCTAAGATCGTATCGAGAATTGAGGAAATATAGAGAACGGAAATGAGTGAGTAAATGAAAGGGAAAACTAAAATCATCTCTAGGAATATGAGAATTGGGTGTAAGGGTTACCAGGTCTTCAGGCCTAAGAGTCGTCTGGTCCAGCAGTCTCAGGATCTCCAGGTTAAATGGTATTTGTCCTAAGGAGTTCGAGAGTTTTCTGGATTTGAAGGTCTGCTGGTCCGAGTGTCTCTGGGTCCAATGGTATATGGGTTAAGAGTCCAATGTTATCTTGGTCTAAGGTTTCTAGGTCCAATGGAATGGTATCTGGAATAAAGTGGCTCCTGAGTCAAGAGTGTCGATCTCTGCTCTATAAATTGCCCATTTGATGAGGTAATAGATACAGGCATGCTATATCTTTCTAAGTGAGCTTCTAAATCAATTCAATTACACAAAATGCTATCAAAAAGTGAACAAAAAATTAAATAGAATTCCCTGAAGAAAATTTGAGTTGGTAATTTTTGTTCAAATAGTGGTAGGGTAAGTGTGGGTTGTTTTTTGTACAACTAAACAAACGGAAGTAAGAAGATATAGGTAATATTTAGGAATTCAGAATTTGAGGCACAAAATGATCTTTGTTTACAAAATAAACTTAAGTTAAATTCTAAGTATCATTGTTGTTTTTTAAATGATTTTCAAAACAGAAAAAAACAGTGGCAAGTAAAAAATCACTTAATGCATAGCTTTGTTTTTGTAATATGCGCCTCTTCTCCCCCAATTTTGTTCAATCTATGCATAGCAACAGAGCAGAGTATGCCCTCCTGCCATAGCTATTACCAATTGTGTATGGTTGTGAATAAAGAAAGTGGTCAAATGGTCGAATGCCACTCACAACTCACTGAAGCCCCGTTAGATATCTTTCAATTTGCATAAATTTTTATTTTATTTTTGTTTAGCAGCTGATGTCAATTCAACTTGACAAGTACTTATCTTTTCACAAAATTAAAGTAAGCATCAATTAAATATGTGCATAAATTAAATATGTGCATAAATTATATGTTCATAAATTAAATATGCACATAAACTAAATAAGTTCATAAAAAAAAGTTAGCATGAATTTAATATGTTCAGAAAATAAAAATGCACTAAAATTAAAAATGCCCATAAATTAAATATGTGCATAAATTAAACTTATTAACTGCATATTGTGAGCTCTTGCTAAAATAAATCCATCATTTAACTCAATGCATAGTGTTTGAAGCCTAAGTACAAAAGCAAAATAAACAAAAATTAAATATGCGCATAAAGTAAGGCTAAAAATAATATTTTGATCTTTTAAGGAGCAATTGACATAATTTATTGCTGAAAAAGTTTTCCTTATTTTTTTCAGAGAATCGCATTTAAGAAGCTATATAAAATGTTTAACATTCACTACTTGCATCACATATACCCATTGTTGGCTTTTGTCATTTATTCATAATATTGACTGATAAAGAAAAGATAATTTGATGAGACAATAAACCAATCTCTCTACTATTTAAAGTTGGAATGGAGAGGACTAAAGCTGCGAAAACACAAGATAAGATGTCCAGTGCTGTGTATGATGTGGGATTATGGATACATGAGTAGAAGAAAAGCAATACCAGACACCATACTTTATCTATTATGCTGCTGTCCTGGCAAAATTTCCTGCTGCCAATTTCACGAGCCCAATCAGATGCAGAAGTAGAATGTAAAAAATTCCATTCCATTTCAAATTTAATACACAACTGAAGATTAATTTAATCACAATATTCCTAATTTCACCATCATCAAAATTTCTGTATGATATTGAGAAGAGCTGTATAGGTTCCCGTAGCAAACCCAATCACTCCAAATATAATAATCAACACATCTTTTACTTTAGTCCATCTCGATAGAATTTCTCCTTCAGCAGAATAAGTTATAAGCTCTATAGTAGCTGGAAGTATTAAGGCTAGGGCACTGCTAGCAAAGGCACCAATTAAAGATATCAATAAATCTAGGTGGGGGACACTTATGGCAAATCCACCTAGAAACAGAAATTTAAATGGATTATTATGGAAAATCAGCAATTTCAAAAAAATCATTTATACTAATAATTTGCCATCTGCCTAAATTATTTTGTATACGAATATGTTAGTATTTTTATCAGCCCAAAGGAATTCTATTTCTAATCTGAAATCGAAAAGTGATTCAACTACGATCTGCACCATTCTGATTTTCAAGCCGTTGTATGTATATCAGGGACACTTATAGCTTATATTTACACCATTCTAAATTTCTAGTACTTAAATGTGTCGGGGATACTTTTAGATTCATTTTTCCTTTAAACTATTTGCCATTTAACTACTGTCTATTGTCTTTTTGTTCATGTGCTTGAAACTAACTAAAGCAGCCAGATTACGTAAAATTAGAATTAGAAATTAGAAAATCAGAATTAGAAAATATGGTACTCACATGTTAAAAATAAAAGAAAAATGCGTAGAATATATTCTCCATATTTCTGTAACCATGGCGATTGGGTGCGTGATTTTAATCCAGGCCAGATAATTTTAACAGGAACATAGAGTTGTATACCATAAGATATAAATACACAGACGGCAAACATCAACTTAGCAGAGACATACAACCTATAGTATAAATAATCAGTGTAGTTCATATACTGAATAATTACGAGTATAATGCACACATTCTTACCCCACCGTATATCTGTCACTGTTAATAATAATCACTCCATCTGGGAAATTAATCAACCAGTTGGCATAACGCAGACACCACAATATTGAGTGAAAATACCACTCTACTCTTTGAAAATATAAATTAATGCCTTTATCGCAAGAAATTTCAAGAAATTGTCGCAAAGTAATATTTGACAAATCCTTCAAGCAAACTATCTCTTACCATTGGTCGTTTGGTAGATTGAGCGTGATACTATCTTTAACATTCTCACCATATTTCAGGTAACCATAGAAACCGGTAGCGGTGTATAATGTTGCTACGGTAACCATACCTAAATTAAGAACTCCTGCTTTCCCGCCAAACGATTCTGGTTCTTTCATTTTATTTTCTAATGGTAGAACCTACAATCAACATTGAAAATTAAATTGAGCACTATGTGCTTCAGGCTGTACAAATTCTTCATTTCCTTCATCTCTGGTTTCTCCCCTGTCTGAATCTTGTACGATTTGTTTACATGGTAAAAGCTATGTGCATCTACTCTGGTGGAAATGGCCTTACAACAAAATATCAAAATTTCAAAGAATTGAAGAAAGAAAAGTCACTGAACAGGAGAAAAAAAGCCACTTACCAAACTGATGCCCTCATAAGCGTACAGTGCAGTTCCAAAATACAACGGTAAGTCGGCTATCGTGCCTACAGCAGGTCGTGTGTCAGCATTTGGAAGTCCTTGAAGCACTCCATAGAATATTATAAATAGTCCCACTGCTGTTAATAAATTAGCAAACGTTGAAAATGGCGCCAGGGCTCGAAAGTTTCTCACAAAAACATAAGGAACCAGTAAAGCAGCAACGATAATCTCATAGACTCTTAGATCTGGGTCATCTTTATAGTAATTATTAACAATCTGAAATATACAGTAAAAAATGGAGGTCATGGATTCTAATCTCAGTCAGTGTGTCAACTTGAATAAGTCAACTTTTCTTATTATTCCAGTTGACCTAGCTGTACATCAATTCCATTAGGTATGGCCAAGGACCAGCTTGTAGAAAAGATCCCTGTGAAGCTAAGTAAATCTACCCATAAAAAGGATAGTTTCTATCTTTGGTACATCTATCTATACACCCTTTGCAGATTCAATTGTACTCATGCCTCTGAAAACAAAAAAGATCTATCAACAAACCTGTTTTACGCTTGTAGCAATAAATACAATATACACACTACAAAACCCAAACTGGGTAACAATTAACAACACAAACACTAAATATCTGAAAATAAAACAGAATTTATAATCATACCTCAAAGCATGGAGGTTTGAATCACATTGTTGTCGTCAATTTAGAAAAATGAAAAGTTTTTTTTCAAGATGGCTCTCAGTATCAAGAGTTGACCCTGTGGAACAGGAAGTTGGAATGTCATCTGCTAGGTTATAAGGTACCACTACAAATTGAGAAAGATTTCTGACGTCCAACCTAGAATGAAGCATTGCAAGCATGTAGGTGCAGAAGTTACCTACTCAAGGCTTAACAAATTTCTGAAGACATAGCCAATGTTACAGAAATTGCCTTTCACAGTCTTGGTAACCTTACATGTATACTTCATCCCACAATTTCTTGTGTAGTAACTGAAAAGTTCCCTTAAGCACACTTCTTTAAACAAACGTTCTGAACTTGTTTTGAAATGTAGACATGAGAATAATTTCTACTTGTCCAACTTCAGTAGGGTAGCAGACTGAAAATAGGCCAGTTGTCTGAAGACTGCACAGCCTGAAACTCTGAGTTTAACAACATGATGATTTAGGTTCTGTTTTAACATCTCTAAATTCAGCTATAACTTTTGTAAGAAAATATTTTACCTGGAAAACTTTGCAAATTTACGTAATCTGATGTGACCAGTTTTAACACTAGTTTCCATGACATCAGCATAATCCATAGCAACAGATCCAGTTCTGAATAAAATAACACTCTAATTTGAACACTCCTTCAAAATAGCATAGCCAACATTTAAGAAGCATTTGTGAGAAATTAGATAGAGATTGCACAATTTGTAAAAACTCAAGTGCTGGGTTTTTCTGAGTGCCACAGAACAGCATTTTGTTTCAAGACTAAGAAGTTATTTAAAATATGAATAATTTACCTTTTACACATGATTCGACTACATTTCACCAAAAGATGCATACAATGTACAGCTATAACTCCTATTAATAATAACCCTACTGTTCCTAGCTGAAATAACATTGGAATTAATACAATACCTGGTTAAAACACAGTCAAATAGGTATATTATAACATATTTTAGAATAAAGTCTTTAAATGGCATTAAGCAATTGTAAGCACACTGTACAGGCACAACTTTAAGGAACAACAATCACTGGTTAAAGATTTATGCAATGTTTCGATGTGTGACTGTGCCTGAGCAAACATTGCATAAATCCAATCGGACATGACTGGCAAATACAGATAAATCCCTGAAAACATAATTATATGACATCAACGCAATCAGTTAAACAATTTTAGAAAAAACTATGCAAAATCATCAATCAATAAGGTGTCTGCCTAAGTGTTATGCAAACTTGTTAATTTTTGGGTTTGATGGGGCATAAATGTTTAATAACAGTGACAGACACTTTTACAGATTCATTTCATGTTATTAACATGCGTATTATATTCACAATTATACAGTATATGAACACAGCAAATGAACTCTCCTATGACGAATGAATGCTAAGAAGTGAAACAGATATCCGCTTACCCAGAGCCCAGCATTTTTTATAGCAACAGGCATAGCCAGAATACCAGTTCCAATATTTCCTTTTAATAGATGCATCAAACATTGTAGATTCCTGGAATTAAAAACAGGCTAAAAAGTATTTCACTCTGCTATTTATATTGGCATCAATTATTGAAAGTAATATTCTGAAGATCGCACAGCATGTAACTGAGAAACCACATGTTTCAGGTTCTGTTTTAACATTTTTATTAGAAATTAATACTAATTAAATTTTACAGATTTATTTCAGTGAAATGGAATACATGTATATATATAAAATGATTAAACCTCGACCATCTGATGTGGTGACAAAAACCTGTGAATGAAAACTTACGATGTAGCGTTTTCGACGGATCTTCTGCTGTGTTCATACTCAATCTGCGGCTGGTCTAAAGGATATTCGAAACTATTGTTGGCTATTATAGGAAATAGATGAGGTTCAGGGGCCACAACTCCTGAATCAATCTCTGGCTCGGTAGATACAGGAGGTGCAGCCTTTACTGGTCTTGTCTCCTCCTTTCCATCTTTTGGTATTAATAAGGTTGTCTCCTTGGCAACATCGTAGTGATCAGGTTCGGCCATTTTGATGGCTTCATTGGATTTTTCTTACTTGTTGTTAGCTCATCTGGAATAAGTAAGAGTGATATTTTAAATTGTGGAAACACTCTATGAGCACTTTGTGAAATAATATTCACTGTTCATAAATTTGTCTCTATGATGATTACTACAAAAAATCTTTGAGCACTTGACCAATCAAAAAGAAATAGTGTTTGTACATTAGTTAGTATGATGCTGTCTATCCTCAGTCGTTCAACATTGATAATAATCAGTAATTACAAGTTACGTGTCCTGATAGATAAAGATAAGTTACTTATCAATTATAAACCAAACACTTATCAGTCATTTTTTACCACTAAAGGTTAAGGGTGGGGGTGGGGGGTGAAGTATTGGAACAGAGTACTGGTATATAAAGATAAACAACAACCATAGTTAGTTTGCAAGAGGCATCAAGGTCATTAAACACAAATATCTTAGTGATGTTTGTTCTTCAACTAAATATTCAAATAACTGAAGAGATAAAACTTGTCCATCCATAAAAATATTATAAGTATCATCTTCAGGAAATGGCTTAGTATAGTTTCCTGTGACCTTTGACCCAATATGTGAATTTCAGTAACCATAGAAAATTACTTCTGCCACCTTAGTTTTCTTCAGCTTAAGCTTTTTTTTTTATCTTTTGTTTTGTCTTTTGTAAGTGTATTGGGGACACTGATAGCATCTATTTACACCATTCCAATATTCAATAAGATGTCAGTGGTTCCTGCAACTCCACTAAAACTAAGTGTTTGCTGACGTTACTACTCGCATAGGACTTTATGTGATTAAGCATATTTTGCGTTTAGTGACATCATCATCCCAGTCGACCCAGCTGTAGGGCTTACAATAAACTCCCAAAAAGGAAATTTGATTCTTATTGTCCAAAGGGGGTATTATCACTTCGCTAAGTAAAGACACTACTGGTACTGCTTTTTCTAATAAACTCTAATCAAAACAGCATCCATACAATAAATCAAAGGAAGAGGAAGGGTTGATTCCTTCGAATATATGTAAATAGTCTTCAGAAGAATGAGAAATGTACAAATTATGACGCTGAGCTGTGGACACTATTACTGATTGGCCTAGCTAATAAATTTCCGTTTCTGAGACTAAATTATGATTGGTCAAAAAAATGGTGCACCTGTCCTATTAGTCATTACCACAATCTCTTTCTACTTGTAAAAAGTAAGGAACAAGATATCTTTTTCTTCCTTATTATATCTCAAACAAACTCTTACTGAAATAACTTCACATGCACAGTAACTAATATCGACTTCCTCAGTTTTGTTGAAAGAGCTCATAGGTCATTGTGATAAGCACTGAAGATAAAAAATTATATTTTCCTTAACTTGTTTCATCCACCTTTGTCCTTTGATATGTCCTTATGTGATAAATTAGCAACGCTTGCTCACATACGAGAATCAAAAAAGCATCTTAAAGACACATTTCACTACATGTCTTTCTAGGCCAGTATAAAACATAAAACTATGAAAATTTAATTTTATTGTATTAACTTTTTACCTTCTGTCTTTAGGATTTTAGGATAAGTTTAAAGGTCTCACTTATCGCCCTATGGCCTCTGATTATCACATTTTGTTTTTTCGAGTACACACAAGATGAAAAAGTTCAAAGAAGCGAGAAAAAGTAAAGGTTTGATCCACTGTCAGGATCTCAACAAGCACTCTATGTTAAGCCTTTCTACTGATATTATTGCACATGCATTCTCCACCCTGCAGACTTACTGATACCTTAGCCATCCTTAAGTCCTACTTGCAAATTTGTTTTTTCAAGAACAGAAATGTTCTATCTTCTGTTCTAGCATAACAATTTATTTTATATGCACCACTTCATTTTGAAAGAAAATGGTACAGCTCTAAAATATCTACACTGTATTTAGTCTGTCAAAATGTTGTAAACTGCCATTGTTAAATCCCATAACAGCCCCACCCCAACTTTTAGTTTTAAAAGAAAGTTAAAATATAAACAAGTGACATGTACCGGTATTCATAATGTCAAATGAAAATGCATCTCGATTCATTTACCTCTGAAACCTGGCTCAGTCTGAGTTCGTCTGCACACCAGGGCTGAAGTGTCACTGAATAAAACTACGTCTCCAGTAATCAAACTGGTTGGGAATAACAACCAATTATCTGATATTACTTACATTTGTATAAGTTGTCATAACTTGATAAGGGATATTTCCATTCACCTGTTTTAAGACTGTCATGTGATCGTGCATCACAATCACGATACGCATGCGCAAATGCTTACAGGAAGTGAGAACTCTGACATCTTTAACAAGAATTTTCAGACTCAAAGACAATGTGTGGATGTCTTGAAACTGTCCTTCATTAATGTATCTTGAAATAATCACCTGAGTCAACAACTGATAAAATAAAATATCTTGAATATAAAATGAGAACTGTTATCATTCTTCCAAAGTTTTACTTTCGGCCACCTGGCGACTAAACTACAGGGAGATAACTCCGTATAACTTTTATTTTTATTTAAAGGGATACAGTCCTCTTATTTTTGTACATTAACACCAGATGAAGTCTCTGTGTTATTTTAACTTAATAAGAGCATGGTAGCTTTAAATACGAAATTACGATTCTTAGACTCATAAAAATATAATAAAATCCCGATGAGTAAAATAAAACGATAAAAATTTGTAGCCTACAAGCAAGACAATTCATCAGTCAAGCAAAAATCTCGTTCAATGAAAAGCGAAATCGAGAGTAAAAGTTGTATAGTAGTGGACTGGCCCAAAGAGAGGTATCATCAGGTGTTTCAAAAAGAGTAACTATGGTCTGCATCACGAGCGAAACCCGCCACTATTAATAGCAAAATCATGATCGAGATACAACCAGATCAATTCATGCCTGACCAAACAAATCAGCCAAAGGGTTAAGAATTAGTGATGCAAAGACAGAAACCTTTAATGGATTTTTTTTCAGTTCCGAAAATGATAAAATAAATAGGATGAACCACATTCTACAGTCCCACATCTCCCCAGTCTCCCCTATTACCATAAATACCATAAGAAGCTTGTTTTTGGGTTCAATATACACTTCCACTGGTGAACGATTGGTTGACTGTCTACTGATTTCGAAGTCAAATTTCCTTCATATATCGTTTTTGGTGATTTTGATCGTTTTTAATCGTACAGTTGTTAACGGCCGTGAAACAGTCCTAGAACAGTGGATTTTTTTAAATAAATTGGCGAAAAGCTTATGCCATATAAGGATAATCGTTTCATTCGATGATCACTTAACAATAATACATTAATTGATAAATGATAATACCAAAAAATTATTAATCTAAATCAGGTCCGAAACGCCCACGGACGACTGGGCCATCCGCGACGGGTCGACGGGTCTTGTAGAACTACCCTGTCATGATGGTACGAAACAATTAAATGGGTTGAAACGTCTCGGGAGGCTGAATATAGGGAATGGGTAAATGATGTCTGATGCAAAAAGTAGAGTGAAATTTTAAAGATAAGTAGGTGAGTGAAAATGTGTCACTTCCAAGCAACAATCATGGGTATATAAAACAAGTTGCCAAAGCAGGCCATACCTTTATCAACATTATTATTATCTCACACGTGTTGTGTATTGTGGGGTATATCAGACCCGTTACGTAATGCTATACTATATTGTACAATACAGCCTGCATCTTCACAATTATCAAGTTATTACGAACTTCATCTTATACCTTGTCTTGTATCACAGAAGTTTGTGATGAAGAGATTAATTGGATTGCAATGCAGCAATGAATTGGATTGTACACTAAAGAATACATTCAATCAGAGTCCTTCTGTGAAGCATTGCCCATCATCATTAGCTTTATATGGAAAAAAAGGACAATATACGATTTGATGTAATTTGTTTCAGCTATTATATAAAGGTCAGTAGAACTATAGCTGTGGTTTATTATAACAATATATCATGATTACAATAAACTGACATACTAGGCCTATTCTGGAATGTGACACTATTTATTAAAGGGATTGTTATAGAAGAGATTTTTTAAATTTAACATGTGTATCGGGGACATTGATAACATCAATTTGCACTATTTCAATTTTATGTCAGATGGTTCCTGCCATTCCACTTACACTAAGTGTTTAATGACATCACTTATTGCGAAATATGCTTTATAACATAAGGCCCTATCCAGTTAATGACACCATCAAACACCTAGTTTTAATGTAATAATGTGGTCCAGACCCAAATATTACGAAATTGAAAAATTCGTTGTGGAATATCACCTTTAAGATTAAAATATTCTAAATACAGTTGTTACTGATGATGACATCATATAGGTTATATAATTAATATCTATTATAACTGGTATATTTCAGTATTTGAGTTAGTATGAATATGAAGTTGGTATATATTTTACCAGTGCTGTCTGTATTGGAGTATGTATCTACTGTACAAAGAATGTCTGTAGAAGAATATACTGATACTTGCTTAGATGGTCAACATCATAAAAAAAAACCTGGTCCAGAGGCAGATCTGTTTAGCTTCGTAAGTTTGTGATGAAATGCCACTACTCTCATTAACTCAATTTTTCACAATAGGCACCTTATCAAAGACTGTACACTGCTTTTCAAAATCTCCCTTTTATTGTACACAATAGGCACCTTAACAAAGACTGTACACTGCTTTTCAAAATCTCCCTTTTATTGTACACAATAGGCACCTTAACAAAGACTGTACACTGCTTTTCAAAACCTCCCTTTTATTGTACATAATAGGCACCTTAACAAAGACTGTACACTGATTTTCAAAATCTCCCTTTTATTGTACACAATAGGCACCTTAACAAAGACTGTACACTGCTTTTCAAAACTTCATTTTATTACAAACAATATTTCTCTGGGCTTTATCCAAGTTAATTTTCTAGCTGGACTGATAAAAGCCTATTATTTACATTTTAGTTGAGAAATTATGTTGTGACTGGGTACTATTTCTTTATAGTGTAGTCCATGGAAGAAACGATCTTGTTGTACCGAACAAATAACAAAACAGATGCACATATCTGACTCGTGGTACAACTTCAACTGGAACCACTGTGGAGATCTCTCCGCCAACTGTCGATCTCATTTTTTACAAGATCTGTGTTTTTATGAATGTTCTCCAAACACTGGCCCATGGCTACAACCTGTAAGTAAATTACATATTATTTCAACTAGCACTGTATTTTTTCACAGCCATAGTGGGTGCAAGCAGATTATAAATAACTCTTTGGAAGTTTGCCAACAAGATTATAAAAGCCTTGTTGCTTGTTCAGCAATTAATTTATTAGTGAAGTTTGAAATATAGAGCAGGAAATGAAACATGAGTTATTGTCCTTGACTTTACCAAAATATGAATTTCAGGTAAAGATGAAGATTAGAAATGAAAAGTTTATGCATGTACCTTTATGTCAAGTGGACTGTACCAACTGGTGGGAAGATTGTAAAAATGACTTGACTTGTACTGATAATTGGGGAAAAAATTTTAACTGGACCACGGGTTTGTATCTCAGAGTTTGTAGCTTAAAGTTTGTATCTCTGAGTTTGTATCTGAGGTTGTATCCTAGAGTTAGTGTTTGAATCTCAGAGTTTGAATCTCAGAGTTTGTATCTCAGAGATTGTATCTCAGAGATTGTATCTCAGAGATTGTATCTCAGAGATTGTATCTCAGAGATTGTATCTCAGAGTTTGAATCTCAGAGTTTGTATCTCAGAGTTTGTATCTCAGAGTTCGTGTTAGTTTGTATCTATCACTTAAGCGAGGAACAAAATGTCTGTTGAAAAAAAAGAAAGAATTTAATTGGATAACAACAAGTGCTCTTAGATCCTTTCTATCAGCTGATCCTTTGCCAAATCTCTTGCCAATTTTCTTTTGTAGATTATTGATCAATGTATATCTTGGTCGACAGAGAAAAAAAAAGGAGAAAACGACTTTTTAACTTGCTGACATAGATCAGAATCCATGACCCTCATTTGATTGACATATACATGCAAAGGACATCATTTGATTTCAAGACTTGTTTTACAGCTAAAACTTCTATTCTTACTCTTTTTCAGGTCAAAATAGATGCCCTGTTGGATCCTCATGTAAAAAATTTTCAGACATATTTTCCAATTCCACAAACTTTTGTGAAATCGTGTGGAACTATTCGTGGAAAGTGGTTGCAGATACAGAATCATGTATGCATTTATGGTTTGATGCCAAGATTGGGAACCCTAATGATAAAGTAGCATTGAATAGAGCTGAGCTGATCATTAGTAATTCAGCAAGAGTTTTCTCCCCTTTTACATTTCATCTGTTATTGATAACTGGACTGTTTATATACACCCTACTATAATGTGGCATTATAAGAAGTTTGTTTTGTTTTTGGTTAGGATAAATAGTAATTGAAACTTACATTCTCTTGATTTCCGCTGAAATTAGCATTCTGTTTTTTTCTGTTGGTTGATTTTTGTGTGCTTAAATTTGTGAAAACTATACACCAAATTCTAAAGAACATATCTTAAATTTAAACAAAACAAAATCTTAAAATACCAAAACTAAATTAAAAAAGCTTTTAAAGGTAATTTTTTTTATCAGAAAACTACTGTATGGATTTAAGCAATATAAACTCTTAATTGTAGAGAAATATGTCTCCTACTTATTCTAAAAGTTTTAACTAATAATATCCAGACATTATAAAGCCAAACACCAGACTAGGTCAAACTGCTTAATTAACAATTAGTACTCTCAGTTTTTAATTAACCCTTTTAAAACAAATTCAGTTTGATCACGAAAATACATAGATATAAATAGCATACTTTAGAAATACCTTAAGGTATGATTTACAATGTTTTTGGTAATGAAAAATGAGCATACTGCCCCTTTAATTAACTAATTTGATAATCTGATATATTAATTCATTTTGATATATACCTTGCCATAACTATTGTTTTCAGATAGTAGCTTCAAAGAGATCTCAATAAAATATTGATAAAATTAAAATTCCAGCAGTGTTTTGTAGAAATTTGTAAAATAATCTAAAATAGTGCCTTACCTTTTTATTTCTTTCATTGACCATCCTCTTCACTTTTCTTTGTGTGAATTAAAATTCATTGAAATGGAGTATCTAAAAAGTACTGATAGCCTCAGAATGACTGTAGAATGAATTACTTTTAAAAGTAAAAAATAAAACTTTATTAGTATAGGTAGATACATGGTATATTAATATATATATTCAAATTTCTTATTTACCAATATTATATTGCATATAATTAATATAATTAAGTTTTTTTTTTTTGACTAAAATAATTAAATCTTGATTTGTTACCGATTTTTATGACTTTATACTACCTCTTAGAATGACCCAATAATTTCAAATTTTTAAACTTGGCTATAAAGAGTTTTTGATCTTCAGTGGGCTTATCTGGTGTCATAACTATACTACAGAATCTCTCTATAATCCAATAAATCTTTATTTAGCTTTTAAAATCTAGATCTCGGCCTGTTACACAATAACTTATTTTTTGATTTAAAGACAGTATAATTTGTGTTGGCCAATGAAATAACGTCTATAATTGTATTTAATGATGATTGACCAATCACACGACTGGAGAACTAAAACTACCTGAGTAAAATTTAGGTGAAACAGACCTTTGATTTTAAATTGTTAAATTGTTTTGTATATTTTGAATATTTATCAGGAAATCGAGTGCCTTATTTTCAAGAATAAAAATTGGATTAGGCAGCAAAATGTCCACTTTCTTCATCTTTAACATTTTTTAGCTATGTGTATCACTTATTAGAATTAAAATCCAAAGTCCTGTATGCCTGCTTCATCTCTAACAAAATGATCTGTTTATGTTATCAAGTGTAAAGAAACTATAACCAAAACGGATGTTTAAGTATAATCAGTGCTGGTTTAACACAGGTTGAGTGATTCAGAAAATCTTTCCATCAAGTTTTTATATTATTATACCAAATGTACTTTGCAAGTCTTTTTTTGCATTTTGATAACCATACATATATTTTAGGAGTGTATATCTTAAGAATTTATCATAATCAATTTGCTTACTAATTATATATTTATAGATATTATTAATTAATATATGATTAAGGTATTGCATCCCTTGAAGATTATATTTTACAGAGGCCAATTTTCAGTCCTCAATTGTAAATTTAATTTTTATTTATTTTAAATGTAATTGTCAAACCATATTTTTCTTTGAAAATAACATACACTTTGAAAATGACATACACTTTGAAAATAACATACACTTTGAAAATAACATACACTTTGAAAATGACACACTTTGAAAATAAGATACACTTTGAAAATGACACACTTTGAAAATAACATACACTTTGAAAATGACACACTTTGAAAATAACATACACTTTGAAAATGACACACTTTGAAAATAACTTTCACTTTGAAAATAACATACACTTTGAAAATAACATACACTTTGAAAATGACACACTTTAAAAATAACATACACTTTGAAAATAACATACACTTTGAAAATAACACACACTTTGAAAATAACATACACTTTGAAAATGACACACTTTGAAAATAACATACACTTTGAAAATAACATACACTTTGAAAATAACATACACTTTGAAAATAACATACACTTTGAAAATGACACACTTTGAAAATAACATACACTTTGAAAATAACATACACTTTGAAAATAACATACACTTTGAAAATGACATTGAATATTTGTGAAATAGGGAAACTTTCTCATATTAATAAAATTATGGTTTTACCTATCCTTTCTGTTTAATTTTTTTCACACCAAACTATCCTGTCAAACTAGCTAGCAAATTGATAGAAGATTAAAGAAAACATATCAAACTATCCTGTCAAACTAGCTAGCAAATTGATAGAAGATTAGATAAGACATACCAAACTATCGTGACAGAATGACTTGCGAATTGGTTGGGGCAATATAACATACCAAACTATCGTGTCAAACTAGCTAGCAAATTGACAAAACGATAGTTTTCCGTAAACCAGAACTGGCGACTAGGTTAGCACAATGAAAGGTGTTTTCTGTGGTCAGAAAGGGACAAGAACACACCAAACTATCATGTTCAACTATAGCTAGCATATTGTTACCCACTATGGTAGTTTTGTGTGGTCAGAATTGGATAAGCGGATAGGAAACTATCATGTCCATCATGCTAGCTGATGGCGCTAGAACATACCAAACTATCGTGTAATGGTGACTCTTCAGGCGCGGGGTAGTGGAGGCAGGGGGACTAGGACCATTGGTCCAAAATTTATGCATGTTTTGATAGTGAATGATGTAATAATACTCTTTTGAATGCAGGATCTAAGCCCTTTTTACCCCCCCCCCCCCCCCCACACACACACACTTTTGTTGTCCTCTTGTAGAATGCACCCTAATACGAGTTTTCTGCAGCTTGTACTGCTATCGTGGTAATAAGCCAAAGATCAAATGAAGTATTGCACTATTCACGTTAATTTAAGATAGAATCAACAAACAAATTAATAAAAAACATCTTAAATAAAAGCTATTTAAAATATATAGACTTATTGTATTCCAGTAACAGAAGTTTTTTTGTAACAATTTTTTATTGTCATCATTGAAAAACAAATTCCAATCCATTCCAATTAATTTTAATTCCAATGCCTAGACAAAAATATGAAAAGAAATGAAGTTTTATTTCTTATTATTGTGTACTAGAATGGACTAATGAAGACAATTCTATACAAGTGATATTCGCCCCCACTTTTTTTTTTTTAAAAAACGTTGCCTGAATATCAGTGGCGGCGCCAGTGGCGGTACACTGAACAGGCCCAGTTAAGCCAAGTCCACGGACCGCCAGACAAAAATGCGGGATACCATATGTAAAAAAAAATGGTTGCCTTGCCAGAAACGCCCACTGCTCTGATACATTTTCAGTATATCAAGGGCGGTCACCTATCTGTGTCAAATCATACCACTAATTTATGCAAGATATTGTTGATTTAAACAAACACACATTATTTAATAAAATTCTGACATAAACTGTCACCTCTATCGCCAACAAATTTTGATGCGTTTTTACTAAGTCATGGGCAATAATCGAAAATTTGACTAAAGATGCCTTCGACAGCTCATTCAATTTGGCACCTTGCCCAATGTATTCATATCACCGTAACTGCAGTGGGTCCATCGTTCATTGCCTAAATGAATACATTGGTCATGGTAATAAACATATAACTGTCATATCACCATAACAGCAGTGGGTCCATCGTTCACCGCTTAAATAAATATTAACAAATTAGATTAAAACATAAAAAATATACAATCTTTATCAAAATCAACTTGAAAAATGATAACCAATCGAATTTATGAGTTTTTCAATATCGGTCACAATATAGGTCACCTCAATTGTGGTTTTTGTGAATTTTTAGTAATAGTCTGGTTGTGTTTTTTTTTAAAATTAGCCCTTAGGAACCACATTTTTTACCTTGTTACACTCTAGCCGGTAAAATTAGTAAAATTAGATCTTGGAAATAAAAATTCATATCACAGCCAATGAAAACACTTCTGCAAAGTCAATTTAACGATTTGTTTTGTAAATATTCGTGAACATATTATAGTACGAGCAACACTTTCGTATGGAAAAGGTCGTTTTGATTTTGTTAAAATTCACTTCCTCAAAGAAAGATATTTGGATAAAGAGAACCACGATGCCATCTATTTTATAAGACGACGATAATATCCCAGCAATAAGAGACAATCTTAATAATTAATGTCAGAATCTGACTCTGAATGTTCACACATTCTCTTTGGCACCGTTCCAATTATACCTGCAATGACAGATGCGGCGTCTTTTCGATCGATCTTCAAGAAAATATCATGAAGTACCATCAATGAGGCCGGTTGGGTTTCAAAAAACTCCAAAAGCGCTGTTGTTGGACACGATAAAGTTTGTAAAAATGGAATGCAATCGAAACCCAAAGCAGCAGCGAAATCGCGCCAATCACTGCCAATTTGTTTAATTGGCGCCAAAAGTAAAACTAATTGTCGTTTGGTTTCCAATGGAATTTTTGTTTTGATGTGTGGACGTACATCTTCTAGGCGTAAGGATGAATTAAGGTATTCTTCCACGCACAGCTGTCCGGGGTTAATCTCCACGTCCATTACGTTACTCCCATCTACCGGTTGTCCCCCTCGTCGGACAGTCACGGACATTTGGTCACTGTTTCCCGATTCAGGACGCCGGTTCATCTTTCCCGAACTAGGACGAATTACGCGAACTTTGACCTCTTGGAAGCCATTTTGATTTGTTTGACACAATGGAGTAAATCTTTTTCCTGTCGTCTCCGCCATTTGAATCACTATCTTATCAGCCTCGTTTTCACCCGATTTTTGAAACACTGCAAAATTTAGGTTTATTTCTTTCGGAACATTCCCTGCCAAATCTCTATGGAAACAGAATTCAGCACGTGGACACATTCCATGCCAAATCTTTTGAAATTTGACGTGTTCGTTTTGTGTTTGGTTTACGCTTTCCCAATCATGAGATAGATACAGAAGTTCCAATATGGCGTCTTCCCTGTTGCCTTTCAGTAGGAAGACTTTTTCAGGGCAAACCAATTCCCCTTCGAACTGAGCCTCGTTGTGTTTCGCCCATTGAAGAGCACAAGGCGTCTTGTTAAGAAAATACACTCGTAGAGAATAATGTTCGATCCCTGGCTTCAGAGGTGAAGAAAACACGGCGATTTGAAGCCATTTGTGACCGTCGCCATTTTGAGGTGTCTGTATGGATGTGAACAGAGTGAAATGGTCGATTAAAATTTGGCACTCGTCTTGAGTCACTTTACATTTTCGTTCGTCTTCAACCGCTTGACAATACACCTCCCATTGTTTATTACCGGTCAGCTCAGTTTCACTCTCCATAATCTGAATATCTCGAGAATCGAACGCACAATGTTTATACCTCAGTAATGCAGGGGATCTTAGCTTAACTCCATGTGGTCCACAATAAACTACTGGACTAACTAGAGCCTGGCGGTTTTCCATGAACGGATTATCTGAAAGATCCCAATTTAAAGCTAGAATTATCAGTTGTTTCTGATGATCGGCGACAGCACCAGCTGGAACTGATAAAGATATTCCCATATTGTCCAAAATCAAAATGGCGCCTTTGGAATCTACTTCGCGTGTGATGTACACAATCAATTTTCCATCCACTTCAAGAATTTGGCTGCGTTCGATTGGTGTTAACAGTTTTCTCGGAGTTTCATCATATTCATCAAATAATGGATTATCGACCCCTAGCGGAACTTCTTCTTCCCAATCACGATAGTCATTGTTCCAGCGATGATTTTTGTGATCCATGCAAAAGCGGGGTTGGTGATATGGACCATAGAGGTCTTTTGAAGGACATTGTCCGACACTTGCATTCAGACGAGTCGACGCCGGGATATGCCCTACATAAGGCATTGGAAGATCCTCATTTTGAACGGAATAAATGTGGGAGCTGGTCCGCGCGGAGCTCGGTCTCCTGTTCCATCTTCCTTCTCGCAGAACATTAGAAACTCTAGATAATCGACTGCTGGTGCGAACGTCTTCATTTGTACGGAAAGAGGCTGGGCGGAAGTGGCTGCTTGTTTGCAAATTCACGAGATCTCTGCCAATGGCAAGCGGATATGGTTGGTTCGATTGGATTTCATCTCGCCATCTCTGTACGGCCTCCCTATCATAAGTCCACAAATCTAGCCTCGAATTTGACCTTGAGGCCCACAGCTTAAGTTTCCGGAAGCATAGTTTATAAAAGATGTATATGATTAAGATCAAGAAACAGGTGGATGCGATGACAGTGAAAGCAATGACAAGCTCTCCGACCTTATAGCTTATCATTGAAGAAGGGTTATGACGTTCGATAACTGGGGCTGTGGGGTCGGTGTCGTTGGCGAATTCTTTCGTCATAAGGTTAGGCAGAGGTATTAAGTTTAAATGTCGATGGTATGTTTAGGTTTGTAATGCAAGAGCGTATAGAAACATCCTGGTTGTCTTTAAATACGAACATTCGATGTTATTACTGCACAAACCATCAGAAAGTTTATCATATATTCCTCTCCCGATTTCATTAAGTACAATTCGTCAAAGTGGTGCAAAATTTGCTCCGGCGCAAATCATAGGCTGTTACAAACATCCATCATCCATGCTTTGACCTCAAACCAATCTGAAAAGACAAAACAACACAATGTTATTATTCCATGGCGCTATGTGTCGAAACAAAAGTGTGCATTTCGAAATATTTATATAAAAGTCTTTATTTTAGGCTAGTGGTAAAGAGGTTGAAAGTCGATGATGACAATGTAAATTGCAGATACGTTGTGAACAATTAAACCTCTAGAGTATTATACCAGATAAACTGATAATGACAATGTAAACTGTAGAAACATTGTGTACAATAAAACTCGAGAGTAGTATACTATATAAACTGATAATGACAATGTAAACTGTTTCTCAATCCATGTTATGGTGTAAATGTATTGTATTAATTGATATTATTTGGTGCAGTAACGTCATGTAAATATTGTTTTAATGTAAAGTGTTGAAACGCTGCTAACAAGATTATAATACTCAGTTTCAATAGCTTCAATTAAATTATTTCCTTACGATCGTCGTACTATAATATTTTATGAATAAACAACCATAACAATTTGAAAGGTAATGTCTATTGCAATTTTAACGGTCATGTCTAGTGTAATTTGAAAAGTCATGTCACCCTCCTTTGAGTATAATTGTGTTATTAAACTAAATTTACAATATAATGGAAGGTACAAAGGTTTTACCAACACAAGTCAGAATCTAAAAATAGATCTTTGTCGAAAACAGATTCTTTCAAGTTTTAGGGAAATTCCCTAGAATCCCGAAAAGTTGAGGAAGGTGCAGGATCTGAGTGAAAAGTTCAATGACGCATCCTTACCTACTTTCATACTTTTACATGCTAGTTTTTTTAAAGGGACAGGTTTGCCATCCGTTTTGAATGGATTTTTTTTTTTAGCTAAGATGATCAGTAATAGTGTTCACAGCCCATCGTCGAAATTTGAGCCTTCAAATCCATGTGTGTTCAGAATTATCCGCGTTTGAAACTTAAAATGACGACTCGTTATTTTTTGAGATTCGGTCATGTATATGACGAAAATGACGAATCTGCCCCTTTAAACAAAGTTTCTTTGTTCATCTAATGACTGATATTCCTGCCACTTCTTTTGATTGGTCAAGAATTGCAAAACTCGAAACAATAAATGATTTTGCAGAAGTGGATTATATTTAATTGACATCCTACATCAAACGTAGTGCGATCAATGATTGGCGAATTAATATATACACCGAGATTTTAAATTCTATGTCCATTCTAAGAGGTAGTATATTCCTTCAAGGTGCAGGCATATTTTAAAGTCTAATTCAATCCGTATCCTTGAACCACGCATATCTTTTGATCTATTGAATAACGTAAAAATGGGGTTATCAACATACTTATCAAATAACATAATTTACATAGGTTTATCATAAGTTATAAATAGATTTAATAAAACTAGGGATTTTCCCTTTTACCTACATGGAAGCTAACCCACTTCTTTATCCAATCAGCATTGGCTAAATTTTCTAATAAGTGAAAACTAATTTAATTCAGAATATATCAATGACTTGACATTTGACTGACTGCTAGCGTATTATATTAAATACATTTTATACCACTGCCTCTTTCGCACACTTCTTAACCACGAATATTTTACATTTAATTTTGCCCCTTTAAAGGGATTGTAAAGAGGTATTCTAAATTTGTATGTGTATACTCATAGAATCAACTTGCATGATTCTAATTTTCAATAAGACGTCTATGGTTCCTGCTTTAGTTTAAATGGAATTTCAGGAACCACAGACGTCTGACTCAAAATTTGAATGGTGCACATTGATGCTATCAGTGTCTCCAATACACATAATAACTTAATAACTTATAGTCTCTTTATAATTCCTTTGAAGGCACAACATGAAATAACAATATGCAGGTACATAGGTTTTACCTACTAACGTCATAATCTAAAAATAGATCACAGTCGATAACAGATTTTTTTCAAATTTAGGGAAATTCCCCAGAGTCCTCGAAAGTTCATTGGCGCATCTTTACCTACTTTACTTACATACAAAAATAAAACCAAACGATGTAACCTATGTCTTACCTAGAAGTTTTCCATCATTAATGTCAATAAGCAAACGTTTTTCAACAATCGTTGTCTTTAAAGATGGGTTCCCTTATTTTTATTTATGAAAATCAAAATGCTAATACTTATATACAAGTTTGTCTCCCATGTCCATAATTAATTCATTAATAGCTAAATTAGAAGAGAATTACCAGCAGAATTCTAATGAGTGACCAATCAAGAAAGGTCAAAAAGTCTTTTTCTGTTTATCCAAACTGTACATACATGGATATTTATGATTGGTTGAAACTCTTAATTATATGCAATAAGAACATAATGATATGATTAAGAATACAAGATAATTCATTAGAAACAGCAATTAATCAAATAGTTTGCTTAATTTGACACTTAAAAAGGTAAACATAAGAATAAGTTTTACTTGTCTACTTCTGTAGGGACACATGCTGAAAATAGGTCTGTTGTGTGAAGATCGCATAGCGTGAAACTCTGAGTAACAACATGATTTTTTAGGTCCTGTATAAATATTTCTACATAGTACATACACACCCCAAAAAATTTGTTTCAACCGCATTCCCAGCATGTCATGATGTGAGGAGCTCTCTCAAATCAAAATAAATTCTTCTCCTACACCAGTTGGTCACACCCCTGACACCCGAGTCCCACACCCCCAGGTAGGGGGGGGGGGGGGTACCCCAGATTGGGAACCGGGGCTCTAGAATAAGTAGGAGACACATTTCTCTACAATTTAGCATTTAATTTTCTTACTCCGTACATTAATTTTCCAACACAAACTGAAAAACATAGTTAAAATATTTACGTAAACATTTTAATTAGTCTTGGAGTTCTAAAATTAACGACAGGATACTTTTAATTACAACTTTCAGATAAATTAAAGGACACATTTCTTTAGATTTTGGTGTATAGTTTCATAAAGTTGAGCATATAAAGTTTCCAACTTGCTTAATCAAGCTGTCCCTTTAAAATGACATAACCTTGCAATCTTAGAATGGACATACAATTTAAAGTCTCAACCAGTTATATGCATTAAATTAAATAATTATTGAAACACGCTTTTAAGCATGATTAAAAATTACTTAGTTTAAAGATGTGTTTCCTTATTTGTCAAATTAAGCAAACTATAATTAATTGGTGTTTCTAATGAATTGCCATGTATTCTTAATCATATCATTATGTTCTTATTGCATATAAAGAAGAGTTTTAACCAATGATAAATCTCCATGTATGTACATTCTAGATAAACAACAAACCTTTCTTGATCGGTCACTCATTGGAATTCTGCTTGTAATTCTCTTATCATTTAGCTATTTATGAATTAATTATGGACATGTGAGACAAACTGGCATTTTTCCAAGACATTAGAACACCTCTACTTTCTATTTAGCATTTTCATTTTCAATAATGAAAATAAGGCAACCCATTTTTAATGAATTATTACTAAGTGTTATGGATTTATTTGATTAAAGAGAGATTCTGTTGTATAGTTTTGACACCAGGTAAGTCCACTGATGAACAATGGCTTATTTTAACCAAGTTTAAGTTTAACGTGTCAATAGTTGTTTGATTACTGTATGTTGTGTATTTACATCACAGGTGTTCTTATTGCAGGTTATAGACCTATATAAGAAAATCATTCTACCTTTGTAATCATATATTAATGTAAAAGCCTACTGAAAAAAAAATCGTTGGCCTTGACCCTTTTTCTAAAGCTGCTTACTGTCTGGTTAAAAACTTAATATCCTTAACACTTTTCAGAATGACAACACGACGCCTGGCTTGTCTACAATAAGGTAAAATCTAAATGAGTGCTAAAGTGCTAAGGGATTAGACATGCTTTAAAGATCAATGCCAAGATGTGTGGCTAAGGATTACTGGTAGAAAGGATCGTCATGAACGATATACTTGTAAAGTCACTGCCAAGAGGTTCGGTTACTGTCCATCTGTAGGAAGAAAGGACCCAGAGAACTTAAGTTCTTATATTTGTAAAATCAATACCAAGAGATTTAATCAAAGGCCAGATGGTAGACAGAATCTTCAAAAAACATGAAATGTTATCCTTGTAAAAATCAATACAGGTCTATAAAGAATAGAATTTTCAGAACCTAAGTTGTAAAATCGATGCCAAGAGGTTCGGCGACAGGCCCGTCGGTAGACAGGATCTGAGTAGGACAGGACAACCGATCAATGGCCACTTGCACAAATTATAATACCATAATGATCGAAAATGGTGACTCATATCCCCCTCTGATAACCCCCCACCCCATTTTCCACCATCCGTCCTGTCCTATACTCCTCTTTTATTACCCCCTCTCGCCGTCTGACCACGCCTCGATATCTAATCTACTATGTGAGCCAAACAGGATGTAAAACAAGTTAATGTCACGACGATATTTTTTGTCACAAATAAAAACATTCTTATCTAACAAATCAAACAATAGCCTATACATATTCAATCTAACCCAATTACACTCAATTTTACACTAACTTTTACACTAGTCTAAAATATTTGCAAGTCTCTTGAATAGCGTTGGAAAAAATGGGCTTCTTTAGTGCTGCTACTCAAGAAAAAAGAATAGCCTATACAAAATGTTCAATTTAACACGAAAACTCATACATTACACTTACTTTACGCTAGTGTAAACTGGTTTTAAATACAGGTGATGGTTATGTCAGATAGTTCGTTTTGGATAATTGTTGTCAAATAAGCTGCATTTCCAAATACAGAATAGCAGCCTA